GACCTTCAGCTGTCTCGCGGTTTGAACCCCTTTGACAAACAAAACATTCTAAACTATTCACAATAAAAATGCACACAGACCCGAGGTTTGCCCAAGCCCGGAATAGCGTAAATACCACGGAATTCTGTGCGACGTCAAATGACGGGAAGGATTTTATTTTCAATTATGTTGCTAGGGTGTTAACCAGAACATGTTGCTTCTACATATCATATAACAAGAACATGTCGCTTCTACATATCATATGGAATCAACCATACAGTCACTAGGGTTTCTTATAGGGTTTCAAGAAGATATCAAAGTCCCCCGGCCCCATGGAACAATTAATCATACAGTCATACAGTCATTAGGGTTTCTTATAGGGTTTCAAGAAATCATCATCATCTTCTTCTTCTTCATCATCATCATCATCTTCATCTTGGCTTGCCCGGACGCTCGCTGCGAGTCCGGGCAAACCTCAGGGTCTTGCCTTAAAAATAGACCCTTAAATAGGAACGCAAACAAAAATAACAAAACATATGTGAAACATTGTGAAGCCACTAAGCAGGTATATAGCCAAATCATGCCAAAAATCCCAACTTCATGGCAAGCGTCTTCCACAGAAGACAGCAAAGGCTGGAGTTCATTCTCTTCCAGCTCTGCAGAACCTCCAGCCAGAGCAGGATCAAAAGTACTTGCTGATTTCAGACCAAGTAGGGACCCCCAGTTGAATTTTTTCAAGTGAATACAACCATGGCAATTAGCCCCCATAGATCGTGATATGGGGCCCCTATAACTATGGTTCTATCTACTTAGTTGACTGGAAGTGCACCCCAAGGTGCTGGAGATTGCTGGATGACCATTTTGAATCATCCAAATCACCGACAAAATCCAGGCTGATTTCATAAACGCCCACCCTGCTGGTCATTTGGCCCAGATCGGGAGGTTGTTGTCTTGGGAGATGAAATTCCTAGGACCTAGTCTGGGGATGTTTGGAGGGTCTGATTTGAAGAACACCAAGATCTCGTAGCCGGAATATGGCACGTGACCAGCTTGGTTGGTATATCCCAGTGATCTAGGCACCGAAGAACATGGTATGGGCACTCGTGGCACCACCGTCTTCGGATCATTTTAAAAAATGATTTCAATCACTATTCTCCATCAATGCCTCCAAGAATGTGGTACACAAAAATAAATCGCCACCACATTCTTGGAGAAACTCACCACTTTGCCGTTGATGGCTGCTACACTGCATTCGTTGAACCCTGCATCAAGGAACTGCTAAAAATCTAACAATCTCTAACATGGCAATCAAATATCATCTAAAATCCATGAAAATCATGTATATCCAAAGATCATGTTCCATCATTTTCGTAACATAGAAAATGACTTTCCCCAAAAAAAAGAAAACCCACAATTTTAATAGATTATTTTCCAACGTGTTTCCCACAAAAAAACGGATTTCTCATTGCTACGTCCGGCTAGCCTACCTGTTTGTCCGTCTTCTTGAACTCCAGGAGAAGAGCTCGGCCTGAAAGTTTATGGTTGTCCAGAAAATGTGGGACACCCCAAACTGTGGCGATTTCCATGGGAAAAATGCTGAACCATGATCATCAATATATTAATCGGGATACCCTAAATCTTCGGACAAATCCATAGAAATACCTCCAAATTTGCATTGTTCATCGGGAAAATGATGACCAACCTTCGGTTTTGGGGGGCACCGTATTTTCAGACTGTGGGTCAACGCGGCTACGCTCTGAATGGCGAGTCTCAGCCCTCTTGGGGTTTTATATACAGGTTGGCGGTTGGCGGTCTCTTTTTGAGGCAACGTATAGCCGTACAAGTTGGTGGCCTCATTTTGGGGCTATGTATAGACGGTGTTTCATGGCGTCTTATACAGTAACTACTTCGCTTCGGTGAGGAGCAGGTGACGTCCGATACCAACAACAACAACAACAACAACAACAACAACAACAACAACAACAACAACAACAACAACGCCAACACCAACAGCAACAGCAACAGCAACAGCAACAGCACCAGCAACCAGCAAGAAGCAACAAGCAACAAGCAACAAGCAACGAGCAACGAGCAACAACAACAAAAAAAACATCGACCACAACGACAACAACAACAACCACCACCACCACCAACAACAACAACAACAGCAGCAAGCAACAAGCAACAAGCAACAAGCAACAAGCAACAAGCAACAACAACAAAAAAAAACATCGACCACAACAACAACAACAACAACGACAACGACAACGACAACGACAACAACCACCACCAACAACAACAACAACAACAGCAGCAACAAACAACAAGCAACTAGCGACAAGCAACAAACAACAACCAACAAACAACCAATCACAACCCGCAACAACCAACAACAACCAACAACGACCACCAACAACCAACAACAACCAACAACAACCAACAACCGACAAGCAAGATACAACATACGAAAAACGACAAACAAGAAACAAGAACAAGAACACAATCAACAACAACAACAACAACAACAAAAAAAAAACAACAACAGCAACAACGACAACGACAACCACAACGACAACGACAACAACACCAACAACAACACCAACAACAACACCAACAACAACACCAACAACAACACCAACAACAACACCAACACCAACACGAACACCAACACGAACACCAACACCAACACCAACAACAACAACAACAACAACAACAACAGCAACAGCAACAACAACAACAGCAACAGCAACAGCAGCAGCAACAACAACAACAACGACAACGACAACGACAACGACAACGACAACGACAACGACAACAACAACAACAACAATGATAGCCTACCTTTACGGACCCTTAGAGGGCTGGTCATGTTTGCCAGTCAGTTGGGCGGATTTCATCATGCATTCGTGTTATCCTGCAGTAATCAAACATTTGGAAATACCCCATTAAAACCTCCATTATACAATGGGGATCTGCCGATAGCCATGTTTGACTGCCACAGGGTATCACAGAACCCCGCAGTCACATGATGGTTGGGTATTGACTGTGAAATAAACATATACAAACGAAGCCGTGCCGTTCCCCCAGCCAAACATCATTTTGGGGTTTGGACAGTGGGCTCGCTGCACTTTGTCGTGACTAGAAAAGTCCTGAAGTTGTAACGGTTGGTGGGGATTCCGAATTCGTGGATAAAATTATCATCCTCAACTATATTTTATATATATAAGGTGAATATATACCGTATATATAGGGTAGTGTGAACCCCAAACTAATTATCAGTGAACCTTTCGTGCTCACAAAATTGAATGTGCTTTGGTCTTGAAAAATGTCCCCCGTGACCTATACACAGCATAAATACAGGCCACTTTTTTTAGACACTGGTTGGTTGGGTATGCCTAGCCAACAAGGATCACTTTTGGCCATCCGAAAAAAAGGTGAATCCCAAACCAAATCTGCCACCGAACTAAGGCTGAAGCCATTGATATGCTGTCAAATGATCCAGATCTATGTAGAATCAACAATGGTCGAATCCAATTCAAAAAGTTGGTACCCAAATAGCTGGAAAACAGATGTCCGTCCATTCCGCTGGTGCCAGAATGCTATCACCCATTCCCATATGAAACATGGCGAAACCCTACTGATACCAGTAGGTTGACTCATTAGGCGCGCGAAATTTTGACATTTGTCCATGTTCAGCCCTAAATTTGATCTAGTCGCTTGTAAATCCCATAAAACAACCCCATGAATTGGACCACCATGTTTTCCTAGATTTGGTGATTAAAATCCCATGAAACCACAATTTTAAAGATTTGGTGGTTATGTGTATCATGAAATCAGCATTGCTTCCACCTGCCTTATGCTCTTCACCAGCGCGTTCAACGTGGCATCCACATCTGCCACATCCGCCTGCTCTACGTGCTTCACAAAGCGGCTGAAGATGGCAAGGACAGCGCGGGGCTGCTGCTCTTGCACTGCCGCCGACAAGTCCTGGGCGAGTTTGAAAGGCCCAGGAATCATAGAAGAAACACACATGGACCACATGGATATTAACTATCTACATGGATATTAACTGTACAGATAGTTCCATGTCTTGAGGGGATATGTTATGCCTTGATAATGGGATATTTAACTATCAAAGAAAGGGGGTATAATTAATGGGATATGATGAGAAAATAGGGTGTATAACCAACTTGATATGATCGAAGGAAGCTTAGAAGTCAAACTTCCGACAATATGGACAGATGAAAAGCAGACATACAGCTGTGGCGCGAAGCACATGTCGAAGTCAAAATGCTAAACACCCCATTCTCGGAGCACTGGCGCGAAGCATTTAGATTTGAAAATGCGAAAAGCACCTCAGGTCCGGAGCGCCTTTGGACGTTGAGGTGTTGAGAAAGTGCACGGGGCTGTGGCGCGAAGCACGTCTCCAGGTCAAAATGCGAAAAGCACACCACATCCGGGCCACTTTTGGACGTTCAACTGTTATTTTTCGTGGCAGGCGCACATCTCCATCAGACTGAGATGTTCGGAATTTCAGGGAGCAGATTTCCTGAGAGGTGTTGCATTTTGGAGCATCAGATCATCAGGTTTGCTACAATGCTTTTGCATGACAGGTGCAGCACTTCGTTTGACTTGGCCTCGCTTTTTCGTGGCAAGCGCAATACTTTAGAGAGATGAGATGGAAAAATCGCAAAATGCATTGGTACGAGGCTGTCAACTCTGCACTGGACTTTCCCTTTAGAGATATAGAGAGACACAGAAAAGGAGACAAAGAGAGAGAGAGAGAGGCTCAGAGTCTCAGTGAGTTCACTCTGCCATCCATGCATCACAACAGCTCCTCTCCTATAGGCTTCCTATCTTTGAAACTTCCGCCACCGCCTTGCGCGGTACTGCCGGTAGGGAAAATGATGATTAACCTTCGGCTTGCACAGCACACTATTTTCAGACAACCCCGTATGGACAGTCAATGGAATATCTACTGGGTGAATAATGCCATTCATATAGTGCACCATTGAACCTCGAGATACTTCAGAAGCGGGTAAGCGAAAAGATTACATATGATTACATGCAACGCAATGCTAAATGATGGTATAAGCCAGGGACTACTGTGAATGAAATAATGGCATCCCCGAAATGTTCATACATCCGATGAGGAACCCAGAAATGAATAATTCCAATACAAGACCGGCTTTGTTATTTGTGTGATTTGACATTACCCGGGTTTGATTTGGGCTAATTGAATGTATTTCGAGCCGCTTCGCGACGAGAACAGCCCGCACCCAGGGAATTGGATGGAGAGGAAAGAAGCGGGCCTACTTGGCCCAACCAAAAGCCGACTGGGGTCAAACTTGGCCGTCCTTGGCCTTAACTTGGGCCGAACAGGAGCGGACCTGGGCCCAACTTGGGCGTAACTTGCTCCGAACTCGGGCCACTTGGCTCCAACTTGGGCCCAACTTGGGCCTGGCTTCAACATGGCGCAACTTGGGCACGTTTCGACACAAGCTGGGCTTAGCATGCGCAACGGGGGCATCTGGCGCCGAAGTTGGGCACAAGACAAGCCCAATGTGGGCAACATGACCTCGCACAAACCCGGAAATAGCAGTGAAAATGCCAAAGTTGACCCCAAGTCGGGCCAATGTTGCGGCCATGTTGGATCGAAACGGTCCATTTGGGCGATTTTGGGCCGATCTGCAAAATGTGCAAATTACCAGTCCCCTGCACTTTTTGACGGTCTGCTCCGTTCGAAAGTGCCCGCCCCCAGATGAAGCTGTACCAGTCTGACAGATCTGTCCGGTCGCATGCGCTGCTAAACTACCACGCCTCAGCACCTTCGGTGCGGGCGGATTTGATATTAGGGAGAAGGGATTGCCAAGAAGCTGGGAAGCTTATAGATCTGTATGATTCTCAGGGCTTTAATATGTGCTCCTATAGCAGCATACCTTTTTTCAACCCAATTTCATGAAACCTCGGGCTACAAATACTTAGATGGGCCATGGAGTTACCTGCTTAGTATCTAGGCTATAGGCTATAACGGAGTATGTAATGTCCTATTATAACTTGAATCCCAACAAGCACTCAACTATCTTCAGAACCCATCTGAGTAGATATCTGATAAGGCTTACAGTAACTCCCATCAACCCTTAAGGTCTTATCAAACCCCTATTCTTTGGGCTTGGGGGGTACACCGGGGGGCCTCCCTGGCCTTGTGTAACGCAATCTGCAGGTACTTGGGCGCTTTCGGCCGCAGCGTGGCGGTCGAGACGGTCGAGTGCCACAAGCGCCGGGCGCAGAACATCGCCGGTTGCGACTGCTTGGGGCAGGGGATATTAACGAAGATAGTTTTGGGTTGGGATTTCGCAAAGTTGGGATATGGTTCCCCTACAACTATGGTGAAAAATTGGAGGAACTCATGTGTGTATATATATATATATTTATTTATTTATTTATTTATTTATAATATATCCAATTAGACCTGGAAGTGCACCAGTGTCCTTCACATGTGTAGATGGACGATGTTGAGGGCCACTTTAATGTCGTCCAATCGCATCTCCCCAAGCTGTGGAGTGCCCCCAAGATCCAAGTTACAGTCTCCGCGGGTAATGCAGGTATCAAAAACGATAATTAATTAATTAGTAATTAACTAATTAATTAATTAATGACTGTACTGTATATCATATCTATATAATATAATATATAGATGTCTATAGTCTATAGTCTTTACAACTTTATACTAACCATGTGGGCTGAGAATCAACTCGCCTGGTGTTTGGCTGGCCTTACACTGTATGGCCTTGATGGAAAACACAGCGCGCAGCTTCGAATGTGCCGGGGCCCGTCAGCGATGGATATTTCAAGCAACAACTCAACAACTAAAACTCTTCATGAGATGGGCATAGATGGGGGATTCGGGCAGAGTCCTTCCCATTTGAGCCCAGATGAGTGCGCGGCCTTCTCGCACAGTGAAACAGAGTGGAAACTCCAGATTTGGATAAACTGGTGAAGAATGAACTTGAGAGGGGGAACACGAAAGGTAGGTAAGCAAGAAAGGAACCGAAGAAAAAATGAAGGGGAGAGGGGAGGGAAAAATACATAAAGTGGAGTCTGGTAAAAGCGACGCGGCCATTTTCTTTCCAAAAATATGAAGGGGAGTCTGGTAAAAGCGACTGAAAGGCTTCGGCGATGTGGTTGGGGTTGGTGGTGGTTGTGGTGTTGGTGGTGTTGGGTGGTGGTGGTGGTGGTGGTGTTGGTGGTGTTGTTGGTGGTGTTGTTGGTGTTGTTGGTGGTGGTAGTGTTTCTGGTGTTGTTAGTGTTGTTAGTGTTGTTGGTGTGGTTGGGTTTGTTGGTGGTGTTGGTGTTGTTGGTCGTGTTGTTGGTGTTGGTATTGTTTGTGTGTGTGTTGTTGTTGTTGTTGTTGTTGTGTTGTTGGTGCTGTGTTGTGTGTTGTGTGTGTTGTGGTTGTTGTTGTGTTGTGTGTTGTTGTGTGTTGTGTGTGTGTGTGTTGTTGTGTGTTGTTGTGTGTTGTTGTGTGTTGTTGTGTGTTGTTGTGTGTTGTTGTGTGTTGTTGTGTGTTGTTGTGTGTTGTTGTGTGTTGTTGTGTGTGTTGTGTGTGTGTTGTGGTGTGTTGTTGTGTGTTGTGTTGTGTTGTTGTGTGTGTTGTTGTGTGTTGTTGTGTGTTGTTGTGTGTTGTTGTGTGTTGTTGTTGTTGCGTTGTTGCGTTGTTGTGTGTTGCATGTGTTGTTGTGTGTTGTTGTGTGTTGTGGTGTGTTGTTGTGTGTTGTTGTGTGTGTGTGTTGTTGTGTGTGGTTGTGTGTGTGTGTTGTTGTGTGTTGTTGTGTGTTGTTGTGTGTGTTGTGTGTGTGTGTGTGTGTTGTGTGTGTGTTGTGTGTGTTTGTGTGTTGTGCGTTGTGCGTTGTGCGTTGTGCGTTGTGCATTGTGCGTTGTGCGTTGTGCATTGTGCGTTGTTGTGGTGTTGTTGTTGTTGTTGTTGTTGTTTTTGTTGTTGTTGTTGTTGTTGTCGTCGTTGTTGTTGTTGTTGCTGTTGCTGTTGGTGTTGTTGTTGTTGGTGTTGGTGTTACCCCTGCAGCGTTTTTGCTCGGTTCCGTAGTGGCCGAAAATCGTCAAATCGGTGGTGTTTTCGCGTGTTTTTGCAACTCTCGGAGCAAAAAACACCGTAAATACCGATGTTTTTGGCGGGTCGGAAGCCCAAAACCACAGTATTTACGATGTTTTTTGCCTCTGGTAGTAAAAAGCACGGTATTTACAGTGTTTTTTGGCCAGCACCTAGCAAAAACACTGGTATTTACGGAGGTTTCACCATGTAGCAAAATGTGGTTTCTTGATCCGAAAAGAACAAAAATACTGTAAATTACAATGTTTTGAGTCTGCTCTTAGGGTGCGTGGGAGGTGTGGAGGAGGGGGGGGGTACTAAAATGACTAGCAATCTCCTGAAGAATCAGGTAACGGGGCTGGCCGCCCTCCCCTTTACTTCGTAAAGTAAAACTCAAGGTAGCCCCTCTGGAGCTACCTTTCGTGACAATGTGGTTACAATTCAAAAATTGATCTTTCGGGATGATCGACATCGCCTCAAGGATTCATCGGTGAAAAAATCTCAATCCCGTATCATATTGATTCCCTGATAGTTGAATCCCTATGATTATTCCATATATATATCTCCACATTATCCTGGATATATCAAATTATTCAAAGACATTAAATACCAATGGTTGGCACCCAATGAACATCCATACGAAAGCAGCTACAGCTGCTGGTTTTTGTTGGGATCCTTCCCGCAGCGTTGAAACCACCAGCCAGATAGTCATTCGTTACCCATGAGATATCCCCCATGTTAGATGGTTAAATCATGTTAACCATGTTGAAATCCGCATGATTCGGCAAGTTGAAGTGATGTCAACTTATCCATGGTTTCATTGGGGATTTCACACTGGAGGGGATCAGAAAGAAGCACTGGAGGGAATCCTAGAAGCTTGTCTGAGGCAAAGCAACAGCCTAAGTGAGCCTGCTTCTTATTGGTATTAGAATCATCTCTTTGTACTGGCTTGTTGATAGAGGTTCGCATAGATGGAATAATATGGAATAAGCATGAATAATCCCTATTCTATAAGTAGGTAGTCTGTGGTCGTTTTGCCATTGTACCGACCCATTGATATTCTGGGCACAACCGGAAATCTCCAGAGCCATGTTACGGTCGATTCCCTTAACGGTTGAGTCGTGGATTCCATGATCGATGACCTTCATGGAAAGTCATTTTGCAGGTTCTCCGGATCCATCTTTTGCAAATGCAATTGATCCCTGAAGCCTAGAGAGAAAGCCTGAAACATCAAGCCACCAAGCAACTCTTTACTGTTTTCACAGCCCCATGGCCACCCCTTACTTGCTGATATATATATACATATATATATATTAATATATATATATAATTATATAATTATATAATTATTTTATGTCGCACGTGCCACACAGCCACGTGCCTAGGTTGGGTGCAAAGGACCATGAACTTGTCTTCTTTCTTGACTTTCCCAGCTCGGCGATTTTCAAAGTACTCCTCTGGTGTTCTGCGCTGGGTAATGAAATTCACCACGGATCTGGAAAAAATAGGGTAAACAACCTCAACTGCAAGAGTGTGTAAACCAGTTCCCCCATTTTCAAATGGCCAGTTTTTGGGAGTGCCATTCTGAGACGCATGAATAGTGCGGTTGATTCATTGTCCCCACGAGCTGCTCGGTGTTGTACCCTCCATTTCGTTGGTGAAATGCAACGGCTCATGCCCTGCACCGGCCGCGTCCTCCATGACATAGACTGGCACTCGTGTAGACTTCCCACAGCCGGTCTCACCCTGAATGCACCTGCGGAGATGGTCCACGCACATCCATTTACCATATTTTTAAAGAAATTGAATGTTCAATGGACCCAAAATTTAACCTGGATAACTGGAGAACCATATTCAATTTATTCTGTAACCAGAAAATTTTGGGATACAGTAATGACCCTTGTCAACCATCATTTCATTTCCGGTGATGTTGTGGTCAGGTCGTAATAAGTTGCGCAAATACATGTATACTAGTGTATGTACTGTATATAAAGTAACCTTGGAGTACATAGAATATGGATCTCTCAAAAGTATTCCCATTTGTCGAAATGTTCTATCTGCTTCAGCATGATCATAAGTGATTATAATATATATATATATATATGTGTGTAGCCTGAAATTGGAATTCCAAATATTCTGTAGCGAAATGTTCGGCAAACTCGCAACAGCGTTGCTATGAATCAGCACTGAGGAATCAAATCAGCTGCTTGGGATCAGCATGACCTCCTGTGATTGCCAAATTGGTTCGGGAATTATGTCCTTCCGTTTTGGTCATGATGTTCTGCTTTCTGGTAATTTTTCAGTTAGCAAGCGAACTGGAATTGATATTTTGATGATTAATCCCATTTTTGAAAATGGTGAAAATCTCAGGTGCAAACTGTTTAAGTTGAGCTGGCTAGGAATGGAATCACCAGTGTTTCACTCCGAGTTTTTTTCCGGGTCTTGGAATCCCCCAGGTCCAAACGAATGTTCCCGTGAAAACGGCCATTTTAAGGCTGCCCTGGAAAGACTCAAAAAGTACGTCCTAAAATGAACATTTGTAGAAAATGGACCAAAAAAGTACGTCTATGTATCATACAGATGTGATGTACCTTTTGAAGTTCCGAACCTCAAAAAGAACACTGCTATAACATCCTTTAGATGTACCTTTTGAGATCCCGGCCCAAAAAGGAACATTGCTCTAATATATAATATCCTTAATCCTGAGCAATAATATCCTTAATCCTGAGCAGTCGTCAGCAGGACTCTAAAAAGTAAGGCCTTAACTTAGGCCCTAAAAAGTACATTTTTAGGCCCCATTCGCAGTACACTTTTTGCGGCTAACAAAAACTGGAAGAGTCATCGTGAGTCATCGTGGGTGAATCGTGAGTACACTCGGTCGTAAACACGACCGGCATTGCTATGGTTTCGAGGACTCCTTTGGACTCCTTGCCTTTTGTGCCACTTTTCCTGCAAGGATTTACCCTCTGGTAAACGTTTACATAACTACGTATGAAAAATCACCATTTTTAATGAGTAAATCAACTATAAATGACCATTTTCAATAGCTATGTTAAATTACAAGAGGGTATGCAGTATGGCCTTAGGACTTGCAGGGGTACCCTTCATTTTTGGACAAACCCAACCAAGTCTCGCAATGTCTCGTCTTTTGATCAACGCATGACGCATTGGAAGAACGTCCAGGCCCGAAACAGGCAGGGCTAAACCTGCGAGGAGCCAGCATTGCCAACGGATGCTGAAATCCAATCATACTTCTATAAGACTTGTTCGATGTTTTTCGGTAGACCTGACGAAAAATACCCCTATCCCATAATACCTATTTTTGGCTGGTTAGTAAATAAATATTCCTATTATCAATGGCTTATCATGATCTCCAAAAAGCAACTTGGTATCACCCCCAAAAACTAACCCATCACCAGAGGAAGGCGTGCATACTGGCAGAGTTTCGCAGCTTGGCATGAAGTGAGGTGACGCGAAATTTATCTACATACATAGAAAATGCATGTATGTTTATAATTGTTTATATTTGTCTACAGTATATACGCCGTCGCACTAGTTGGCATCTAGCCGACTCCAGGCACAAAAAAAGAATTTGACTTTGGCCAACCAATTCCTTTGGAAATGGCGACATAGATAGGCTGAAAGGCAGTCCTTCGGTCGCTACCATCTGGCAGTGACACTGGAGATTGCAGTGAACGAAACCGCAGTCTCCAGAACAAAAATTCAACAAGCTCCGCGAGATTCAGAAATGGTTCTCAAGTATTCTCTTAAGTCAGTAGCTATTGGATCATATTGGATCCACCAATGGTCATTGGCAGTGATGATTGGGAGAAACAAGGGGAAAATATGCGACTTTGCAGGGAAAGTACCACATTTTGAGTCACATTGTTCAGCCAAAATCCCTCACGAAAAGGTCGCTGCAAGCATTGAAGAGCCCACCTGGGCATCTGGCGGTCAAGGAAACCTCAAGATTTCCATCTCAGAATGTTCCCAAGGCCACATTTTGTGGGTTCCTCTAAATTAGGGGCGCATAGCCTATTAAAACATCCAGATACCATCTGGTTATGACTCACAGTTCGCCATGGAAAATCCCCATTTTTAATAGGTAAACCATCTATAAATGGGCCATTTCCCATGGCTATGTTAAATAACCAGAGGGTAAACCTTCATGAACTTTCTTGGAATCTGTATGAGTCTGTATGACGGATCTCTTCAACACGCCGAGTCGACCCTTTGTAGTGCCAAACGCCGCCCGCCCGAGACCATGGCTTCCTCCTGCGATTGTTGCGATAGATCGAGAACCACAGATAGTCAGAGACTCGGGTTATAAGATATGTATATATATATGTACTATATACATCTATACATGTATTGTTGCACTACATGTATTGCTTTGCATTGCATTACATTCGCTGAGATTATACTATAGTTACTACAAATACACACCCATACATACCTATGTACATCTATACGTGCCTACATCATCTCTCGATCAAACGACATGTATATACTCTGGTGCGTTCGTGGCCATGCCACCAAGTAATATGTACCAGGTTCAGAAAACTTAAAATGCCATGAACTTTGAACCTAAATTGTTCACAGTTCATTTAAAGTCCCCAAATGGTTTATATAATTGGGGATGGCAAAAAATCATTGGGTGTTTTCACAATAAGATGTATCAATCCGTCCTGATGTAATTAGGTAGAATGCAAATAAAAATGGACCATACCCAACACCCGAGAATTATCTACATATTGAGCATTCTGGCGGGATGTTCGAACTCAAGGATGATCATTGCCATAGATGGCTAATCTTGTATAGTAGCCTTAGAGCTGGGTATTATCTTTCCTATAGCAAAAGATTGAAGTACCAGACTATTAGACTGTTCATTCAAGGTTTCCCGAGGTAGTGTCTCCTATATGGGGTTGTGTCAAACTGGTGGATACCCCAGTTCGTAGACATGCAAAAAAAATAGGAAAATGGTTATTAAACAATGGGATGAAATGGGTTCCATATTTTGAGACAACCCCATCTTGTGGCACAAACTTGGTCCTGAATTTGGGGTTGGTTATACCCCTTGGTTCCAATCCTGTAAATGGCTAGCCCCTAGTCCCTACATGTCATGTGATACCGTGATTCTTCCTTTTGCTGGTATTGTAGGTGAATATGTTATGCTGAAACCCCCTTCTTATAGCAAAAGATAAAGGTACTGAAGTATCCATCCAAGCTTTACCCAGAGATTCACAATCATTTGTGGTCAGATCGCCAGTCCTTCCCTTATCAAGTGGATATCTCATGAAATCTCAGTATATCTCCAGTATGTGTATATATAGCATAAGTAATCATAAAATATTCCATTGTATATCCGGTTGTATACCCTATGCACTACCATCTGGTGATTTAACATAGCTACTTAAGATCACCAATAGATATATATATATATATATGTATGTACACAATGCTTTATATATGTATATGTATGTATGTATATACAATATTTCATGTATATATAATGATATTTATATAAAATATTATACATACATTATATATATATTCTATGACTATCTATATATATATAGTGTACTCTATATATAATTATACATACTATGTATATCATAGAAAACTATATAAATATATTATATTATATTATATTATATTAAATTATATTATATTATATTATACTATATTATATTATATATTATATTATATTATATTATATATTAAATATGATATGATATTATATTATATTATATTATATTATATTATGTCATGTTATATTATATTATATTACATTATATATATGTATTACTTATATCATTATTATGCCATATATATATATATATTACTTATACAATTATTAGATACATTAAATATACTCTCTTATGTATATATATATATATTACTTGTATCATTATTAGATACATTAAATATACTCTATTATATATATATATATATTACTTATATCATTATTATTATATATATATGATATATACTCTATTATATAATATATATATATATTGTACTCTATTATATATAATTATATATGTAATGTTCATTCATAATCGCTCTGGCTATATCACGATTTTCCAGGCGATCTCTGCCTTCCGGGCTCGAGATGTTCGGTCTCCTTCCTCAGGTTGAAACTCTGCGAGATCAAGGCCGTTGACAAACTGCTTTCGCCGTCGGGAGAGCTGCGGGGTCGTGGCGGCGGCGAAGCCTGGAAAAACCAAAGGAGTTTGGGGTGTAGCCTATGGAGAAACCCAGAAAAAGATAGAAAAAAACCATGGGATTATGGAAGTATGGGTGTAGCCTATGTTTCAGTCAGTCCATACTCGATAATTTAGAATTATTCACTTTCAACCGTCAATTGGGATGATCGTTCTAACCATAAATGGACAACGATTGGTAGTAACAGAAAGTATGGAAATCCAAAAGTCAAGGACCTTTTCTGGGGGGGGGCTTTGAACCAAACAGCATGGAACTATTGACCAATAACTTTAAGCGAGAAAGACATGGAGGGGTGTTGGATCTAGAAAAGAAATGGGACATAATGGGATGTTGTGACGGTAGAATCAAAAAAAACAGTTGACATTGACTATTAATTTCATTCAAAGTTTTTGCCAAACCCATGTGATGAAAATGGGTGGCTTCCCCGCAGCTATGCATGGCATCACTTTGGTAACCTGCACGACTTGGCGTTGGGTGACTTATTCGTAAATTGCTATGTACCCCGTGCCCCCATCATCTACCATCATGGTGCCTCAATACTTGCCCAGATATCCCAAGCACAACGATGGCAAACATCGTTTTTGAGTATTGTACAGGCTAGTATCTGAAATTTTCTGAGAATGGTAGACAAAAAAACACTAAATAGCTATTTCAAATTATTTCAATGAGGAAAATAATGATAACACACTAAACACTGGTTTTGGGGTAGCCTATCTTCAGACAAACCCATCCTCCGCATAACCCGGTTTTCACAGTTACTCGGGAAATCACCAACCACAGTTGTTACCAATCACACCATGACTCGAAGTCTTAACACCTCGCATCACATGGAGATGCAACCGACCAACAAACCAAAACAGCAGCTTTGCTGCGATGTCTAGCCGTCTAGCCATGCTTCATGATGCAATTTGTTTTGGGAATGCGAGCCAGGTCATACCCACATACTTGACATTTCGAAGGTACACCGGGTATGCCGAGATGATCGTTGGGGACATCTGGTCCTAAACCATAATTACCAGCTTCATCGTCGCAAGTTTTAGCTTGTCACCATTCGTCACACTCACACTAGTCTACTAGTCCGTGGGGTCCCAAAATGGGGCCCGAAAATGTTGGGCAAAGCCCAAAAACTGATGGTTTTCCAAGTATGATATTCCCCATAATATCGCCATGTTCCCCTGGTAAATCCCAATTTTTGATGGCAATTTTTCGAAAACCGGTCGACTCACCCAGAAACTGGTGCGGAAGAGCCGTTGAAGCTGTGGCCGGACAACTCACAATCCAAAGAGTTCAAGGCTGCCATGCCCTGGCGGGTCCCCCGCGGATGGGGAAGTTGTACTTTTTGTACCTATGTTTTACTGCAGCTTAACGGGATTTCATGGTGATTTAATGGCATCTTGTGGTGATTTAATGGGAATAATATCTATATATGGGAATATATATATATATGTATCATGACATATCACTGATTAGATCAGATACACAACTTTCTCACCTTGGAAGGCCGAGAAAGCGGTTTCCGCATCGAGCGGCTCAATGAGATGTTCAGACCTTCGGAGGTTCATCCAATGTCCAAAGCTCCTGGCTCAAAAAAACCATGATACCCATGGTACCCTCTGGTAATTTAACATAGCTATTGGAAATGGCCATTTATAGTGGAATTTCCCATAGAAAATGGTGATTTTCCATAGCTATGTTAGTTTACCAGAGGGTACCCCTGAATTTTGATGGTTTAACACCTCACGTTCCTCCTCTAAAACCGTGTTTTTTTCGAAAAAATGGGCATCCCCAGTTTGGCATCGATCAGATGCCTCGCCTGATGCCAGATCTGATGGTATCCGCACTTGCAGATTTCCACCGCATTTTCAATCTCTTGTTCCACGGCCTGGAAACACAAGACCACAAAACGATGATATTCCATCAACAAATAGGATTTTCACTGATTGTACTATCTGGCAATATCTATCATAAATTCACATGTTGATCATCGATTGGGCAGATTGTTGATGGATGGATACTGAATGATATAAACAGGGATGTTTTTGCCAGCTTAGAATAATTGCCAGAGCATGAGTTTTACACACCAAATGATGGCCCGGGTAATCTGCAGACCTCCTCTCAACCCTGACTAGTCTCTGCGCGGATCCACAAGTGATCAATGTTTCCTCCATCCTGGATTCCCTGCTTTGCTTGGAACTCATTATTACAGGAAAGCTCCGCTTGGGCTGTGGTTGTTTGGGGGGTTCAGGCGGTTCTTTTGACACGGACAAGTTCCCCACCCCTGGTTCCGTTGTGCGGGCCCTCTTCATGTCGCTGTCAAGTCGTCCACTACTGTACACATTATGAAGACAGCAGGGACGTGCAGTTTAGTTTGTTGATTTTCTCCTGGGCAGGTTGAACACCTTTGTATACAGTGTGTATATATATATAGCATGTATACATTATATATATAGTGTAGATGTATATATATATTGTGTATATATATATCCGGTATATATATATACAGTGTATATACATATACTGACATATACTGTATATAAAGTGTATATTCATATACTGTGTATATATATATAATTATATAATTATATATATATAATATTATAATTATATATATACTGTATATACACTGTATATACACTGTATATATATATATATATACAGTAGATATACTGTAGATATACAGTGTATATATACGTGTGTAACAGTATGTGTGTCCGTGTGTTTCTTCTAGACAACTGTAGAGGTAGCCACTTCGCCACGCCTTTCCCGCAAGTTCGCCCAACTTCTTGGCTCTAAGGCGGCCTGGACATGGACGTTTCAAAATTTAAAAATACCTCATTATGACTACATAGATGTATATATATATACATATTGTAAACCTTCGTAAACTATTAATGCAACAAGAAAAATCACAATACATTGTATCATTAAAAATTACGTTATAGCATGATATATCATCGTATGTAACGGTTCTAGCTAGTTTCGCACATGCTATGGCCAGCAGGCCATACCCATGTGCGGCTTTGTGGTTTTTTTTGGAGGCACGGAAACCGTGGAGGGATCAGGGACTTGTGGAAGGTGTCTATATATGGTGATGATGGTTAATGATGGTTAATGATGGTTAATGATGGTGATTAATGGTGATTAATGGTGATTAATGGTGATTAACTATGGTCATATGGTAAATATATATATATACCCTCTGGTTAAACATAGCCATGGTATAGATGACCCATTGATTTCTAGATGGTTTACCTATGAAAATAGCATGGTGAATCTTTCCATGGCGAACTGTGAGTCATAACCAGATGGTATATATAATTTTGAGCCCGGTTTTTTTAAGCCCCAATTTGCTCATGGGGGGGGATTCTGAAAATAGTCATACTTCCTTTTTTGTATGGTACCGCAAATAGTTTCAACTAGGGGTTTCTACTGAATCCGGGGTTTCTAACCCCATGGTTATCCCCGGCATCCAAGAGGGCAGCCTCGCTCCACGAGCTCAGCACTCTCGCGATACTGCGCGGGGTTTCGACACCGCCTATCCGCAGGACGCGAATCCAAAGAGGTTCCAAACCACAATGGCTATAGCGGCTATGAGTGATTCCATCCCATTAGTAGAACAGCATTTAATAGTGAATGTTAATGATGGTTGATTATCAACTAATCCCATCCCCGGCCCATTCCAATATTGAACACCCCATCCTAGGGTCCCAAAGCTGTGTAAATCCCCTACTAAACCAGGATTTGTTGGGGGTGTTCAGTACCAGGGGGAAGGGTTTATTACCATTGAATGGTTAGTGATCGTTGGTTGGTTGATGATTATAATATCAAAATCACCATTTGATAGGGATATCATGTGAATTAAATGCACCACAATAGTTTGGGCCTTCAGTGTATAAATAGATCCAATACCGATTGGGGGTATTCAAGTATTCAATAGGGGTCAAGGGGTCATCCGCGCACGCAAATCCAGGTCACATGTACACACAGAGACCTTTTTCGAGCCTTACGGTCACCTGCGCACGCAAAACGACGGTCACATGTACACACCAGCGATCCCACGGTCACATGTACACACAGGTGCGGTCATCTGCGCACGCAAAACGACGGTCACATGTACACACCAGCGATGCCACAGTCACATGTACACACCACTACTCTGGATATGGGGTAGGGTGGAGTGATAACGTTCATGTTTCTGTGCACGCACAGGCACGGCAACCTTATCATCTTTCTGGCTGCTCAGCAGACACAAGCACTACTCATCCCTGCGTTCCACTAAACTATTGTCTCCATTTTACTTCTTTATTTAAACTTCCCCTCCCCTGTGTGCCACTAAACCATTGTCTCCATTCTACTTCTTTATTTAAACTTCCCCCCCCTGCGTTCCACTAAACTATTGTCTCCATTCACTTCTTTATTAAAACTTCCCCCCCCTGCGTTCCACTAAACTATTGTCTCCACTTTACTTCTTTATTTAAACTTTCCCCCCCTGCGTTCCACTAAACCATTGTCTCCACTTTACTTCTTTATTTAAATAAACTTACTCCCCCCTGCGTTCCACTAAACTATTGTCTCCATTCTACTTCTTTATTTAAACTTTCCCTCCGTTCCACTAAACTATTGTCTCCATTTTACTTCTTTATTTAAACTTACCCACCCTGCGTTCCACTAAACCATTGTCTCCATTCTACTTCTTCATTTAAACTTACCCCCCCCCCTGTGTGCCACTAAACTATTGTCTCCACTTTACTTCTTTATTTACACTTCCCCCCCCCTGCGTTCCACTAAACCATTGTCTCCACTTTGCTTCTTTATTTAAACTTACTCCCCCCTACGTTCCACTTAACCATTGTCTCCATTCTACTTCTTTATTTAAACTTCCCCCCCCCTGCGTTCCACTAAACCATTGTCTCCATTCTACTTCTTTATTAAAACTTACCCCCCCCTCTGTGTGCCACTAAACTATTGTCTCCACTTTACTTCTTTATTTAAACTTCCCCCCCCTGCGTTCCACTAAACTATTGTCTCCACTTTGCTTCTTTATTTAAACTTACTCCCCCCCTGCGTTCCACTTAACCATTGTCTCCATTCTAATTCTTTATTTAAACTTACTCCCCCTTGCGTTCCACTAGACCATTGTCTCCATTCCACTTCTTTATTTAAACTTCCCCCCCCCCCTGCGTTCCACTGAACCATTGTCTCCATTCACTTCTTTATTTAAACTTACGCCCCCCTGCGTTCCACTAAACTATTGTCTCCACTTTACTTCTTTATTTAAACTTCCCCCCCCTACGTTCCACTAACCCATTGTCTCCATTCTACTTCTTTATTAAAACTTACCCCCCCCCCTGCGTTCCACTAAACTATTGTCTCCACTTTACTTCTTTAAACTCCCCCCTGCGTTCCACTAAACCATGTCTCCATTCTACTTCTGTATTTTTAAACATATTTAAACTTCCCCCCCCCCCTGCGTTCCACTAAACCATTGTCTCCATTCTACTTCTTTATCTAAACTTCCCCTCCCCCCCTGTATTCCACCAAACCATTGTCTCCATTCTACTTCTTTATCTAAACTTTCCGCCCCCAGCTCCCTGTAAAGAGTCTCAGACAGATAGATAGTTTGATAGATTGATAGATAGATAGATAGATAGATAGACAGACAGATAGATAGATAGATAACGTACATTAAAGACGTTTCCTATTCGCGTGTAGTTGCGACCATGGCCGCACAGATAGCCTGCTTAAACCAACTTCCACGCATGGCTGCAGATAGAAACAGCACATATACCACAAGTTTCGATTTTCATTGTATTTTACAAGCAAAAAATGCGCGTCTCCTATTCGCGTGTAGTTGCGAACTTGCCCGCGTGTACATGCGACCATCTCCCACAAGTCGTTCGCGTGTACATGCGACCTTTGTTTCGCGTGTACATGCGACCCCCCGACCTTCAATATACTTGGTGGCCGCGTTCAGTCACCCATGGTCGCAAAGAGTCACCCAACCGCATGGAAACACCACGATCGCGTCAAGTCACCCATTCTCTAGCAGAACACCATGGAGACACCACTTTCAGGTGGAACCCAAAATTATGTTTAAATTCAAGGATTTCATGTGGACACCACATCCGGGAGCGGTTTTTTTTCCGGTTGTTTCAAACACTTTGAAGTGCAGAACACCATGGGACACCGTAAGCAAACATATTTCAGGAAAGATGCCTTTTGTGAGCAGATCCCATTGGGACACAACGTTCACGTGGACCCCAAAGTTGTGTTCGAATTCAAGCATTTCATGCAAACACCAGTAAGGGGAAAGGAGTACTCTCATCCCCACCAAGAGCAGTTCAGTTGGGTCTAAACATTTCACCTGTTTACACTTATTAGGGGGTAACAAAATGTTATCACCAATACTTCTAATTATCGCCCAGACATATCCCACTTCTGCTGATTGAATATTACGTCGTCGTTGCTCCTCATCCCAAGTTCGTTCGTCCAATGTGTTCAATGGTTGGCACAATCAGTACCATCCTAAGTCGTGTCAAATTCCATTTCATTTTTTCCAAATTCTATGCCTATCTGGTTGGTGGTTTCAACCCCTCTGAAAAATATGAAAGTCAGTTGGGATTATTATTCCCAATATATGGAAAAAAAATGTTCCAAACCACCAACCAGCTATTTATTGCCAGTAAACCAAAGCAGATGCAGCCCTGCCCTGCAGCCCCAATTGACTAGTGGTGAAATCAGTGGTTTTGTTGCTTAAGCTTGGTCCACACTTTTTGGTGCTGAATTCTCTCATATTGTTAGGTCCATTTTTGGTGGCTGAAAATCCATGGTTAGATAAGTTAGATCCCGACTAATCCATGCTGCTGGTTTTTCATCACCATCTGTTCGCCAAATCTGAGGCTTTATCATAATGCCAATTCATTCGCAAAATCAATGGCTATCCATTTTCGCATACGAGATAGCTAGCTAGGAAGATTCATCAACCATTGATTGTTGGTTAATCGTAATTTCGATACTTCAACCAATAATCAAACATGGCTGAGAGATCCCGCAACGGAGGATGATCGCCGGGAAAACCCTCGAAGTACATGGGGGATAACCAAGGCGCTCCACGCTGCGTTTGTGGCGCTGCTTAGCGAGTTCCGTCTCCTCCGGGTAATGGTTCCAGGTTGTTATGGTGGTTTTGTCCCTAAAATAAAAGGTGTCTTAACCAACAGAAATATGGATATGTATTTATCTGGATTTGTAGCTGATATAGCCCATTCTATAGCTGATTTATGTTAGCTAAATTGATGACTAATAACTAGAATGACTAAAGTTTATGGTGATAACTATAGCTAGATGGATAATAGACCAACTTATATTGGAGCACCGCCTTGCAATCGAAATGAGCAGTGTCAGATGCCTGTTGGAAGATCCCGAAAATCATGGTTGGTTAGGAATCGGATTCCCCCTTGTGGGTTTTTTGAAACTGCCCGAATGGGGAACCATACCCCAAAACAAGTGTTTTTGCCATGATGAACCATAATGATAAATCATACATATATATATACATTTATGATAATTTATAAATTGTTTATAAAGCGAGAACTGCGCCCCCCATGTTTACGAGAATGATGATGACAACAATGGTACATTATACCGTTTTCACGATATGTTCTGTTCTTTTCGAAATTCAGAACCAACCCACAAATGAAGACTTATATATATATATACATATATAAATGATCATAAATGATGCTTTGGTAACAATGAGAACCATCTTAAAGAGGCACTTCTGTCATCGGGTTTATCAGATTTATAGATTTATCCTTGAAAAAGCAGAGTCGTCACGATCATCAGCAGCAGCATTATTGGTTCCAAAGGTGGTTTTTACAAGAACTCTTGCAATAATTGCATCTGTTTAAGAAAGGAAAGCGCTTTTGCGCTTTTAAAAATTACCAAACAAAAAATTGGACTTGTATAAGTTGTCTGCAACGTATTTGAGGTTCTACGCATTCATGATTCCATGATTTTCTGGAAAAAAAACATGTCGAGATTCAGGAGCATACATTATCATACATTCAAAGATCATGCAAATCATTGGTAAATCATGGTAAATCCTAGGGCAGTCAAAATCCAAATGGTACTCTATCGGCCCTATCATAGCTGGTTTTTTGGTTAATTCCACATGGCAATGACAAACCCTCCTCCTCGAGCTGCGAGGCCTTCTCAGCCATCCTTTTCCCCTTAATGGCCTGGCAATTATTTCGCGCAACCAGCAATGGAAATGTGAATGATGGGATATATTTATATTTATATGTATATATTTATATGTATGTATATGTATATATAATTATATGTATATGTATATGTATATGTATATGTATATGTATATGTATGTATATATGTACTATGGATATATTTCTATAGCGGCCAGATTCTCAACATGGCGATGGTTATTTTCGCCAGATTTTTCTTTGGTCTTTGGAGTTGAACAAACAGTTTGAACCATTCTTGGAGAATCACATTAGCGATGGTTGAATCCCCATGAAAAGAAATATATAGATACTTTAGATTCGGATGAAAAAAAGAGGTGTTCTGCAATATAAATCAATATTAAATCATTATATAAAATGAACCACATTTTAACTTCAACCGGATGAACTCAGAGTAGCCGGGCCTCAAAAATTAGCAATGACTTGGGGCATGGAACCCCAAATCCAAGGGTTTTTCTACATCAGTTTCCGTAGTGATTTGATGCTCATGCCTTGGTGCCACCAATCCATGGTTGGTTGGAAAAAACCGCCGTGATCACCAGCAAAGAACCAGCAGTCAACAGGTCGTTTTGGAATCCATTTTTCCATCTACCTTCTGGTCATGAAAAATAGATGATCCTGGAATTTTTCTGAAAAATGTTGATCCTTCCAGTTTGGAACATGTGAGCATCAGAGGATACCTTTGGTAGCCATCAGATATATTGACTTTGCGATGATCCAGGAACCCAGGAACTCATCAGTATATATGGTATACATACACTATAGAACCAACATAGCTATTGAACATGGCCATTTATAGTTGATTTTCCCATTAAAAATGGTGATTTTCCATAGCTATGTTAGTTTACCAGAGGGTACATACACTATACACATAAAAAAATGGTATATCTGGTGATGATGATCACCCAAAAAAGAAATGCTTCGATTCCTCAGTATCTTCATGGTCTCAGAAACCCTTGGGAAATTGACCCTCAGCCATCGACTCTGATTCCCAGGTCTTCCATACCTTGTAGCCATCACACCAGTCCAGAAGTTCCGGAATCAACATCTCGTTACAGGTAAACCTGCCGCAGTCGAACATGGCTCGCGATGAATTTCCCATTTATGAAATACAGGATTCCCATTTATGAACATAATCTATGTATGTATTTATTTACTTATGCATTTGTGTATTGATGTATTTATGTGTTTATGTATTTATGTATTTATGTATTTATGAATTTATGCATTTATGCATTTATGTATCCATGTATTTATGTATTTAAGTATTTATGCATTTATGCATTTATGCATTTATGAATGTATGTGTTTATGTATTTATGGATTTATGCATTTATGTATTTATGTATTTATGCATTTATGAATTTATGTATTTATGTATTTATGTATTTATGTATTTATGATTTTATGCATTTATGCATTTATGGATTTATAGATTTATGTATTTATGTGTTTATGTATTTATGTATTTATGTACCTATGTATTTCTGTACTGATGTATTTATGTATTTATGAATTTATGCATTTATGCATCAATGTATTTATGTATTTATGTATTTATGTATTTATGTGTTTATGTATTTATGTATTGATGTATTTATGTATTTATGTATTTATGTATTTATGAATTTATGTGTTTATGTATTTATGCATTTATGCATTTATGTATTTATGTATTTATGTATTTATGTATTGATGTATTTATGTATTTATGTGTTTATGAATTTATGCATTTATGCATTTATGTATTTATGTATTTATGTCTTTAAGTATTTGTGCATTTATGCATTTATGCATTTATGTATTTATGTATTTATGCATTTATGCATTTATGCATTTATGTATTTATGTACCTTAGATTTATGTACTGATGTATTTATGTATTTATGTATTTATGAATTTATGTATTTATGCATTTATGCATTTATGCATTTATGTATTTATGTATTTAAGTATTTATGTGTTTATGTATTTATGTATTTATGTATTTATGTATTTATGTGTTTACGTATTTATGTCTTTATGTATTTATGCATCTATGTATTTCCGTATTTATGTATTTATGTATTTATGTATTTATGTATTCATGTATTTGTGTATTCATGTATTTATGTATTTATGCATTTATGTATTTATGTATTTATGCATTTATGTATTTATGTATTTGTGTATTTATGCATTTATGTATTTATGTACCTATGTATTTCTGTACTGATGTATTTATGTATTTATGTATTTATGAATTTATGTATTTATGCATTTATGTGGTTATGTATTTATGCATTTATGTGTTTATGTATTTATGTGCTTATGTATTTCAATATTTATGCATTTATGTGTTTATGTATTTATGTATTTATGCATTTATGTATTCATGTATTTATGCATTCATGTGTTTGCGTATTTATGCATTTATGTGTTTATGTATTTACGTGCTTATGCATTTGAAAACTTATGCTTTTAAGTGTTTATGTATTTATGTATTTATGTATTCATGAATTTGTGCATCAATGTATTTATGTATTTATGTATTTATGTATTGATGTATTTATGTATTTATGTATTTATGAATTTAAGTATTTATGCATTTATGTATTTATGAATTTATGTATTTATGTATTGATGTATTTATGGATTTATGTAATTATGAATTTATGCATTAATGCATTTATGTATTTATGTATTTATGTATTGATGTGGTTATGTATTTATGCATTTATGTGTTTATGTATTTATGTGCTTATGTATTTAAATATTTATGCATTTATGCGTTTATGTATTTATGTATTTATGTATTTTTGCAGTTATGTGTTTATGCATTTATGTGTTTACGTATTTATGTCTTTATGTATTTATGCATCTATGTATTTCCGTATTTATGTATTTATGTATTTATGTATTTATGTATTCATGTATTTGTGTATTCATGTATTTATGTATTTATGCATTTATGCATTTATGTATTTATGCATTTATGTATTTATGTATTTGTGTATTTATGCATTTATGTATTTATGTATTTATGTGTTTATGTATTTATGTATTTATGCATTTATGCATTTCTGTATTTATGTATTTATGCATGTATGTATTTATGTCTGTCTGTGTGTATGTATATATGTCTGTATGTATGTGTGTCTGTATGTATGTGTTTCTGTATGCATGTGTGTCTGTATGTATGTGTGTGTCTACATGTATGTGTGTCTGTATGTATGTGTGTCTGTCTGTAGGTATGTCTGTATGTATGTGCGTCTGTATGTATGTGTGTCTGTATGTATGTGTGTCTGTGTGTATGTCTGTATGTCTGTGCTGTATGTCTGTTTGCAAATCTGTGTGTAAGTCTGTGTGTATGTATGTATGGATGGATGGATGGATGGATGCATGGATGTATGTCTCTGTCTGTCTGTCTGTCTGTCTGTCTGAATGTATGAAAGTATGAATGTATGAATGCATGACTCTGTGAATGTATAATGCATGAATGCATGAATGCATGGATGTATGAATGTATGAATGTATGAATGTATGAATGTATGAATGTATGTTATGGCATGTTATGTTATGAATGTATGTTATGTTATGTTATGTTATGTGAAGTGAAGTGAAGTGAAGTGATTTGATGTGATGTGATGTGATGTTTGTTTGTTTGTTTGTATGCATGCATGCATGCATGCATGTATGTATTAATATTGTGTAATGTCATATCTTGTGTTTTTTGAAGCATTAAGTACTATGTTGTATCACTGTACACTATATCAAATTATACATATATATATATAGTTTTATTTATAGAATGAACTATGTCATATCATATGAATATATATATATACACTGCAATGCACTATATATTATATTGTATCACATTGTATCATATCATTTTCTATGATATGGTACGATATGATTTGATGCGGTATACTGTGATGTATGTAACATATATTTAAAATACATACCTATTATATGTGCAGTAAAATATGCACATAGTATAATTAGTATAATATCATATAACGAATTATAGATGTGTATACATGTATCATATCACATTGGATATGGGATGAATGATATCCAAGGCGCTGTAGGTTGGCGAGGCGTTTGAGGGTCACCTGCAGCCGCGGCCAGCTAAAATTATCCTCATCCACAGTAGAAACCGCTGCAGTAACAACGAAGCCATGTGGTTTGTCTGAAAATGTTGGGGTTTCCCGCAAAATCCCATGTCGATCATCATGCTAGTTACTGAAATGGCCACAAGATTGTGGGTATGCTACATTTTCTGAGACCTCCACATCACATTGTTGGCCGCAAGCTTGGGGTTGCTCCCAAAACCCCAAATGAATGAATGGTACATTTGGTAAAATAAGAGTCAAAATTACCCATTTCCCTCCCTTGTGGCTATCATTCACCTATCATGCGTTCGAGAACTTCTTGGGGCTATCACCTACCTATAGATGTATTGACAATACATGATATATCATGATATATCCCATGATATGCATGGTATACCCTCCGGTAAACTAACATAATGTGGAAAATCATCATTTTGAATGTGTATGTTCACCATCGGGCCATTTTCTATAGCCAACTGTTAGTGCACCTTTCGGGGTATCACCTCCCAACGGTCGCGTTCACCTTCATGCTACCGCCCTGGACGTCTCGATGCCATCGCTCTTCCCGGATCCGAAAGCGGCACAGCACGCCGCCGCGTTCAGAGGCGAAGACGGGAGCGCCGTTGGGAATGGGCTCGTAGATCTCAAAATAGACTTCCTCGGAGATGGACAGAATGAGTACGACACCAACCACTGCTGGATTCCAAGAGCAAAACTGGATGGATTTGGGATGCACCAACCACTGCTGGATTTCGCCAACGAAAAACCTCCTCAAAATAGCTGCATTTGTGGTTGCAGTCTGTTGCAAAACATCTGTGAGAACGGAAAATCTCCACTAAACAATTCATGTAATTTTCTCCAACAAGGAAATACAGCAGATTGTCCAACCTGCTCTGAATGTGATTTCTGCATATTTCTGCCATAATATTCCCACCTCAAAGGCTCACGACCTATATATATATATACGTATATATATATATAATATATATATATATTTATTATATACGTATATATATATATGTATATATACGCATAAAATTTCCGTCAGAGTCCATTCCCCCTGGAAGACAATTCTTAACACCCGCCAGAAGATCAAAAAACATGGCAAGTAATCTGGAATCGACCCAATGTCAGCCTCCTTTCTCGGGGACATCTGGAATCCCATGCATTGCGCCAGGGGTTGTTGATAGTTTGGAGTTTCCCACTTGATTGGTGAGGGGATTTAAACGGCTGCAATTGTCAATCCATGAAGGAGGGCTTCCCAAAATCATTCTAGTTGATTATGTCCCCATTCCACCCCCATCATATCCCAATTTCATCACAATTCGACCCCCGAAATGTTTAGGGTTGATCATCATGTTCTCCAAATTGCCCGCAAATCACGTAAATACCACGAAAAATCACACCCTAATTTTCATATCATAGTATATCATAGTGGTTAAATATCCAAAATGTTAGTGAACCCAATGGAATAAACCATCCCCAAGTCATCACCATTTTTAAAAGGGTGGTATGTCTACCATTCCCAGTCATGGTAGGTTGGTTTATGGCATTGGGTGAATCCCACATTCATTATTAGTTATCCCATATATCATATAGTGGAGTTATATATCCCAGTTTTTTCTTGGGTCATTAATATTATCCCAATAGCCCAATTAATCCCACGTGTTCATGGCTGGTTTTAGAAAATCATCCTCCACAGATGGTGATCACCATGTAATCAGAATCACCATAGAATCACCATAGAATCACCATAGAATCACCATAGAATCACCATAGAATCACCATAGAATCACCATAGAATCACCATAGAATCACCATAGAATCACCATAGAATCACCATAGAATCACCATAGAATCACCATAGAATCACCATAGAATCACCACAGAATCACCACAGAATCACCACAGAATCACCATAGAATCACCATAGAATCACCATAGAATCACCATAAAATCACCATAGAATCACCATAGAATCACCATAGAATCATCATAGAATCACCATAGAATCACCATAGAATCACCATAGAATCACCATAGAATCACCATAGAATCACCATAGAATCACCATAGAATCACCATAGAATCACCATAGAATCACCATAGAATCACCATAGAATCACTATAGAATCACCATAGAATCACCATAGAATCACCATAGAATCACCATAGAATCACCATAGAATCACCATAGAATCACCATAGAATCACCACAGAATCACCACAGAATCACCACAGAATCACCACAGAATCACCATAGAATCACCATAGAATCACCATAGAATCACCATAGAATCACCATAGAATCATCATAGAATCACCATAGAATCACCATAGAATCACCATAGAATCACCATAGAATCCCTATCACTCCCCCCGAAACGAAACGCCATGAGCCAAGCGGCGTGGGGCGGCAAGCCCGGCAGCAGCTCCAAGCGTCCATCCGCCGTTTCGCTGGTGGCTTCGTCCATCCTGCAGGGGATGGGCCCTGGCGCTGGACTTCAGGGGATCCCAGTAGGGGTTACATGGGGTTACCCTAGTTTTATAGGGGATGGACATGGATAAACCATGGAGAAATCCCAGTTGATGTATGGAAATATGGAAAAAAGAGTTGTGAAAAACTGGTCAACATGGGATGCACATCTACCTTGAAACCCGCTTGAAAGCTCAAATTGCCTATTGAAATTGCCTTGTGTATTTGGTGCTGCATCATTCTTTGTGAGTGACTAGCTTTTAACCCAAGTCTTACACTTATACTTATCCCATTCATGACTCAATGACCAGCTACATCTTTACTATTATTTTGTTGGATGAACCACCAAGTAGTATGCTCCCAAGTTCTTGGGCCCAATTTAAGGCATTTCCCTGCTTCATGGGAAGCGTTTTCGTCCTTGTTTACCATTTACGCAGCCATAAAATGGAGCTAAACGTCCATTTTACCACAAACCCACATAGATTGAAACTTGAATCCGGATACGTTCCAATGAATCAACCATGATGTAAGGACATCACACTATTGAGGTCTCTTGGGGTTGCTAGCAAATTCTCCAACCAAAAGATTCCCTGAAAATTTTGACCCATCATCATAGCTTCAAGTGAGCAGTGTTCAAAACCCTCTGGCATCCCTTTATCTCTAAAAATGATTTCATAAGCCCCAAATAAACCAGGACTAAATCATAGCTAATCACATACTAATCGCTAATCACGCATCATTTATCATTGACATACCCATGTTTGGTGAGGTTAAGAGATGTTTGGTTTTCGCATCGGTACTTGGCTCCATCGGATGCCAAGGATCAATCTCTTGGCTGCTGATTTCAGGTCAGAGGCGACCTCCAAACCATCCATCAGCGACTCTGGAACAAAGAGCACCGGGTCATACTGACCTTTATCGAGCAGACGGCTGAGGTTCGCCACGGGTGAGCAAAGTGGGCCGGGTTGAGCACAAACAAACCGTGGCGCATCGGTCTGGTTTCAAAACTCTAGGCTCAAATTCTGTCAACTCAGATTTGATCCATCCGGGCGCGGGGGTGTCCCAAACATGGAAACCATTCTGGCTTGGGGTAAGCTGAAGGGTATCAGGAGCGCAATGCCACAATGAAGTCAGCCGGGGCGGTCCCAAATCCATCCAAATCCGCTAACTTTCTGGGATCAAAAATCACCAATTCCCAATTCATTCCCCTCGCTGAGTGGCGACATCTGCTGCCAAACACTGTGCACTTCCCGCGGCGCGCAGAGGGAGAGCTAGGGGAGGAAGGGGTACCACAGCTCCAGCCGGGAGACGCAGGAGGCCTTCGCACCTTTCCAGGGGATGTGGTGGTCATGGCACAAAGCATCCCATTTGAGGCCATGAATATGATGAAAAGTTGGAAGCGGAATCATGGGGTAGATATGTAAAACTATGTAATTATCGTACCACCAGGGAAGAACTGTTCTATCCTTTGGGGAAGTCACAACATAAATATAGATTAATAAATTAAATAGCTAATACATGCTAATACTGTAGTTCAAAATTGGAGGATACCATATCCCATGATACAATGGATATGCATGGATATGCATGGATATGCCGCATATGCCGCAATGATATGATAAGTAGTCTGAAAAAAGGGAATACTTTGAAAGAGGGGTGTTAAACCATGGGATTTTGGGGAGTGCTCCAAACGAACCCATTTTCCCCCAGGTGGTTGACCCACTACCAAATCACTACTCTATGTCACGACTTCAACATCAAACTCATGCGGATGTTACACAGCATCCAATCATAAACATCATTCCGATGTTACGCACCGTGTCGAATTACAAAAATGTAATTCTTAGGGGCCCTGAATCCCCGTGTAATCTAAAACATGTCCATTGAGGGTCTCCTTTCTGGGGGTCGAAATTGCTGTGGCGCAGGGAACACATCTGGTGGCCCTTTTGGGGAGTGACAACAAATGAGCTCTTGAACATCCTTAAACCTACAAAATTGATGGGTTCAACCAACAAAATTGGTGGTATAACTACTGAGAATTGGGATAGCTGGGACAAACACGATGATCCATTTCTTGTGGTCTCCCTCGTACGGAATGCCCAAGAAGAGAAGCCTGCGTGGATCGTATTGGATCCATTCATTTAGGGGTCCCACATTGGGATACTTGAGACTAGGCAGATTGTTAGATCACCATATTTCCACGAACTTGGAAGGGCTTTGTCAAAGTTTACCAGCGGCGTAGTAATATGATCATGGACAAAACCAAGGGGTGGCCGTGTTTTTTCTCAGACAAACCTGGCCTGGACGTTGCCCTGCCCATGTTCTTGTAAGAACATACCAACAGAAAGGGTACAATATGGTAGAATTACTTGGGTCTAGCAGCAAACTCGGCAAAAATGTTGTGAAACCAAAAAAATGATGGTACAAACTAAAAAGAGTCTCAATCATCCCCATGTTCCACCTATCTAGTCAAATGCCATGATGGAGCAGCTTGCATGAGTCGCTTGGAATTGCAACAAATGTCAACTCCGAAACCACTCTTGAGGGGCTTGTGGTTACAATACTCATGTTTACACTATGCGTCAATCTCGCTTGAAACTCTGATATGTCACAAAACTTAAATGAACCCACTCTGCATGGCCCCGCGTTCTCTTGTTTTCAGTCCTTGCCATCATTTTCGAATGGTTGAAAATCATCCCTATCGGCCCTATCCCTATCGATACGCGCAAGGCGCGCATTGGATCATGGATGGAATCCATGTGAAACGACCAGATTTTGGTTATCCATTCCTAAAAATCTCCAGTTCTCATTGGTTCCCATACTTCTTCGGCAATCTAGGACAATCTCATACTTCCAACCAGATCCAAGATGATCCAAGGGTGGGGTAGGTCAAACATTCCCCATGATCAAGGTCGCCCTTAAATATCCCATGATATTCTCATGATATTGGGAGCGGGGATACCCCCAATCATCCAGGAGTCGACCAGTTTCGGCCCCTGTTTCGGCCTCAGTCCCCTGAGGCCCCTGGTCACGCAACTTCTTCAGCAGTGTATCGCCAATGGGGCCCATGACCCACATGCCATCGTCGCATTCCCAGGCGAACTTCTCAGGGCATTTCGCCTTGACCTTTTTCGGGTGACCACGTGTCGTCATGCGTTTTTTTCGGCTTCCCCTGGACCATTGAGGGAAAGTTCCCATCTGTTTTTTCAGGGTACCCTCTGGTAATTTAACGTAGCTATTGAAAATGGCCATTAATAGTGGATTTTCCCATAAAAAATAGTGATTTTCCATAGCTATGTTAGTTTACCAGAGGGTAAAAGGTCCATGTAAAGCCGGTGATCTTGATTCTGGTTTTTTGGCGGCGAAAAAATAGGGTGCCTCAAAAGCCAATGGCCAGTGGTTGATCATCAGCATTGGGGGATCATCGTCCCTTTTTGCTAAGGATTGAACTCATCAAAAATCACCCTAATACAAAAAATACCCCCAATGTGGGATACCGGGATACCAAACAAAAAAAGAATCCAATACATCCAATACTAAACTAGGATCTTAGCCGGAAGTGGTATTTGAATGTATTTGATTTAAAGCCGGAAGTGATTATTTGTCAATATCTTATACACCCATTGAATCTTGAAAACCACCAAGCGGTTTAGGATATTTGAGGTGATGTATGATCTTGACCCAATGCAAGCTTGGCCCATCCCTCTTGTTGAGGCATTTATCTGGCTACGTATTTGTTAACCCACCATTTAAACATCAACTTTTTCCAAGGGGAAACCGCTGGCCATATCCAGATCTATGAATCTATGATAGCTTACCAGGCTTACCAGATGTGGAGAAAATGATATGGATATAGTTTATCCATTCTAGACATATATATTTTTTTTCTGTGTCTATATCTATCAATAATATTTAATAATTGCAAGAATCATTAAAATTAAAAATCACAAACCTGAAAGAAGTCCTGTTTGGGGTTATCCTCACCACCTGGGTCAAATTGGATGCTCCTGGAGAATCATTTGATACATCTGGGCCCTTTGGTGATCAAGACCACATCGTAGCCCGTCATGTCTCTTCATCCGTTCAGATATACCGGAAATCTGTAGCTTTTGATCCATCCCTTCGCAAAATCATCAAAACCCTATACAAAATGTTAAAATGTTAAACATAGTTAAACCTTCTTGTCTAATCTGTTTCCGTTTGAATCAGCCAGTGAAAACCCAAAATTTTGGCTCAGCCACGGCATCGAAGAAATTGAACTTGCCACTGCCCAAAGAAAGCGTCAAGTCCAACGCCATGGACGCTGGGCCGCAGGTATTGGCTTGGAGTGGCTTGGAGTGGCTGGAGTGACTGGCTTTGGATTTTAAAGTCACCTAAATCACAATTTGTGTCTTGATGTGAATCTTGAGGCAATGCCCCAACAGTTTGGACTACAAAAAGCGGCAGCGGCCCAACTGTTGAAAACTGGAAGAGAACATCCAGAACCCAAGTCCACGATATTGGTCCCAGGAGTTTTGATGGCCCAGAATTTTGGTTTCTGTCAAAAATGTCCAAGACCGGCATTAAATTTGGTTTTCTCAACATGATACGCTCTGGCAACCAAACAAAAAAAACTCCAAAAACACTTCATCACAGTGGAACCAGTTGCCAGTTGAACCCCCTCAAATACTGCTACATGCTACATATTTCAAAGCAGTCTTAAAGTTCCCCCCAAAGGAAGAGGTGGGTTTGGTTTCAACCATTAGGATACCAATGTGTTCATTTGTTTATCCAAAAAATATCTAAACCATCTAAGCCCTTCCATGTTGAGGTGGATTGTCACAAGTTCGACCCATCCAGAAATCAATCCCAGTTCTGGTGCCGCACGTGACGCGGTGCGTCTCGATATGCTTTAAGATCCTCGGGATTTGGGGACCGATAGAGACGGCTACGTGCGCATGTGTTTGCGTATGTATGTATATATGGTCCCGTCCTCCGTCTCTCCACCCCCCCAATGGGCTGGGTCCCCAGGTAGCACCCCCACTTCCCTTCTATTTGCAAGCTATTGGCAGCATTCCTGGGGTCCAGCTTCGTATTTGCTAGGTCTTGGCAGCATTTCTGACTACCAGCCTAGCATTTACTAGGTACATGCTACCTTTTAGGCGACCTACCTAGCACACATACTCCCTCAAAGTGCCTACGTGCTACCTATAGTCATATATACCATGTGCTATGTATCTACTTCCTATTTACTACCTGTGTACCATGACAACACTACATGTGTCTAACATATACCGTACCTACCATACGTTCCAATGATGCCATGCAAACCATACCTACCATACATACCATACATATGAAACATTATTACCACACCTACCATACATACAATAGCAAACATACATGCCAGACATACCATACCTACCTTACATAGGAAACATCCCATACCCATCATAGTAACCATATATATACCATACAGACCATACATAGTGTCATATCAAACATACCATACCCAACAGAATTACATACCATACCTACCATCCATACAATACCAACCATTCATGCCATACCTACCATACCAAACATACCATACTTTCCAAACATGCCATGCCAGACCGACCATACACACCATACATACCCAACATACCATACCACACCCCCACCACACAAGGACACCACAGTGGGGGAGGGGGACGGTACCACACCTCCACCACACCACAGGGGGGAGGGGGAAGATCCATCCCGTGGGGGGGAGGGGGGTGGCAGGGCCTGATGCATATATATTATTATATATGCATATATGCAAGTGACACAAGTAAGGCTATATGTACCTGTGTACAATGTATGAATACATAATGAGATATATATATATAATATATATAATATATATATATATATTATATAATATATAATATATATATAATATATATATATGTGTGTATGTGGTTGCATGTCATACCCATTAAAGAGCTTTTTGGGATCTCTTCAGATTCTGGATGCATCTGCCTGCAGGGGATCGGTTTCATCTGTTCTTGCTGGTTTGGGGTCCATGTAATGTGTTTGTAGCCGAGACAACAATAACCAAACAAAGGTCCATACGGACATATCATCTACATCTACATGTGTATACATGTATATACATAAGTACATAACTATACATATGTGTATACATATTTATATGTATGTATGTGGTTTCTTCTTCGTCATCACGCGTGTACACATTTGACATGTACGTACTATATGTACGCATGTGGATGCATATGTCTACCAACAAGAGGAGACTGCATATTGTTATACTTGGGTTAAACCAAGCAAGAATGAGGAAAAGGCGAGTTGGCCACAATCAATTGGTATGGGTCAAAAGTTGTCGGAAGAAAACAGTACGGGGATCATCAGAAGTCCTTGCTTTCGAAATCACGATTTATGAATATTATAAATATACATAATATATATATATATGTATACATATAATATATATATATATATGTGTGTACATATAATATACATGTATTTATATGCATCTAACTGGGCTGTGTTCAATCCTCCCCAAATCCCATGGTTTCCCTGGTGTCTGGTGATTTCAACCATTTCAACCCACCCCATGGGTACAAGTTGGTGACCCCGATGTTTCTTGCTTTACCATACACCGTAGCATATATCTGGGTAAATTATAATATTTCACTCACCTGAATTGTTGCGCCATTTTGGGATGATTCCCCTTACTAACCATGATTCCAGTGAGGTCGTAGTGAGGTCATTATAATTTACCCAGATATATATATATATATACCTAGCTTTAAACCAACTTAGCTATGTGGCTGCACCCTGTAGTGGTATAATTTGGTACTGGGATTATTGCATTGATTGTCTCATGTTATGTGTATTTCCCCCTATTAGTGATTCCATTCACACTACCGATGATGCACCCATTATAGGGGTCCCTAAAAAGATGCGGAAATGTGCCTCCAGGTCATAGATAATGTGTCCTCCCCAATTTCCTGTTTTCCAACTGTTCTATCTACGGCTGGGGGTTGCTATATACATATATATATATATACCTGGAGTAGATGGAATATGGAATTATACAAAAAAGAAGAAGAAGAAAAGCAACATCACTAAACTGGGAATATCTTTGAACATTCAATCTTCCATCTACTCCCAGGATGATATTATATACCTATATGACCGTATATGATATAGTATATATATATACTCCAACAGCATACATGGTCCGTTAATCACCCATTTCTGATCACCCAGGGACTTGTCGCGATGTTCGTCAATGGGCAGCTCTTCCACATGTGAGGACCTGGGCTGTCAATTTATGGACCATGAAAAGTTGGCGATTGACCCATCAAAAATGTGGATTTACCATGATTTACCCATCCAAAATGGTGCTAAAAAATCATGGCAAAGTTTGGATCCTACTGCATGAAACGGTTGGGATTTACTTGGATTTAGCCATGGTCAATCCATGGGTTTGACTAAACTACGCAGCATTTTATGGTTGATTTCTTGTGGAAAGATTGGGATTGAATCCTGCGAAATGACCAGTGAATATTGGAAATGGCTTTGTCTGAGAACATGGTCCTCCAAAAATTGCTTTGCTTCAGAAAATACAGGATTTTCCCGCAATAAAATTGCAAATTTGGAGAGTATATGAGAAGAAAACACGTATCGTTGATTGATAGGGGTGACTATTTCTATGACAATCTATCACGTCTGAGGGAAGCACCAGCTGCTTGTACAGTCAAACAGTGTTTATTCATCCGGTGCTGATGGGGTTCCAGAAGTTTGAAACCCAACACATGGGCTTATTGGACATCCCGAGGCGGGCGCGGACTTGCTGACTTGGGAATATTCAATGTGATTACCTCACGAAATTCACTGGTACAGTATGCACCTGAAAGTCCCCATGCTTGGGTGCTCGAAAAATGTAGAACATTGTGGGAAAAGGGCTCTGTAGTTTTTTAGGGGATACGGATATAGGAGAAAACCCAGCGACTTGACTGACACGCCTACAGAAAGCGGGAAGAGAGGCTTAGCGAGTTGGTTGTGAGGATCGACGAACAACCCATTTCCTGAGGTGGTCTGGTATCAAAACTTTAAAGCCCAGATCAAAAGAATGAAATTGTGGCATGTTTCTTGATGTCTTCCCACCATACAGCTGGAGATTCACCAGTTTGTTCAGAATCGGCATTCCCGTGTATCAAAAACGCGGGTACCCCAAAATCATCAAACATCGGGCAGGCATCCTTGTTTCGCAGCGTCCCAGATATCTTGAAGAACGCCAAGAATTGGTATGGACCCACCTTTAGCTGGTTGTATCCAGCGTTGTTGCCTTGTATACCCTGAAAATCTGAAACAGTGCGCCACTTCCATCCTCTAAAGCAATCTTCCATTGCTCCATGTCATGCTTGGTATCTTCACCAGCGGTTGACCGGTGCTTGGAGCTGGTGGTTTGGAATTATCTAGCAGAATCCCAGAGTGTTGATTCCCTCAATGAGATTTCCTGGATTTAAAGGGTTCTAAGCCACCAATCCAAACCAGGGCCGATCCGCCAGAAATTGCAGGGGTATATAACGGTATACATCCAGTTTTTCAGGTACCACATCTTTAAAAATACAATGGCCAGTATCTTCTCAGCTCCAAAACAAATCTCCAAAACAAATCGCCCAACTTCGGCAAGTGGCTTCTTCCTCTCCTCTTCCAGCTGGCGTTCGGTGGGCCACACCTCAATTAAACATGCCATGCTGGGGAGATGGCTCGGCAAAAATATTTAAAACGCTATCCAATGTGGTCTTTGAATAAAATCCATGTGGTCTGGTGAGGGTTAGGCCTTGAAAAAATGTGGATGTAACCAATAGACATAGGAAGATGCGGTTTGACAAAGTGAATACAACGTGCAGACCAGGATGGGACCGCCTCGGATCCCGTGCCAAAGAAAGGCAACTGGCCTCCCCATCGCACAGCAGGAGCATCCATTTGAGCTGGCAAATGCTGCACTGCATCAGACTTCAGAGGCGTCCAGTGAGCACGATAGCCCATGATGTCTCACTGTCATCCACCGAGGATTCTGGATACTGCCAAGTCTATCCCAGGGACACTGCGGTGGGTTGGCCCCAAACGCCTGGATCATCCTGGAGATGATACCCTCCATGCTGCGCATGCCTCACACCCGGCCAACGGTGTGAAAAGTACTAGATGGACTCTTGTCCTGTGCCCCTTGCACTTTCTGGGTAAGGCAACTGGAATTCGGCAGAGAAGCACGGCAGAAAAAGACAAGGGCACCAACGCTGCGGTTCAGATGATGCGAGATGTGTGCGACTGCTCAAATGTCTAGGCCTGCATGCTCAAGCCCTCTCATGGTGCAAATACTTGGATAATTATACACAACGCATATTTGTATATACATACTGATGTACCACTCAGGAATACCGCAAAATGAGGTCTACCAAGCCTATCAAATACTTCTAACTGCCGGCTCCAACACAAGTGGAACGGCCAGCGAAAAGGCACAAATTACAACTTCATATCAATCGTGGGAACCAAATTCAGGACAGGCGACCACATGCACTTGCACTTGGTCAAATTTGAACTATAAAGGCTACCATACGGCCTCCCCATCGCACAGCAGGAGCATCCATTTGAGCTGGCAAATGCTGCACTGCATCAGACTTCAGAGGCGTCCAGTGAGCACGATAGCCCATGATGTCTCACTGTCATCCACCGAGGATTCTGGATACTGCCAAGTCTATCCCAGGGACACTGCGGTGGGTTGGCCCCAAACGCCTGGATCATCCTGGAGATGATACCCTCCATGCTGCGCATGCCTCACACCCGGCCAACGGTGTGAAAAGTACTAGATGGACTCTTGTCCTGTGCCCCTTGCACTTTCTGGGTAAGGCAACTCGAATTCGGCAGAGAAGCACGGCAGAAAAAGACAAGGGCACCAACGCTGCGGTTCAGATGATGCGAGATGTGTGCGACTGCTCAAATGTCTAGGCCTGCATGCTCAAGCCCTCTCATGGTGCAAATACTTGGATAATTATACACAACACATTTATATATATACATACATCTTTTTGATATGTGTGTTCTGCGACCCCGATACTCCTGGATGCTGATAGTCCTGGATGTTCACCCCCAAAAAAATGTGGTAAACCAATGAAATCACCATGTTTATGGCTGATTAAAAAATGGAAACATCCCCAAATGCCAGCTTTATGGCATTGGTTTTATCACATTAATTGTATCAGTTATCCCATGTTTCACAGAGTGGTATATATTTGAATTAGATATATATATATATATCCCAATATTGTGTGGTGATGTTTTATATTTTTTCATGGTAAAAACCATCCCCACAGATGGTGATCAGCATGGAATCACCATGAAATCCATGAAAGATCCTCATGTTCCACCATTTTTATCCATTTAAATCACCATAGATCCTCAGAAAACCACCATTTTTCATGGGATTTCAATGGATTTCATCCCCATTTTCCAGCCTTTTCCATAGTTTTTACGTCTCTTGATCCATTCCCTCGGCTTCCCCACAATCATCCCGGGACTGAGGCTCCACAGCAACTCCTACGAAGAAATGGAGAACTGGGGGTACCCTCAGTTTAGGAAAAGTCTATTTATTAAAATATATATCATATATATATACTATGATATATATATATATCTATCTACAGGTCTAATTGATCTTCCAAACATTTAAGGGAAGTCTGAAACTAGTTACATCTAGTTACTAGTTATGTTGATTCCGAAAATGGAACTGTGGAAAATTGATAATATTTGCCCAGATTGAACCATCCCTGCAGCCCAACTGTAAGGGGTTCGAGGCTTTCATGATGTTCCATGGTAATCGACCAAATATGGGGCCGAATGAATTCCAAAGGATGGATGATTCGCCTTCACTTTGCGTAGTTGCAATGGGGACATTGCATATGGGGTGCCCGAAATTCGGGACCCCATATATTATGAATAGGGAACACAGTGGTGAAATGCGATACCCAACTTTTAAGCAACACTCATATATGGCCGAATCATTTATATACAATAGATCGATCCGCACTGGTTTTTTATGGTTTTTCCCCACCTGCCAGGTGAGGGTTGTTAGATTTTATGTCAGTTGCCTGGTCCTCCTCCTCCTCCTCCTCCTCTCCTCTCCTCCTCCTCGCGTTGTCCTCCTCCTCTCGTTGTCCTCCTCGTCCTCCTGCTCAACTGCGACTCGCGATCCACAGTGTTTTGTGTCGGACCTCAACCACGACCATCCACGCCCAGTGTTCCCTGCCGGACCTCAACCACGACCATCCACGCCCAGTGTTCCCTGCCGGACCTCAACCACGACCATCCACGCCCAGTGTTCCCTGCCGGACCTCAACCACGACCATCCACGCCCAGTGTTCCCTGCCGGACCTCAACCGCGAGTATCCACGCCAAGTGTTCCCTGCCGGACCTCATGTAGGAAGATATGGGACAAAGAATGTGCAGAAGAAAGTTAGAAAGAATGTCAGACAAGTATGTGATATATTACTTGCGAACTTGCAGGTGTGTGGTAGTGTGATCGGGGCAATGCCACTTCTGACTTTGCGGGTGGCAAAGTTTGAAGCAATCAGTTTGAACAGATGACAGAGTCACTGGGGTGGACAGAGACATTTCCATTTCTGTACCTTTGGAGCTGTTTGCAAAGACGCTTGAGACAGGCAACATCTTACAGCAAGTTACTACAAATTACTTGAAGGGATCTCATGCTGGATTGATGCTTGAGACAGTCAACATCACACAGAGTTTCTATTGTGTATCACAGCTATGGTAGCATGGTGGATATGTGACATCGGAACATTTGCTGGAGCATTTGCGCCCTCATCTACTCGATCGCGGGCCAGAGGCAGGATGGACATCATCATAGAAGCATTCAGCAGGAGGAGGTTATGTGATCAGTAGTGTCTTCTTGCGTGTTTTTGTTCCCCACCTGCCAGGTGAGGGTTGTTAGATTTTATGTCAGTTGTCCTCGTCCTCTCTCCTCCTCCTTCTCCTCCTCCTCCTCTCCTCCTCTTCTCTCCTCTCCTCGTCTCCTCTCCTCGTCTCCTCTCCTCCTGCTCCCTGCCGGACTTCAACCACGACCATCCACGCCCAGTGTGCCCTGCCGGACCTCAACCACGACCATCCACGCCCAGTGTTCCCTGCCGGACCTCAACCGCGAGTATCCGGGCCCAGTGTTCCCTGCCGGACCTCAACCACGACCATCCACGCCCAGTGTTCCCTGCCGGACCTCAACCACGACCATCCACGCCCAGTGTTCCCTGCCGGACCTCAACCACGACCATCCACGCCCAGTGTTCCCTGCCGGACCTCAACCACGACCATCCACGCCCAGTGTTCCCTGCCGGACCTCAACCACGACCATCCACCAGTGTTCCCTGCCGGACCTCAACCACGACCATCCCCGCCCAGTGTTCCCTGCCGGACCTCAACCACGACCATCCACGCCCAGTGTTCCCTGCCGGACCTCAACCGCGAGTATCCACGCCAAGTGTTCCCTGCCGGACCTCATGTAGGAAGATATGGGACAAAGAATGCGCAGAAGAAAGTTAGAAAGAATGTCAGACAAGTATGTTATATATTACTTGCAAACTAGATATGCCAGAAGATATGCCAGAAGATGTGTCATATAGAATGCCAGATAGAATGCCACAAGGTATGCCAAATAGAATGCCAGATAAAATGTCAGATAGAATGCCACAAAATATGCCAGATAGAATCCCAGAAGATTTGCCAGATAATATGCCAGAAGATATGCCAAATAGAATGCCAGATAGAATGCCAGATAATATGCCAGAAGATATGCCAGATAATATGCCAGATAGAATGCCAGATAGAATGCCAGAAGATTTGCCAGATAGAATGCCAGAAGATTTGCCAGATAGAATGCCAGAAGATATGTCAGATAGAATGCCAGAAGATATGCCAGATAGAATGTCAGAAGATTTGCCAGATAGAATGCCAGAAAATATGCCAGAACATATGCCAGATAGAATGTCAGAAGATTTGCCAGAACATATGCCAGATAGAATGTCAGAAGATTTGCCAGATAGAATGCCAGAAGATATGCCAGAACATATGCCAGATAGAGTGCCAGATAGAATGTCAGAAGATATGTCAGATAGAATGCCAGAAGATTTGCCAGTAAGAAAGTGTATAAGTGTCATGGTGGGGATCACACGAAGTAAAGTAATTTTTTTTTTAATGGTGCGCAGCGGCTGGAACATTGCGATTTTGCACGGCCATTGTGAAAACACGACGAACGGGGTAGTTGAAGCAACAAATCATGGGATTGAGCCCCCAAATCTATGAGCACCTTGCTGTAAGCAGGAAATCTATACATGGGATATGAGGATTTTTCCAAGAAAAAATGGGGATGAAAAATGCCTCCAGATCCATGTCTTGTGACAGGTCCTGATCCCATCGGTTGCTGGAAAAAACAAAGTTTTCACAGATGTTTTTTTCGGGATGATAACAAGTAACAATCCATAAATATAGTCATGAATATGGGTGATGTTCCATACCAGTAGTACCGCACAAAGCGGCGGCGTTGTAGTTTCAAAGATAAAAAACTATAGGAGAGGTGAGTTGCTGTGATTCATGGATGGTAGAGTGATTGATGGACTGAAAGGTGGGTGAGGCTCTAAGAGTCTCTCTCTCTCTCTATCTATCTATCTATCCATCCATCCATCCATCCATCCATCCATCCATCCATCTACCTGTCCATCTATCTATCCATCCATCCATCTACTTGTATTTACCTATCCGACGATCTGCCTATCTATCTGTCTGTCAGTCTGTCTGTCTGTCTATCTGTCTGTTTGACTCTCTGACTATCTATCTTTCTTTCTTTCTATGTGTCTATCTATCGGTCTATCTGTCTATCTGTCTGCCTACCTGTCTATCTGTCTATCTCTCTGTCTATCTATCTGCCTATGTGTCTATCTGACTATCTGGCTCTCTATCTTTCTTTTAATCTATTTGTCTATCTATCTGTCTATCTATCTATCTATCTGCCAATCTTTCTATCGATCTATCTATCTACCTATCTATCTGTCAATCTTTCTATCTATCGATCTATCTATCTATCTATCTATCTATCTATCTATCTATCTATCTTTCTATCTTTCTATCTGTCTGTCTCTCTTTCCATCTATCTATCTATCTATCTATCTATCTATCTATCTGTCAATCTTTCTATCTATCTATCGATCTATCTATCTATCTGTTTATCTATCTATCTATCTATCTATCTACCTACCTACCTACCTATCCATCCATCTATCCATCTATCCATCTATCCATCTATCCATCTATCCATCTATCCATCTATCCATCTATCCATCTATCCATCTATCCATCTATCTATCTATCCATTCGACTATCTCTCTTTCTGGGTATCTCTCTGCGCTTCCAAAAGTGGTCTGAACATGGCGTGTTTCACATCTTGACTTCGAAACGTGCTTCGCGCCACAGTCGCGTGCACTTTTTCGGCATGTCAACTGCCAAAATTGCTCCAGACGTGAGGTGTTTTTAGCTTTTTGACTTCCAGATCTGCTTAGCGCCACGAAGGCGTACAGCCGTACAGCTGAGCTCTCATTTGACTAATTAGATGGCTCCGCACGTGCTGCTTTAGCGAGCCTACTTTTCGACCCTCCTGAGCCACAAAACATTGGGAAAACAAAGTGCTTCGCGATTTTTCTGCCTTTTCCCGCACCTTGATCTTCTTTCTACTGACCCTTTCTCTTTTGACTCTTTCTCTTCTGACTCTTTCTCTTCTCTGACTGCTCTCATCACTTTTGCATCTGTCCATAAGTCGGAATTTGGACTTCTAAACTTCGATGATTGACATTTACCCTCTAGTGATCTCCAAAAAAGATCAAAAAGCTTCAATTTATCACCATTTTTTGTGGGAATCCCAATTTCGACCTTCTTATAGGATTACCCCATAGTCAACGAAAGGGAACACAGCATGCTACCCATCTGCGGCCTCCCTCCAGGTTCGGAAAGGATTGGACCACAGCACCTGGCACCCGGCCGAGGCTGTGCCAAGTGACAGCCAAGGTCTGGAAATCAAACATTGAAGATTAACTACAGACATATAACTATATAAATATATATACATACATAAATAGAATATATGTATATATATATAGATGTACAACTATAGATATCTAGATACTAGTACATATATATATATATTATAGTATTATATTATATCATGTTGTATCCTGATTAGTGTGGGGGTACACTATTGTGTCCCCAGACTCCAAAATAATTCTGAATCTGTGGAAATGATGGGGGGGTTCACTATTGTGTCTCCAGGATTTTTGGGGTAAATTTTCAGTTTTTGTTTATTTATGTTATTTTTAAATTGTTTTCAATTTATATTTTTTAAAATTATTTTGTTTAGGTTTTTTAATAGTTTTTTCATGAGCAATATTGATCCTTCAAAATATTTTTGTGGTGGGAATCCACTATTGTGTCTAGCTGTTGTCTGAAGAAACATTTGTTTAAGGTTAATTATGACCCATCAGTATAGGATGCCTTATTAAAACCCAATTAAAAAACAGCACTCGAACGATTTTTCAACGGGGTAGCCCATGAGCAACCCTGATCCACAATAGTATGTTTGTTTTGGGGTCCACTATTGTGTCCAACTGCTTCCTGAAATGTTTTTTCAAACATTCCCTTTACCTCTTTGCTAAAGCTTTTTCTTTTACTTTCTTAGTTTCTTTCATTTGAAATTCTCAGAAATGCCCAATTTCCCAAAATATATGATGCCTTATGAAAACCCAAGAAAAGAACAGCATCCAAACAATTTTTCAACGGGGTAGTCCATGAGCAACCCTGATCCACAATAGTATGTTTGTTTTGGGGGTCCACTATTGTGTCCAGCTGCTTCCTGAGGTGATATTTTTTCAAACATTCCCTTTACCTGTTCCTTGGCTAAAGCTGTTTCCTTTTACTTTCTTAGCTTCTTTCATTTGAAGTTCTCAGAAATGCCCAGTTTCCCAAAATATATGATGCCTTATTGCAACCCAATAAAAAAAACAGCATCCAAACAATTTTTCAAGGGGGTAGTCCATGACCAACCCTGATCGACAATAATATGTTTGTTTTGGGGGTCCACTATTGTGTCCAGCTGCTTCCTGAGGTGATTTTTTTCCAAACATTCCCTTTACCTTTTCCTTTGCTAAAGCTTTTTTCTTTTACTTTCTTAGTTTCTTTCATTTGAAATTCCCAGAAATGCCCAATTTCCCAAAATATATGATGCCTTATTAAAACCCAAGAAAAGAACAGCATCCAAACAATTTTTCAACGGGGTAGTCCATGAGCAACCCTGATCCACAATAGTATGTTCGTTTTGGGGGTCCACTATTGTGTCCAGCTGCTTCCTGAGGTGTTTTTTTCAAACATTCCCTTTACCGTTTCCTTTGCTAAAGCTTTTTTCTTTTATGGTATTTCGATGGTATTACTATTGGATATCTATGTGGTTCCTATGGGATTTCCATGATGTTTCTATGATATGTCTGGAAGATTTCTATGGGATTTCTGAAGGGAATTCTATGGTATTCTTATGGGATTTCCATTGGATTCCTATGGGAGTTCTATGGTATTCCTATGATGTTTCTATGATGTTTCTATGGTGGTTTCTATGGGGGTTTCTATTGGATTCCTGTGGGATTTCTATTGGATTGCTGTGGGATTTCCAAGGTGTTTCCATAATGTTTCTATGATATTTCTATGGGATTACTATGGGAATTCTTATGGGGTTTCTTTCTGGCTCCTATGCTATTTCCATTTTATATCTATGATCTTTCTATGGGATTTCTGTGGGATTCCTATGGGATTTCCATGGTATTTCTATGATCTTTCTATTGGATTCCTATGATATTTCTATGAGATTCCTATGGGATTTAAAAAGGATTTCTATGTATATATATATGCACAGTGCCATCAAACCCTAGTGATTGCAGTTAAAAACCAACTCAGATAACGACCAAAAGCAGAGAAAGATCCATGAAATTCCGCAGGGGCCAATAGTTTGGGCTCTCAATCTTCCGCCACAAGTGAGTTTTCCTGCCGATCTTACCCTACAATCAAATCCACATGGTTTTATGGTGTGTACATTATCTGTTCATATAGATGACTATAGATGTATAACAACAGACGCATGAAATATCCATCCAATCAACAAAAGCCTTTATAAGAGGTTTGGAAGACGACCTTCCACGAAAAAATGGGCGATTCTTAGGGGGAATGACCATGTTTGATGCTTGCAATCCCCTTTGAAATCCATACCCAGGAGCTGCATGGCGTAGCTCCACTAGCTGATTCATCACCTCCTGGGAACTCGGGCCCGAGGCTTAAGAATTAAAAAATCTGTTGAAACCACCAATGGGTTGAAGCCACCAACTCAGTTTTATGAAAACATTTTTTTTTCGCCACTCAGAGGGTACATCCTAAGGTTTGATGTGTATGAATCTCTGTACCTTCTGGTGATAACCACGAGTTTGCGAACTGGAAGCCATTGAAGCCATGGAAGCCATGGCCCAGAACTAGCGAGAAAGGATTTATGTTCCGAACTGAAAAATGCTGAGTTTCCATCGCGAACTCCTAAATCATCAGAGGGCACACTATAAAATCTATGCTTTTTACATATCTGGGATCAGAAAAGCTCTGTTTGAATGGAACACGCATTGCTCGTTCATGTTTCTTTGCAAAGATACCCTTCAATGAAAGAAAAGTTTTAAAAAGTCTCTATGTGAGAGGAAGTGTGCTACAAAATGACTCCTTCAGGAACCATTCACTAGAGTTCACCTACTCAAAGATAAACCGCTGCTATACGGCTATGGCCAATCAATGCCAATGGCTAATTCTGTTCCATCCCCCAACCGATTGATTTTGTTAAAAGCGGTTTGAAGTGCCCAAAGCAGCAAATTCTTGCTCCAAAGTGATTCTGCCGCCATTTGCAGCTCCTAAAAGGAAATTCTTGTGGCATCATCCAGTGAACAACACTCCCCAGGAATTCAAACTGAACTGGGATTTGATTTTGGGATGGCTCAATGTACCTCTATGCATTTTCCCATGTTGCTTTGGGATGAACATCCACACCACATCAACTACCAGCTGATGCAAAAACGATGGATGTGAACTGATACATCCAACCAAGTTCCCCCATTCCTGGCGGATTTCACGAGTTCTTACATGGTTTTAAGCCCAAACACCACTGCGATTTCCGGGCATTGCTCCTCCCACTGCCACCCGGACTCCGTCTCTGGCAACAACCTGGCGACAAATTCGACAAAGGTGTCGCTTGTGATTATTTTCCCCTTCCAAAATATGCAATTTTGGGGTATACCCAGTCAGATATACCATGATGTACACCCATATTCCTATTCCAAGCTGGGTTATTTGGGATTGGCTGACAAAAATCTTAACCTCAGAAAAACGTACGGTGTCGTACCCTTAAAAAGACCCATTTCGACGTTCCCAAAAGGGTTAAACTATCTGCCAATGTCGAAATCTTGGGCCACAGATGGTTGATGATCTATGGGGTCACAAGCCACCTGACCACCTGTCCACCTGGGGGCCCCAACATCTCCCAAGCTTCGTAGCTGCCAGCCATGTACAAGGCCTGATGCACCAAGGGGGTAAACAAACTGCCACAGTTTTCAAACGTTCCCGTGTCTAGCGAGGTCTTGACGCCAGGCCCATGTCACTTTTGTGAATGTATGTACAGTATATATATATACATAAATATAATGTTATATATACATATAATACACATACATATGTGTATACGTATATATACATATATGTGCATATACACGTACAAGTGCATGTACGGTATACATATATGTGCATATACACATATACGTGCATATACACATACATCTGCATATGCACATAAATGTGCATGTTTACATATATGTGCATATGCAACACATGTACATATTTAATTATTTAATCATATTTATATGCATATAGAAGATATGTCTGGGCCCACCATCCCCCGCCGCGAAGATAGGCGCAGAGAAGATCTCGCGCGGTTCAGGGACAAAGATCTGAGCGCACAAAAACGCAGCGGTGGACGAAGAAAAACCATCAAACATAGGGATCTAACAATCACACATGTGGATTTAGCAATAAAAAAAATGTGGACTTGGTAACAACACAAAAATGTGGATCAAACCACCAAAAATGAGATTTACCCTGAATCTATGACCATTCTAAGTAGAAAAATAATGGTATTTCACATGAGTTCACCAGAAACCAACCATCATGGCGAGATTTCACCGGATATCCACTTAGATTTGCTAAAGTGCCGAGTCTGCCACATGATCCTCCATATGATGAGATACCCTAAGGTTTTCCATTGTTTTCCCCAAAAAATGTAGATATTATCCCGGCAAGAGACCCCAAACAGCGCGCTTTCAGGAATCAAAGGCAAATTCGGCGGATTAGACAGAAGGGCGGGCATCCAGTGATTGAGGATTAATGGTGTGGCACGGAGCAGATTCGCGCAACTGCAGCTGGTCATCTAATGTCGTGCGTGCAAATACTGTGACTGTCTCTGTGGGAACCCAGTTCAAATGAGCCTCACGCCTGCAAGCGAGAAGGAGCAACAACAGCTCAACAGAGTGTCTTTCGAGAAGCACCGAATACTCCGCGAAAAACTACTTCTACGGAATTGCCTCTTGGAGAAGATGCCAAGGCCTTTCCAATATCTGTGTAAGTGAACACACCATGGTAAAAAGCTCCAATGATCATTTCAAGTCATCGCAAAAAGGTTTCGGAGAGCACCTGCTAAGGATGATCTGCAATACATCTGTCAGAGGGTGCGGGCAAGATCTCCGCAACAGATCTCGATGCAAAATCTGTATCACAGGTGGCCTGGCAAGATCTCCGTGCCAGGTCTATGCAAGTTCCCTTTGTGAAGATCTCTGTAAAAGATCGTGCACAAGCTCTCCTTGACAGGTTCTGTGTAAAAGCTGCTGTACAAGATCCCTGTGTAAGGCTACCTGTATAAGGTGCCTATAAGAGATCTCCACAGAAGATCTCTGCGAGTGATCTCAAAGTAAGATCCCTGTTCAAGCTCTCTAGGCAACATCTTTGAGCAAGATCTCCGCTCCCTTCACCAGGTCTCTGTACAAGATCTCTATTAGTGGTCTCTGTACAAGATCTCTATAGGAGTTCTGTTGGAAAGATCCCTGTGGGAGGTCTCTTGGCAAGATCTCCGAACAAGATCTACATAACAGGTTTCTTGGCAAGATCTCTGTGCAAGCTCCCTAAAAGGGGTCTCAAGGCACAAGAACAGACCACAAGACCCAGTGTGCACGGGAAAATGCAGGACACTAATACCGCGACACGCGTTTCGTGCGAGCCTGCGCACGCGAAATGCACATGGACATGTCACAAGCGCCATTGGGTGTGGACATATACAGGGAAAATGCCGGACGTGAGTACCGCGACAAACGTTTTGCGCGAGTCTGCGCAATCGAAATGCACATGGACATGTCATGAGAACCATTTTGTGTGGAAATTTACAGGGGAAATGCCAGGCGCATCGCCCGGCACCATCGTTTTGCGCGAGCCTGCGCAGTCGAAATGCACATGGACATTTCACAAGAGCCATTTTGTGTGAAAATGAAAGGGAAAATGCCAAACGCGACGGCATTTTCCACCTCGATTGAACACATAGGGGCCTCAACTCTTGCCGTAAGAACCCCGTAATAGTGTGGCCACACATCATTTTTGGGAATGAAAACCATTGAAAAGCCATAGTTTCTTTTGGGGAAATGATCTGATTCATGGTGGATCCAAGGGTCGCACCATAGCTCCTTGCCCGAAGTCGGCATCGAGCCATAGCCTGATTTCGGTCGTGGAACCTTCTGAAGTCAATAGAGAAAAAAACATCGTAATGGATGGTTTATAATGGAAATTCCTATGAAATAAATGGAATCCAGAAAATTATCATAAGTGAATCATCAATAGATAAATATTCAGAAAATCATCAACAGAATCCAGAAAATATCAAGGTTCTGGAGAATATTTTTTCTACAATAAATTTGTAATACTATCTGGAGGATCTATATTTTTGGCAGATATCTTCTGGAGGAATTCAAAATCAAATGACTCATCTATCTGGTTCGAAGGTTCTGGATGGTAAAGGGTTCAAGGTTTCCGCAAGATTCACCTGCGAATGTTGTTTGAGGTCGCTATGAAACATGTCCAGATCTGTTCCAAACAGTTGTGGGGTGTTATTACAAATTCAGTGATGATTCATCGTCTAAGGTCAGAAACACCTTGAAGTATACATATAAGTTCATATAAGTGTGTATATATATATGTGTGTGTATATATTCGTATATGTATTACATGTGTATGTATATTATATATATTATATATTATTATATTATACATACTGGAGTATGTATATGTATATACAGGCTCAAGGCTGGGGGTTCCCCGGAGCTTCCAGGAACCCTCAGTCTTGAGCCTATACTACAAACGTCGTTATGGTATAGAGATGGGGGGTGGGGGGGTGGGGGGGTGGGGGGGTGTAATAACGTCATGTGGAGCGCGTTGCATTGAGAGTTGTGGAAACCTTGAGGATGTTGCTTCGTTGAAGATGTTGTTACGTTGCAAGTATCGTTGTTGTTTACAGAAGGGGGTGGGGGGGGGCGGGGGGGTGTAATAAAGTCATGTGGAGTGCGTTGGATTCAGAGTTGTGGAAACCTCGAGGATGTTGCTTCGTTGACGATGTTGTTACGTTGTAAGTATCTTTGTTGCTCTCGCTCCAAGCAACTGCTTCAAAAAGCCTTTGTGGACGTGAAGATGAAAAAGGTGTGATGTTCATTTAGTCCATGGTTCTCCAGTGATTTATGACATTTTCTAGTTATCAACAAAACGACCAAAAATGCATGAAACCGCAATTCCAATGGTTAGAATGTTGCACACATTTTTTGCCATCCATGGAAGATGTAAATTTATCATTTTTCTGCGCGGACAAACGTCAAGTTTATCCGCGCCGACATTGAAACTTTGGCTGATCGAACACTTTCAGAGAAAAGCATAAAACACTGTAAAACACAGTGTAAAATCAACATTTTCCATATCCATACAAATAAAATGCAATTGGCTTCCGGGGAACCCCCAGCCTTCGCCCTATATACATATATGCATATTTACATACATCACATATCTGTTTCTTGGTATGAATTCGAAAGTTTCGACCATGGACCAAGTCGCATGGACCAAAAGTGGGATCCGCCCCATGCCAGATGGTTCAGGGAGATGCGCCTAGCGCTCTGGTAATCAAAGGTCGCAATGGAAAATCCTGAATAGATAATGGTTTCAATGGGAAAATCATCGATTAATATCGATTAATTGTTGGATTGTCAATTGCCACGTTACTGGAGGATAAAAATCATAATTTCTGTACTCCATATCCAGGGCTTATGACGAAGCTACCCTGCTCCCCCGAAAGATGGCATCGAAAATTTAGGTATGTCATAGGTAATTTGATCAATGCAAGTTATAGATAATTAAAGCCCTATAGCTAGTTCTATCTATTTCTTATTTAAGAGGTTTATTGATGGTATTCTCCCCCATTTTTCATTGGTATTTCATAGGTGTTCCACCTGCATCCAAGTGACATCCTCGCCACATCCATCAGAAGCTGGGCGGAGGCCTGCAACGACGCCAAGCGAAAAACTCTGAGACGTTTGTTGGGAATTTACCAAGAAATATGGTGGATTTATTGGGATTTAACCAGGAAATATGGTGATTTATTGGGATTTAACCAGGAAAGATGGTGATAAAAATTGGGATATTCTCTACCATTTTTACCCAACACATTTCTAGATCTAGACTGATCTGTAGATATGTCGACATCGATGTCTATAGTCTTAGTATATAGTTATCTCTTGAGTTCTCGTGGGCATGTATAACTCGAGTTCTTGAATTCCATGGTGGGGAAACCATCGTTTTCCGATGGGTTAACCCATAGTGGAACCATCCCAAAACGGGGATATGTGGAACCTGTGGGATCTAGCCCTCTCATGGGATGTTGATGACTTACTCATTGGGAATCCAAATAAAACTACCCTCTGGTAAACTAACATCACTATGGAAAATCACCATTTTTAATGGGAAAACTCACTATAAATGATCATTTTCAATAGCTATGTTAAATTACCAGAGGGTACAAGCAACATGCCATGCCAAGTTTCAGGCATATAAAAAAAAGAAAATCACCTGCCAAGTTTGTGTCAAAGTTTCTTTTTGGAGAATGGCTACCATTCTGGCCATGAATGGGACCTGTGTAATCTGGTGATCCCGGAAAAACCAAAAGATCCCAATAGATCTCCCCAATCTGAATACACGCCATCTCGGAAGCTCAAGGTTCAGGGAAAGGACATCAACAACAAACCAGGGAAGGTCCCATCGCTTACCACACGTTTGCACTAAAAATGATGTACGGCAAATTTAGGGCTTATCGCTTAAAAGGATGATGTACGTGCACAGGATTGCACAGGTATTACATAACCTTCAAAGGGGCGCTATTTGGGAAGGTCCCATCGCTTGGCTCTGTAGATAATGCGCTCTGGTGATGATCCAATCCCCCAGGGGGCCACCAGATGACATCCTTCGTTTCCAGGGAAAAAAAACACAAAGAATCCATCGCTTCACCCACCAAGCCATAGGGGACCCCACTTGGAAGTAAGTTGCGACTGCAATTCCTCGGGTGGGCATTCGAACCTGGCGCACGACAATTTTTGTCCAAGTCAACGAGGCTAGCTGGAAGGTGGTTCTGTCATCTCTATCATCTACATGCATCTCAAATCTGCAACAGCATACTTGGGTGCAGTTCCAGTTTTATTTGGATGTATAACCATAGTTACACTCAAGGGGTTATATAGGAACTTATGGGGGGGTATTACGGTCGATACACCCATTAAAAACTGCAACTGCACCCCCCCGTAAGTTTCTTCACAAAACCAATACAGTTTCCCGCTTGGTGGTTTCCACCTCATCCCAAAACTAGTTCCCAGTAGTTACTTGGCATCATGACAGATCAAACGGAAAATGAATCTGGCTGGTGGTTTTTCGCCACCCCCTCAAAAAAAAACTCGTCATTGGGGATCAACATCCCAGTTTCTATGCTTCAAAAAATCGATTACCCATAGAAACCACCAGTAGAAACCACTATAGGAAGCTTTTCTGCTCAGGGATCATCATCACTTTTTGGAAACCACACAAACTGTTGCATCCCCACAAACTGTAGCATGGAACTCATGGCAATTTCCCGAAAATCTGTCAAAAAAAACCATTTAAGAGTTTGAGCTTCAATGTTTTGTTTCAAGCCAAATCAACTAAAAAATACATCAGTGGGAAAAAAAAACTCGACCAATGATCAATGTCCAAAAATCCAGCCCATTCTCACCGGAGTTCCACCACGAGGGCGTTCGACTCACCTCTGAATTTGCGTGGAAATGACTGGTGATCACCTGGACCATCAAGCCCTGGCAGATTCGGGGTGGGACTTGGGGTAGGCTCCATGTCGCTATGGATTATCGTGAAGTACCAAAAAATGATATTATATATGTTTATTTACGTATATATATATGTATATATATACATATAAAGATATACATATATACATAAATATATACTATATATATATACGTATATATATATATATACATATGTATATATATACATATGTATATATATATACACATACATATGTATATATATATACGTATATATATATATGTATGTATATATATGTGTATATATGTATATATATATATATGTATATATATATATATGTATATATATATACATATGTATATATATACATATATATATACATACTATATATATGTGTGTATATATATACGTATATATGTATATACATATATACATATGTAATGTATACATATGTATATATATATATGTATATATATGTATATATATATGTATATATATATGTATATATATATATATGTATATATATATACATATGTATGTGTGTATATAATATATATATATGTATATATGTATATATATGTGTGTGTTTTACATAGAATAAGTGTCCATGTAAACATGTATGTATACAGTATATGTATATGTGTATGTATATGTATGTGTATGTATATATATGTGTATGTATATATATATATGTATATATATATATATATATGTATGTATATATTATATATATATGTACATAATATGTATGTATATATATATATATATGATCGGGATATATAATGTAGTATCGAAAAGTATCTGATGGTAGCTCTATACACAATAAATACGTTTCCATGATTCCATATATATAATTATACATATATGTATATTATACATGTTGCGTGCTACATCGCATTCCATTCCAAAGCAGTATGCTTTTATTATGCATGGTTTTCCTGCTTGATGGTTGAACCAACGCATCCTCGCTGTCGCAAGTACATTGCAGTTTGGAATACCCTCTGGTCATTTAACGTAGAAATTGCCATTTATAGTTGATTTACCCATCAAAAAATTGTGATTTTCCATAGCTATGTTAGCTTACCAGAGGGTATTTCTTTTTCAAATTGATAAATTCAACCACCAAGCAGAATCATATTTGAAAACATCCCACTGCTAAAATACATGTTCACAGCAATCACATCAACACAGTGACAAAGTCGCACAACTGTAGCCCCCAATCATGTGGACAGTGAACCTTTGGCGCACTGTCGAGACAATGGAAGTGCACGTGCTCTCAGCTCGGTAGTTTCAACTACCATTGGGTTTACCACGTGAACGGTCAAATGCCATGTCATCCATGTCATCTACAATAGACCGTGTTCAAATGAATTCCAAGAGGGTAAGCTCTGCCCAGCTCAGCTCTTCCCGTGTGTTGGTTGAGAAAACGATTCCTATCTATTCTGGCCCACTTTCTGCGCATCACAATCAGGGCTCAAAAGGTCACTGCTCAAACTTCTGGTTTCGTATTGGTGATTAAAGTCGCATGTTTCATTCTTCATGTCTCATCATACAACCATCAACTGGGACTAAACCATCTCAAAGCCCTATTCTTCAGTGTTTTTTGTGAAAATGGCCTCATGGCTGTAACAGCATCTAAGAATCAAAGGTTTGGTCAAAACCAATTGTCATTGTAAATTCGTGGTTGTATTCTCATATCACCATGATTTATCACCCTAGTCCCCTGTCAAATCCCCATTTCTGATGGCGAAATCCATATGTTTGATGTTTAAACCACCATGTTTGACGATTAAATCCCCTTTTGCCCTCCTTGTCTCATCGGGGCCTTGATCTGTTGCAACTTCTGCTGCAACTGTGGTGCAGCTTTGGCAAATGGCGCACCCGGTAAAGAGATGTCGCAGCTCAATGCCTCAAGCTGCTGGTGGCCATGTAAGTCTAGGATGACATCTGAAGATGGAAATCGGTCAGTATGTGATATGTGTGTATTTCTAGATATGTACAAATGTTGTGTAGTACATTGTATATATATATGGAGATATGCATATATATATATGTATGATTATGTATGATTATGTGTGATTATGTATGATTATGTATGATTATGTATGATTATGTATGATTATGTATGATTATGTATGATTACGTATGAGTATGTATGAGTATGTATGAGTATGTATGAGTATGTATGAGTATGTATGTATATGTATGTATATGTATGTATACGTATGTGTACGTATGTATATGTATGTATATGTATGTGTACGTATGTATATGTATGTATATGTATGTATACGTATGTATACGTATGTGTACGTATGTATATGTATGTATATGTATGTATATGTATGTATATGTATGTATATGTATGTATATGTATGTATATGTATGTAAATGCATGTATATGTGTGTATGTGTATGTATATGTATGTATATGTATGTATATGTATGTATATGTATGTATATGTATGTATATGTATGTATATGTATCTATATGTATGTATATGTATGTAAATGTATGTATATGTATGTATATGTATGTATATATATGTATATGTATATGTATGTGTATGTGTATGTATGTGTATGTATGCATGTGTATGTATGTATATGTATGTATATGTATGTATATGTATATGTATGTATATGTACGTGTATGTATGTGTATGTATGTATGTATGTATGTATGTATGCATGTATGTATGCATGTATGTATGTATGCATGTATGTATGCATGTATGTATGCATGTATGTATGCATGTATGTATGCATGTATGTATGCATGTATGTATGCATGTATGTATGCATGTAAATATGCATGTATGCATGCATGTATGTATGCATATGTGTATGCATGTAAATTTGCATGTATGCATGCATGTATGTATGCATATGTGTGCATATGTATGCATATGTATGCATATGTATGCATATGTGTGCATATGTATGCATATGTATGATTGTGCATATGTATATGCGTATGTGTGTGATGTATACGCATACACACGTGTTGAAGAAATTCGCACAGGGCCACTATTCTGAATAGCTACTAAGTTGTAGGATCATGCCAGTGGACAAAGATGGGGCTACTGGGCTACTGGATCGTGGAAAACAAACGTTGCAACTTATTACATCTGCATGTACAATATTGATATATGTATATATACATATATATATTGATCAATATTGTAATTGTTTATACCATTTTATATCCACAAGCATGCAGTATACGCTATTTACCAGCAATGGTTGTCGAGACACATCTTTTTCAACATACCAGTACAAATGTGCCACCAAGCCAATACCGCATAGCCAGAAACGAATATGACGGGGCCAATTATGGCTTAATTAATATCAGTGGACATTAACCCAGATTTGCAACCCAACAGCAGTAAGGCACATCACAGTGATCAACATAAATATCATAAATAGTCGGCTGTGAATTATTATTTGCTTGCCCTGCCTTTTCCCCTTCTCAGCAGGATCAACATCATGCTAATTTGACATGTGCTGTGTTCTTTTGCTTTTTACTTCGTTACTTCAGTGAAGAGCATCCATACGTCCCAACTCGCTGGCACCTTGGGTATTATGGTATTATGATTCTCGATGATTCGAAAGGACATTTATTTTAAAAAATGAACGAAACACTGGGCCAGTTTGTCACAATCCCAAAGGCGTTGCCTAACGACCGCTGACTGCTGCGTTGTCGTAGCCAAGACTGTCTCACGCGCCGTTCCAGCGTTCCAGGTTTCTCAGGTTCCCGGTTCCCCAGTTCCCCGGCTTACATGGTTCCAGGGCTCCAAGGTTGCAGGGTTCAACGGGTTCTGTTCCCGTTTTCAGGGCAGACCGATGAGGACCCTGAAAAGATGGAACCCAAAAAATGGCCCTCGATGACTGAGTCCTCGAGCTATAGTGGCTGCCAAAGAATCAAACTCGTGCTCACGTAGCATGGCCTGTTCGGGCCTGGCGTATGGGATGAAACTGGAGATATCATTCCATGCTACTTCAACCTCCTGTATATATAAGTAGGCTAGGAATACTAGGTGGGATAGGGATAAAACATGGTGGGATGGGATGAATTCAATGAAACTGTTATTCCAACCTCCTAATCTCATAGTCCCAGATGGAACCAAAGTCATGAATAGTTGGTACATTTCACCAGGCTTTCCGAGCTATGGATGGAGATGATCGAATCACACGTTCCTTGGGGCGGTAGCGAATGAGGGAACTGAAACTGGTATGCGAACGTCTTGAAAAATTGTTGTTGCTGCGTCTGAAACTGCGAACGTATACCCCCCAAGTGTCTTTTTAATAGGGGGAATGGTGACTATGTTCAGACAAAAACAAACTATGCTCTCCTGTAATCGCCCATAGCGGTCAGAGCTAACAACACTACTGATACACAACGCATCTTCCCATTCCTCAGTTGATTTCTTTCGGCGGACGGACCTTCGATTCAGCGATGCCACATACTCCAACACCTCGGCAAAACTAGGGCCATTCCGATCCGATTGGCACCGATATTGTAGATCATTCACAAACCACCAACCCTGTAGAAACCATGAGCCACCGCCCCAATTTGTTGGGAAAATATGGTGAAATTTTGATTCATGGAGGTTGGAAGTTGGGGCTCCCGATTTTTTGACCCACTTAGCCTAAAAAACATCAGGAACGGCACCAGAAATAGATTGTAGAACCTGTATATTTGAAGCCACATAAATTATCAACCAGTCATCATATCATATGAGCCATGGTCAATACTCACTATATGGTTGATGGTCATCCCATCCATAATAAGGATCCTTATAATGGTTATTATAAATCCCTATGAACCATTGGATGACGAGCCCCTATTAATGGTTATTAACCATGAGTATTGACCATAGCTCATATGTCACCTCATTTCCAAGATTCAGAACTCATGTGTTTCATCCGGTTCATCCCTCCGCCCTCTTTTTTTTGGTTCCAGGTTTTTTCGGGACATCTGTGGGCTTTCCCGCCGCCAACATTCAGCAGGTCGTATGATGCGTTTGGGTCGTCACCTAATTGTTGGATGACTTGGCTGAAATTTGAAGCTGCAACATGCTGAACTCCTCGGCTGTTCCAAGATCTCCAACCCTCTTGGCAAACGCCAAGAAGCCATGGCAGCGAAGGAACCATGTGCCCAATCCGGCACGGGCTCATCTGTTTTTCTCTCCTGGGACCAATCCATGCAGATCTTAAGTGGTACTCTGATCAGGCCAGAATCCAGCATCCAACCCTAGCAAAAAACACAGGAAGAGATCGAATCACTCGATCTCACGGGGATGTATACCCCTAACTCCCCATACAGAAAGAATGCCGGACACCACGCTGGTTCCACCGTGGGGACCCACCGACTCCTCGTAGGCCATGTACACGGCACTCTCAATACCGGCCTTGAAGGAGAAGCCAGAAAAGTCGGGAACCATTTTTTGGATAGTCGGATGGTCATTTATCACATATTTCATCATATTTCTCACAATATGAATCCGAGGTTGACAATATTGAGATTGAACGACCAATCAAGGGATTTCAAGGGACTTGAAGGGATTTCAATGGAAAATGTTCGATGAAATTAGATGGCAACTGTGGCCTCCTATCACCATGTCGCTGGGTTGGCTCATACCAGAGAAAGTCTTGCGAAAACCCGCATTCAGAATGTTTCCTGTAAACCCATTCTGCGGTTCAAAAACCATGTGCAAAATCACCCTGAAATCTGCCCAAAGTAATGCGTGTTCTTAGGGGAAACCTATGTGGAATTGTCGTATTATTTGGTACCCCAATGCTCCTAAACAACATGGTGATATGCCCAGCTGCCAAAACCTGCAAAACAAAATCCTGCAGATACCAGAAATCGGGATGCTGAAATGTGATGTTCACCGACCATGATGATGTACCTTCCAGTTTATCATAACATAGATATCGACAATCCACGTGTGTAGATCCTTTTTCTGGAAAAATCATGGTTTGTCATCCCTGCTGGCCCCATGGTGATGGCGAACGGCCATCATTGTGCTTACCACTGAATGGACTTTCAAAAGAACGTGGAATGCGTTCTTTAATGGACCTAGAGGTCATTTAAGCTCCTTGTAAAGTATAAATATCAAGTGGGTGATTTGGCATCATTTGCCGGTACCCAAACAATAGGAGTCCTTCATTGACCCAAACAACAATACATACTTCATCAACCTAAAATAAGGCCTTCTACCCTGTTGATAGTTCCCCCAATCCTAACCATAATTCCAGTGACGCCGGAATGAGGACTTTATACTTCATCGGGAATATGTCTTTTTGGGATCTGGCATATGACTGCAATGCCCACCATCTCAGTCACGCCTCACTGCCCTCACCTTCAGCTTTTTGGAGCAAGTTGTGTTCGATGATTGAGCGAAACCTCACGCAAACAACGTGGTGTTTTTGGTGTTTTTCTTGGTGTTTTCTGATAAGAAAATCATGGTTGAAATTTATGTTTCTCTGTGGATCAAATATGTTTTCTGACAGGGGTCCGTTGGGAGCCTTTTGTTTACTGGTGGCTTTCCTCTCAAATGGACACCAAAGAAGAAAATCCTTCTTGGAAAAGTGGTCGACGTATACCTGGCCTGCGGCTAAAAAAACAACTTTGTCAGAAAAGGGGACCGGGGACCATCATCTCATGGTTGAGAATGGACAACAGAAAATGCATGAAACCAGCAACAAGAGTCAGAAAAATGTTGTTTCATATTACCAATAGATTCTGTTTTAATATAATTTGATAATTATTCTGCTAGAATATGTTAGGTCAGACATTGTCAAGTTCAATATCCTCAATTTATTTGGGCCGTAATAGCGATAGCCCTGTGGGTCTGTCTGAAAATGTGTTTTTTGCCTTCTAAATGGCCATGAAAAATATCATGTAATATGGAAAATGTTGATTGATTAAACCATGGATTTGCAGAATTTACAGGTCTGTTCAGACAAACCCAAATGCCATATTGTTGGTTATATACAATATTATCCCATGTTATCCCATTATATACCCATCCTATACCCATTTATTGATAGGTAAATCCATATGATTCCCATATTATCCCATTGATATTCTCACGATCCCACCTTATCCCATTCTATGGTCATATACCCACTGATTGATACTTAAATCCATAACAGTTCCAAGGTGGGCAGAACTAGGCGAATTATGTTTTCTTAGTAGATACCCTCTGGTAAACTAACATAGCTATTGAAAATGGCCCAGTCGAAATAGTGGATTTTCCCATTAAAAATGGTGATTTTCCATAGCTATGTTAGTTTACCAGAGGGTATATCTATAGAATCTATACTTCATCCAACTCTAGTTTTGGGATATATCCCATTAGTTCATCCATATTTATCCTATATTTATCCCATATGATCCCATGTTCGATACCATTATAACATCCGTGAAATCCATATGTTTTTCGAGGATGACACCGTTTCGCAGTGGTCCTTCGGACGGACCAACCATTCGGCCGAGAGGCATCTGCCAGCGATGTGCCCAGGGCCATCTCTGCATCACCTGCATCGGTAGGGATGTCTGTGCGTAGATGTCTATGCAGCATTACAAATTATATATATATATATATGTAAGCATATGTATGTAGAAATATATGCGAATGTGTTTATTTATTTATCAAGTTATTCATGTATTTATCTATGTGTTTTATTCATTTACTTATGTAGTTATGTACTAAGGTATTTACCTTTATATTTTGTGTGTAATCTATGTAGTTATTTAGTTTCTAAACTATTTATCTGGTTTTTTACATATTGAGTTATCTATGTATCTATTTAGTCATTTAATTATTTGCTTATGTATGTGTTATTGTTCATTTATTTATATATGCAATCATTTAGTGTATTGATGTATACTGTATATCTAAAAAATTATTCATGATAATGTAACGATCACATATGTACAATTACATAAGATATAAATACCCTCTGGTAATTTAACATAGCTATGGAAAATCACCATTTTTAATGGGAAAATCCACTATTTCGACTGGGCCATTTTCAATAGCTATGTTAGTCATTACCAGAGGGTACTGCCATGCCTCCTTGAGAAATAGCTAGATATCACCTGCCTGGTGCGGGTCGAGTCCAGGCAAGGGGGAACTCACCGGGACGATCAACTGCCTGGTTCTATCCCTTGAAATATATCATACGATATACATATATATATATATATGTACATATACAGTAGTTGGATATGTACATATACAGTAGTTGTAGGTATTGTAACGATAATAACAATAAAATTAACAATAATCATGATAATAAATTGTAGATTATATTAACAATTGACAATAATAATGACGATAATAGTAACAATAATAGTGATAATAACATTAACAACAATAGTGATAATAATATCAACAATAATAATGGAAATAATAATGACATATAATGGCAATGATAATGATACTAATATTAACACTAATACTGATAATACTATAATACTATTAACAATAATAATAATATTAACAATAATAATAATAATATTAACAATAATTACAATAAAAATGATAATAACTACCATGATGATAATATAAACTCAATTGGCAATAAAAATGAAAAAAACTATAATCATGATAATAATAGTAACCAAAATGAGAATCGTAATAATGATAATAATGTGAAAATTAATAATAACTATAAATAATAATAATAATAAAAACGTAATGATTTAAAGAATAAATAAAAATAGGGAAAATATTATATAATATGATAAAATCTAACAATGATAATAAACAAACATCATGATAATTCATGTTAACAATAACAACGATATTATGAACACACCTGTGCCGTCGGAAGCGGTCCCTCCGGCAAGGTGAGCTTGCTGCTGCTCACCTTGACGTGGTGGCGTTCCGTGGTTCATCGGAAGATCTAGGACGTTTACCAGCTAAAATGAGGATTTTACCAGCTTTTTCCCAGCTAAAATGGGGATGGAAGATGATGGAACATTGCCATGCCATGGTTTTGTTTACCGACAAAGGGGGGGTTTCCATTCTTCCCCACTACAAAGGTATGTGACTTTGCCGAAAAACTAGGTGCTCCCAGATAAAAAGACCATCTTTAAAAAGACAATTTCATGTGCCAAAAAGGATGATGAACCAGTGGATGGAACGAGGTGTTCCCTAAATTTTCGGGTACCAAACTGATGGTGGAGGGTTGCTGTCCATGGATACTAGGTCCCAAGTTCAAAGGAGAAAGTAGCTACCAGATGTTGAAAACATGTCCCGCAGAAACTTCAATGCATGTCCAACTATGGGCTGTATGTTTTCTCCAATCTCACGATTTTTGCATGTAGACAAATGATGGCCAGGTAACGCTAACTTGAGTGGCGCCCCCCTTCGCCGAAAGCGGCACCACATTTCTATAAGGCCAGCCTTACATCGACAAGGCTAGACCATTCACCCCACCAGAATCTCCGCGATTGTTGTTTTGGACATCAACTACCCCATGTATATATATATATATATCTGGTAATGTGGCCCACGCACACCATCCATTACCCGTTTACCCACTTACCATTTGGCACCAGAAACCTCCGGCCCCATTTTGGGGCTTCAAAAAAGGCTTTATGGATGCTGATGGCATTGAGGCAATTCCATCTTGTCATATATACCCTGTGGTAAACGTTAACAAAAAACTATGGAAAGATCCACCCATTTTCTAGCTGGGTAAATCAACTATTTCGATTAGGGCCATTTTCCATAGCTTTTTGTATGTTCACCAGAGGCTACATTCGCTACCATTGCGAGGCCCTTCATCCAAGTCGCTCCTGAGTGGTCACCGCGTGTCTCGGTGACGCTGTCCCTGGCATCGCGGGGGCAGCGGCGATTCCGAGATCTTCAGGATACGTGGTTGGTATCCAATTAACACTTGTCAAATGGCAGTGTGTCAAAACCTTGTACCCCTGGTGAACATCAAAATAGCTGGTAAATGGATGTTCATTCCCCTAAAAATGGTATTAATAGGTATTGACCCATACCCAAATGTGAATCTGCAATCTTTGGCTAAAATGAACAGTTCCTCAAACATGAATCCATACACTTATCAACACTTGAGATGTTGCATCCATGGGTAGTGGGGTCCACATCGCCAGCTTTTCCTATCACTGGCACATGCAAGACCAGACTACCACTGCAATGGTGAGGGTTCGGAGATGGAACGAGAATTCGAATTACTTTGTTTTCATTGTGTACCCTCTGGTAAATTAACATAGCTATGGAAAATCACTATTTTTAATGGGTAAATCCACTATAAATGGTGATTTTCCATAGCTATGTTAGTTTACCAGAGGGTATCCCATTGCATCCGGACATCTGTCCCAGAAAAAAAGAAAACACAATTTTCCAGCCCGTGATTTCCCCATAATATATCTCCAGCGGCAGCATCGGCAGCATGACTAATAGTATACAAAAGCTGGGCTTTTTCTGGGGTTGAATTGCACGAATTTAATCGTTCATTCGCCCATTAGATCCCCATCATCAGTAACATCTTAAAATCATATCATATCTATTATTTATGGGGATAACCATTCTTTATGGTCAGTAAATAATGATTATATAAAATATAGATGACCATTATTTACTGACCCATATCATATCCGCATAAACCCCATCATTACTATCCGCCATTTCACTTGGACTTTGAACCGCTACCGCACACCCAACCTGCCGCAGAGTCGGTACAGAACTCGCCGCAAGTCCAACAAGAGCTGGCACGGCCCACGGGCAGGTGTAGTCTGAGGGGTGACAGTCTCACTGCTAGGCGACAAGAGGATCTGTCATATGTGTGACGCAATCTCCATAAATCGGACCTCATGTAGTCAATGAGATGGGTGAGTTCCCATCTAAGATCTTCCCAGTTTCCATGTATGTTTCCATGGATCCGGTCAAGCCCAGTCATTGAATTTATTGCTCCCAGAGGGGGAGACACTGACGATCTTACCATGTCGATTCGCAACAGGCCAAGGTAAGTCAACTTATGGGTGTTTCTGAAAATGGTGCCCTCAATTTTTGTCAATCTATGGCCATTTGAAGCTGAATTATGTTTCACCAACCTGAAATAATATACTTACTGGTGCTTAGCAGGGAATGAGGAAATGATCCACAATCACTAGTAATAATCATCCCATTCCCCCAGCAACCCATCCATTCCCTACTAAGCACCAGTAAGTATACTCTTGATATTCTCCCCCCGATCCTAACCATCATTTACGGTGATGTCGCGGTGTCTTGTCAGAATTCACTTCGCAAACTCGCAGATTACCAGAGGGTACTTCCTATATAGAACCTACAAAAACCTATCAAACCTTTTAAGGACCATTCAGAACTCTCGTAAATTACCCTCCCCCTCCAGTCATCAAGCATGGCAATGGAAAATTTCATGTTTTACAGATGATGCTCCAAAACCTCCATTTATAGAGGATCATCGCTACAGATCAGAATTTTTGGAGGCTTCAACGGTTAAAGCCTGTCGGCCTGACAAGTCGAAGGGGCTCCAAGTCGGGCCACATCCTCCAAATACACATCCAGCCAGACCTGGGCATGGTTTAACCGTCAAACCTGCAGGTTTTCACCATGAAACATGGTGGTTTAAAATGGTCTAAGCGTCAAAAAATGTGGTTCAGCCGTTAAGAATGGTTGGTTTATCACCAACCAAAGGCTGAAACGGTGATTCCACCCACCAAAAGATCGAAACTGGGGTTTACCTTCCGGTAAATTCACAAAACGATATGGAAAAGCAACCATCGGGAAACCCGAGGAAAATAAGAATCTACATAATTTCCAGTGGGTTCTCCATATCTATGTCAGTTGACTGGAGGAAAAATGGATAGGTAATGATAGGTAGATCAAGAGATACATAGTTTTACATAGTTTTACACAGTTTAGAGGAGCTGTTTCAGTATTTGTAGATGTGAATGTTTAAGTTAGACATCCCATTTCGATGATGAGTTCCTAGACGGATTTCACCAAATCGCCCCCAAGGACTTTGTGCTTAAAAACAGCCCCATTTGCTCAGAAATGATGTTCTCTATATATGTATCATAATCATATATATATATGATATATAATATATGTATAATCATATATATATGGATAGGGATAGATATGGTAAATCCACCATTGACTTCTGACGTCTGAAGAAAATTACAGTGGACTTTCTTGACTGAAGGTGCCCATTCCGGTGGCCTAAGATCTTCGAAAAACAGATTCCCCATGTCGTGGAACGACAAATGATCAATCAATAACCATCAATAATCATCCATAATCATCCACAATCATCAATAATCATCTGGTTGGTGGTTGATCTACCCCTCTGAAAAATATGAGTTCGTCAGTCGGGATGATGAACATCCCAATATATGGAAAAATAATCCAAATGTTCCAAACCACCAGCCAGAAAAATGTAGGGGGTCTAAAAAATGCAGACCGCAAGTCAAGACAATCTTATGATAGATAACAATTAAAAAAAAAAAACAAGGTGGACCATTGGATGATGAATTGAGGTCGCGCATTGTGGAAACCCCAAAATGACCTTCCATGGGTAGTGCATTTATTTGGTTAACAACCCACGTTCATAACTGGGTATATCCCAGCAACCTAAATAGCTTATTTCAGAACCACTTATGAATACCCAATTACCCGTGTTATTGCCCACATATTACCTACTTACGCTTCTACCCGATGTTCCACATAGAACTTATCATTTTACATGGACCCAAAATACTATCAAGTACTTCCAGCTGCGTTTGAAAGACAAAAATCTACCAATAGTCTTAGGTTCCCAACATGAACGGAGCCAAGACAATTCTCCAGGCTGTCCATTTGCGCTTATGGCATTGGGTTTACCACATTGCTCATATCATGGTGATATACCCATGTTTGGGCTGCGGGGTTGGATCCATATTAGGGGGGCATTTGAAAGTCATACTTCCACTAGAAATCCCCATAAATCCCTATCTCAATGATTACCCATATGACAACCATGTTTGTTTGGGGGATTAGATCTGGCCGAATTAGAATAGTTCACCAAGCTGACAATAGCTGTTATCATACGGCCATTTCGGCCTTACTAACCATCCTTAGAATCCATCCAGATTAGATATTCTATGATTTGGAGGTTTCCATAGTCATGTGGGTACCCCAATAGCTGGATGGTTTATAATGGAAATCCCATTAAAATCCCATTAAAATCCCATTAAAATGGATGGTTATCCCATGCAAATCTCATTAAAACCCCATTAAAATTGATGATTATCCCATTAAAGTCCCATGAAAATCTAATTTTATAATGTAAAATCCCACGAAAATCCTATTAAAATCCCATTGAAATGGATGATTATCCCATGAAAATCCAATGAAAATCCCATTTTATAATGGAAAATCCCATTAAAATCCAATTGAAATGGATGATTTCTGGGGGTAGCCCCATGACTTTGGAAACCTCCATTTCTGCTCCAAGAAGCGCGTCCCGTCACGGCGGCGCTGCGCACCAACGGTGTACAGGCGCCAGGCAGATCCAGCTCCTACGTTTTTCGACACGGAAAGCCATGGAAAAGCCATGGAAACCTTGGAAAAACGATGGAAAACCATGGGAAATGAGCGATAAACAATGGGAAAACCCACAAAAACGGGAGAAGCAAAAAAAAATCAATCACAATGGGATCTGAGGTTTTTCTTGCAAGAACATGATGGTTTTTCTTGCATTGACCAGTACAAGCAGATCTTTGAGGTGTGTCTAAACAGGAATGTTCATCCAAAAAATGAGGATACTGCAATAATTTTGCTACTCTAAATCCATTTCTCGTCTAGCGGCTATACCCCTTTATATAAATCCTCTCTGTAATTAATGCTGGTGAAAAAACAATGTCAGGTTTAATATTGTTAAATCTGAATTGTTTCAGTTTAAATTCACATATTTTGCGAGACACTCAGTGTGTCTTTCCTTCATCCTAATGATTCCATCTGACCTTGAAACGAGTCTACAATTCACATGTTTGGGTCCGTTAAGTCCACATTTTTCGACTGGTTACATCCGGCTTGTCTGAAAATAATGTTAACAAACCTCATTTGCACGTGTCGAAACATCATAAATTAAGTCCAACAAATAAATGTTCATACTATACCACAATACCATAATATTAAGTCCATAAGAACAAATCCCATATGATCGGTCCTCCCGAATGGGCGGTGGGACCTGGATCGACAAAGGAGTTGTCTTTCTTTTCGTGGGCCACAAATGTGGATATAATATGGATGAAATGCCAACATCTGATATAACATATACATGTATGATATTATAGTCTTTCTAGTGTATGTATCTATATATACATATATATGTTGTGTATGTGTGTATATACATGCATACACATGCAGATTCAGATGCACATGCAGAAAAAACTATGTACATATGTATATATATATGCATATGTATCTATGCATATATATATATATGTGCATACATGTATACATGCATATACAGCAAGTGTATTTGTGCATATGTATATATATATATATGTGTACATATACATATATGTATATATGCAAATATGTTTATATGTATATATGTATATATGTATACATGCATATATGTATATGTATATATATATATATGTATATGTAAATATGTAAATATGTAAATATGTATATATGTATATATGTATATATGTATATATGTAAATATGTAAATATGTAAAAATGTAAAAATGTAAATATGTATATGTACATATGCATGTATGCATATATGCATATATGTACATATGTATATATGTATCTATGTATATATGTATATATGCTTATATGTATATATGTAAATATGTATATATGTATATATGTGTATTTAATACCGTATATATATATATTCCGCAAATGCCTGGGCTTTGCCCGGAACCGCAACCACGACAGGCAACGCATCATCATCATCATCATCATCATCAAACCCTTATTGAAGATCTTCAATGAATGTAGAAGTTTAACGGGGGTGGGAGAATCAAACCCTTATTGAAGATCTTCAATGAATGTGGAAGTTTAACAGGGGTGGGAGAATTAAACAATTATCGAAAATCTTCAATGAATGTAGAAGTTTAACGGGGGTGGGAGAATTAAACCCTTATCGAGGATCTTCAATGAATGTAGAAGTTTAACGGGGGTGAGAGAATTAAACATTTACCAAAACTCTTCAATATATGTAGAAGTTTAACGGGGGTGGGAGAATTAAACCCTTATTGAAGATCTTCAATGAATGTAGAAGTTTAACGGGGGTGGGAGAATTAAACCCTTATTGAAGATCTTCAATGAATGTGGAAGTTTAACGGGGATGGGAGAATTAAATCCTTATTGAAGGTCTTCAATGAATGTAGAAGTTTAACGGGGGTGGGAGAATTAAATCCTTCTTGAAGATCTTCAATGAATGTAAAGTTTAACGGTGGTGGGACTTTAATATTCCCTAATACCTTTGTTGATCTTCCCAATGGAATGCAGAGTCGCAACAACATTTGATTGGGAATGGGGATCCTCTACGCTGCAAAGCCTGGGCACAGCCCAGGCGTTGCGCGTACATATATATATATATGTGTAAAATAGTTGTGTAATGATGTAATGATATACTTATATAATTACATAATCATATCGGTATATGTATATGTTTATGTACTTAAAAATAGTAATATATAGTTGTATATAGTTGTACAATCGTATAATTATATGTGTCTATCATGTTGTACAATCGTATAATTATATGTGTCTATCATTTAACCATTTCCATAATTATATATACATGTATATATATATGTGTGTGTAAAATATGTTATATATACATGTGTATATATATATACGCATATATAGATATGTGCATATCTAAATATACATATTGACATATATACATATATATATATATATTTATTTATTTTCGTACGTATGTATATATATATATGTATATGTATATGTATATGTGTATGTATGTCTGCATGTGTATATATATGTATATGTATAGATATATAATATGCATACGTATATGTATATATGTATGAATATTTGCATATATGGATATAGGACGATATATGTGTATGTGTGTATATTGGTATATGTCCATATGTCATCTGTACATCTATACATCCATACATACATCCATCTGTCCATACATACATATATGCATATATGTACATGTGCATATATATATATATATACATACATATGGGCATGCATATATAGAGAGAGAGGTATAAATACTGTATATGTATGTGCTAAATAATGTTCAAATGATGTTCAAACGTGTGGATGTAACATATCTCATTCCAAACCTTGCCCAAACCCATGGTCCATGATCTCAGTCATCAACTCTCAGCTCCCCAGATTTCAATGTTGCGTATTAGCTGCATGGTTCTTATGTCAGTGGACAAGAAAATCAAACACAAACTGATGCGATCATGCCCAACATTGAAATTTGGGTGTAGGGGTTGTTCTTAGTTGGCTTCTTCAGGGTGTGATTTTTTGTCCATCTACTGTATATTGTAGTCGTAGTCGTTTAATCTCATCAATCCACCAATAGATCCTTCTTGACTAAGGTATTTCTCAATTCAGGTCTTTAAAAAAATGCCAAAAGCGAGGTTTGGGTTGAATATCAAGTTTTACAGGAAAATCCCAGGTGATGGACAAACGCAAATCTCAAATGTGTTTGTCTGTAAAATGAGGTCCACAAAAATCTCATGTTTTTTTAATCCTAATTTCCCTTTGTTGATGGCATTACCTGGATGGTATCTATGGGCTCTGACTGGCAGATACTCCAAAAAATGGATTTATGGCTGCAAGAAAGTAGGCATTTTGAGAACAAGCCCGGAACATGTGTTGTCGGCTATACCCTCTGGTTATTTAACATCGCTATGGAAAATGGCTCATCTATAGATGATTAAAAAATGATGATGCAAAACAGTATATATACATATTCAAAATGGTGATTTCCCATAGCTGAGTGGGTACCAGGAGGTATCTCATTATCTCTCATGATATTCCCATGATGGTTGGTACATCTATGATATGTCCCAAGCTGGAGAACGAAGTTTCCCCGCACCTTCTCGCCAGCTGCTTGTTTACGCTGTTCCAAGGACTGAACCGCCTGTCGACCACAGTTATGTTACCTGCTGTGTTGAGTATATCATATTCTTAGTACCATAGTAACATCATGTAACATCTAATTACATTCACCATCTAAACATCATATTACATGTAAATGTGTTTAAATATCATATCACATTCATCATCTAATTCTTGGGTACCCCAAGTCTAGACCTCCTATATGATCCCAGGGATGGGGATATGCTCCCCAGAACAAGCTGGGTACTTTGTGGTGGCCTGGCTAAAACTCCGCAAGTTCTCTACGTATTTTTGACCAGCAAACATTCAAAATTGGCAAGCCAACCAAAGTGGATGTGACCAGAAATCTAAGATTTCAAGCTGTAAGATTTGGATTTCGCCAGGATACATGTGGATGTGAACGGCAAAAATATGGCAACAAACCGCAAAGATGTAACAGAAATCCTTCATCGATCTATTCAGAAGGCATGTTGGGCCACAGAATCTGAGGACTATATTGGTGTCTGAAAATATGGTGACCCAAAATTCACTGGTTTATCATCAAAATTGCCATTTTGGAGTGGTATACTATATATAGGCCCTAGGCATACCCATGTATACCCCAATTTTCCATGTTGCAGACAAAACCCATCGGGGGTATCTTAAGGGTGAATGGGATGTGTGTGTGTGTCATATGAAAAATCAAGGAGCCACCTTGTGTAAGCCGTTGATGTCCTGCTCATAGACCTGCAGATCGCTGGAAAGATCTGAAAAATCATCAGCGGCTTGGTTTTGCAGCCAGCATCCGTGGTTAGTTGAGATTATAAAGTTGGTTTATAAGCCCCAGTAACTATAGTTATAAGTACCATAAACCATAGTTATTGGAGTTATGTTCACCAACTGAACGCTATCTTGGGGGCCTCACATTGTAGGGTCTTAGGCTTGCCACTTTTTGAGAAATCAAATGCCACCATCGCAAGGTGGATCCAGCCGAAGAAGCCGAGATCTCAACGGCAAAAAAGACACCAAGTGGATGTCCGGTCAGCTGAGTTCACCCAAATCCACCGTTGGATGAATAGGGAATACCACTAAGTGAAGATTCAGTGAAGATTAATAGTTTCCCCCTATGAATCGTTTGGATAGTTGTATAGAAATTATTAATCTTCAGCCCTATCTTCATCAAAAATGTAAAAATCGTTTCCCCCTCAATACCCAACGAAACCCTGAGTATTGGATCTATGACTTAGGGGTCACCAAAAACCGAGACGGAGAAAACGAACTTCAGCGCGGCTGAAACTCGTGAGCGCCTTGCGCGAGCAGTGCAATGCCAGGCCAAAGTCCACGTCCTTTTTTGCTGGCTTCGACGGACCATGAAAGAAATGCTTCGGCGGTGCCTGAAAATAATTGCTTCCCGATAATCACCGTTCTGTGTTATTGTATATAATTAATCATGTATATATATATGTATATTAATATGTATAATATGTATATGTCCAATGTATAATAGATGTATGTCCATATTACTATATCATTAATAGTCATTAATTATGTCCAAGTGGGATTGCCGACCCCTATGATTGCCACGATTGCCACTTTCAACCTGCGAAGACTTGGGTTCTATCCTTCGTTGACCCATAGCCCCAGCTCACCGCAACTGGGCAGTTTCTGCGGTTTGGTCGGTCAGTACGAGTTACCCAGATACTCGTTAGGTGTTTCATGTCAGCACCACATTCGGGATATCTAAGTCCCTGTTTGTCATGGTCAAGCATCTTCCCAGATACATAAGTCGTCTTAAAAAACGCCCCATTAAAAGCCATATGTTTGGCGGCCAAAAAAAAACAGCGTTGTTTCATATTGCTTCTTTACTGATCTACCCAAAACCTGAATCCTAAACCTCAATTTGATTGATTTTCCAAGATTCAAAGTTGCATGCAGTTCCCCATTCATGATGGTGAGCTACCCATGTTATGGTTCCGATCCCCTCAACTGGCAGTGAAATCGTTCATTCTACGGTCGGACAGTAGTCGAAACCATATTATGTTTATACAAATGTACATGTATATTCATACTTACGTGGGTACATCAATACTTGTGTGTATAAATATATATATATATCATACAACTATATGCATGGATGGCTGACCCACCAAGCCCTCCAGCCGCCTTCTCGGCTAACTCTTGAAGAATGGGCGACAGCGCCTTATGTGCTCATGGCCTTAAAAGAATGCCCTATACAAAACTATATACATATTGGATGTTTCAATATATGTACACTTATTCTTGAATAATATATTCACATATATATATATATATGTGTGTATACACAGTACATATACATACACCGTGTATATGATTATATATATATACATATGTATACATATACATGTTGGATGTGTCAATATATGTGCACTTATTCTTGAATAATATATTCATATATACAGTACATATCATATACATACACCGTGTATATGTATACATATAATATATCTATATCTATATCTATATATATTATATCGACGGACTGAAACTTAGAATGCGCGCCAGGTTTCCAAGTGTCCCTTTTTCGTAAACTTAGAATGCGGCGCAGCCCCGGGCGGCGACCAGACAGTTAGAATGCTGACCCAAAGTGTTTAGATTGAGATAGATAAAGTTATACTGAAATGACGGATGGGGCATCATGGAGCATTCTAACTGTCTGTAAACTACTCTCAGGAAAGGAGCGTAGCATTCGAAGTTTCAGTCCGTCGGTGTGTGTATATATACTGTACATATCTTAAAAAAGATAATTATATAGATACGTAGCTTTAAAAAAAAACGTGGCCTCAGGGAACCTCATTGGGTGCAAGGTACATGGTCCGGCACTAGCATATTCTAGCATGGATGGGTGGGTTTGCATCATGTTTTCAAAAAAACTTTCTATATACATACCAATTGTCTATGTTTCCAGAAAAACACCAGGGAACGCTGAGGGAACGCATGGGTTGTGGGGTACAATTGTCTGCACAACCAAGTATATATATATATATATATTCTCAAACAGGTACATTCATATACCCAGAACCTCCAAATACCCACAAAAAATTGCTAAAACTATGAAAATTATGTGGTAAACTACCTTTTTTATGGTGACTTGGAGGGTCTAGGATATATATGCGTTTCTGCCTGGAAAAAAATATGCCCTTGGAGGCATTCTAACTGCTGATTGCCGGATAGCTTCATCCTAGGTGGGGGGGAGGCATTCAAAGTTCTGAAATGCTGGTAAAATGCAATTTTCCAGTTTTGCCGTTTAAAAAAAAACATATAAACATCTTTTCCAATCAGTGACAGTTACAGGCATTCCAGCTAGCGGCCCATCTAGGAGATAAAACAAAGGTATTTATCAATGATGGGGATCCTTTACTAAAGCCACATTCTAACTGCCTGTTCAACACCATTAGTGGCTGGGTGTGCCCTCTTTTCCCAGAAGCCTATCTACCTCAGGTATGTGTCCAAAATCGCAATTTTTATACCCGAAACTCACTTTTGTCAAGGTTATCGAATGGGGAAAGCGAGTAAAAGTATGCAAAGTGCACAAAAAATAAGGTGATATTCTCAAACATGTACATTCATATACCCAGAACCTCCAAATACCCACAAAAAATTGCTAAAACTATGAAAATTATGTGGTAAACTACCTTCTTTATGGTGACTTGGAGGGTCTAGGATATATACGCGTTTCTGCCTGGAAAAAAATATGCCCTTGGAGGCATTCTAACTGCTGATTGCCGGATAGCTTCATCCTAGGTGGGGGGGAGGCATTCAAAGTTCTGAAATGCTGGTAAAATGCAATTTTCCAGTTTTGCCGTTTAAAAAAAACATATAAACATCTTTTCCAATCAGTGACAGTTACAGGCATTCCAGCTAGCGGCCCATCTAGGAGATAAAACAAAGGTATTTATCAATGATGGGGATCCTTTACTAAAGCCACATTCTAACTGTCTGTTCAACACCATTAGTGGCTGGGTGTGTCCTCTTTTCCCAGAAGCCTATCTACCTCAGGTATGTGTCCAAAATCGCAATTTTTGTACGGGAAACTCACTTTTGTCAAGGTTATCGAATGGGGAAAGCGAGTGAAAGTACCCAGACCTGCAAAGTGCACAAAAAATAATGTGATATTCTCAAAAAGGTACATTCATATACCCAGAACCTCCAAATACCCTGAAAAATTGCTAAAACTATGAAAATTATGTGGTAAACTACCTTTTTTATGGTGACTTGGAGGGTCTAGGATATATGTGTTTCTGCCTGGAAAAAAATATACCCTTGGAGGCATTCTAACTGTTGATTGCCGAATAGCTTCGTCCTAGGTGGGGGGGAGGCATTCAAAGTTCTGAAATGCTGGTAAAATGCAATTTTCCAGTTTTGCCGTTTAAAAAAAACATATAAACATCTTTTCCAATCAGTGACAGTTACAGGCATTCCAGCTAGCGGCCCATCAGGAGATAAAACAAAGGTATTTATCAATGATGGGGATCCTTTACTAAAGCCGCATTCTAACTGTCTGTTCAACACCATTAGTGGCTGGGTGTGTCCTCTTTTCCCAGAAGCCTATCTACCTCAGGTATGTGTCCAAAATCGCAATTTTTGTACCCGAAACTCACTTTTGTCAAGGTTATCGAAAGGGGAAAGCGAGTAAAAGTACCCAGACCTGCAAAGTGCACAAAAAATAAGGTGATATTCTCAAACAGGTACATTCATATACCCAGAACCTCCAAATACCCTGAAAAATTGCTAAAACTATGAAAATTATGTGGTAAACTACCTTTTTTATGGTGACTTGGAGGGTCTAGGATATATGTGTTTCTGCCTGGAAAAAAACATATGCCCTTGGAGGCATTCTAACTGCTGATTGCCGAATAGATTCAAAGTTCTGAAATGCTGGTAAAATGCAATTTTCCAGTTTTGCCGTTTAAAAAAAAACATATAAACATCTTTTCCAATCAGTGACAGTTACAGGCATTCCAGCTAGCGGCCCATCTAGGAGAAAACAAACGTATTTATCAATGATGGGGATCCTTTACTAAAGCCACATTCTAACTGTCTGTTCAACACCACTGGTGGCTGGGTGTGTCCTCTTTTCCCAGAAGCCCATCTACCTCAGGTATGTGTCCAAAATCGCAATTTTTGTACCCGAAACTCACTTTTGTCAAGGTTATCGAATGGGGAAAGCGAGTAAAAGTACCCAGACCTGCAAAGTGCACAAAAAATAAGGTGATATTCTCAAACAGGTACATTCATATACCCACAACCTCCAAATACCCTGAAAAAATTCTAAAACTATGAAAATTATGTGGTAAACTACCTTTTTTTATGGTGACTTGGAGGGTCTAGGATATATATGTGTTTCTGCCTGGAAAAAATATATGCCCTTGGAGGCATTCTAACTGCTGATTGCCGAATAGCTTCATCCTAGGTTAGGCATTCAAAGTTCTGAAATGCTGGTAAAATGCAATTTTCCAGTTTTGCCGTTTAAAAAAACATATAAACATCTTTTCCAATCAGTGACAGTTACAGGCATTCCAGCTAGCGGCCCATCTAGGAGATAAAACAAAGGTATTTATCAATGATGGGGATCCTTTACTAAAGCCACATTCTAACTGTCTGTTCAACACCATTAGTGGCTGGGTGTGTCCTCTTTTCCCAGAAGCCTATCTACCTCAGGTATGTGTCCAAAATCGCAATTTTTGTACCCGAAACTCACTTTTGTCAAGGTTATCGAATGGGGAAAGCGAGTAAAAGTACCCAGACCTGCAAAGTGCACAAAAAATAAGGTGATATTCTCAAACAGGTACATTCATATACCCACAACCTCCAAATACCCTGAAAAAATGCTAAAACTATGAAAATTATGTGGTGAACTACTTTTTTATGGTGACTTGGAGGGTCTAGGATATATATGCGTTTCTGCCTGGAAAAAAATATGCCCTTGGAGGCATTCTAACTGCTGATTGCCGAATAGCTTCATCCTAGGTGGGGGGGGAGGCATTCAAAGTTCTGAAATGCTGGTAAAATGCAATTTTCCAGTTTTGCCGTTTAAAAAAAAACATATAAACATCTTTTCCAATCAGTGACAGTTACAGGCATTCCAGCTAGCGGCCCACCTAGGAGATAAAACAAAGGTATTTATCAATGATGGGGATCCTTTACTAAAGCCGCATTCTAACTGTCTGTTCAACACCATTAGCGGCTGGGTGTGTCCTCTTTTCCCAGAAGCCTATCTACCTCAGGTATGTGTCCAAAATCGCAATTTTTGTACGGGAAACTCACTTTTGTCAAGGTTATCGAATGGGGAAAGCGAGTAAAAGTGCCTTTGGGCTGCCTGTTGGTTCATTGAAACTTTTCATGGAATCTTTACCCAGACCTGCAAAGTGCACAAAAAATAATGTGATATTCTCAAACAGGTACATTCATATACCCAGAGCCTCCAAATACCCTGAAAAGTTGCTAAAACTATCAAAATTATGTGGTAAACTACCTTTTTTATGGTGACTTGGAGGGTCTAGGATATATATGTGTTTCTGCCTGGAAAAAAACATATGCCCTTGGAGGCATTCTAACTGCTGATTGCCGAATAGCTTCATCCTAGGTGGGGGCACGCATTCTAAGTTCCGAAATGCTGGTAAAATGCAATTTTTCAGTTTTGCACGTGTGGAGTGCCGCTTCCAAGTGCGCATTCTAAGTTTCAGTCCGTCGATATATATAATATTAATGGTTCTATACGTCTTTGCGTATGGTCAACCTTTTAAAGGGAAGGTGACAGCGGTGTTGCCGATTTTTGTCGCTCGCCTCCAGGTGCACGTCCCTCCAGCGCAACTTCTTGGAATAGAGCCTGGTGAAAAACGTTTGAAAAACGCCCAGCCGCGCCGATTTTTCAGGGACGTTTGACACAAAAAACACGGAGGGAATGAGATGCTACCAGCAAGACTTGGAGCTTCTGCAGATTTGAGGATTAGATACGGAAAAAACTGGAGCAGCACCATATTTTTGGCCATGTGTTCAGTACGTATTCAGGCTTTCATAGAACTTTCATACCATGTCAGTAAGCTGCAACGTTGGTGCGTGAAATGTGCCCTGACAAGTCCAGTGAAGAAATCAAAAAGATCCAGCAAAATCAAATGATTGGTGAAACTTGCGGACACTAAAATTGAATGGACTAAAATGTGTTGTTGAAACCAAAAATTGTAATGATTCCAATTTCTTCCCCACACAAATGTCAGCTAGAGCAAACATTGAGACTGAGGCTGGTCGCGAAACCACTTGGTGATTGAATCCACGGGGTCCTGAGACGACGGCGATACGCTGGTGGTTTGGAAGCCCATAAGAAATGGGAGATTTAACGGTTTCATCAACAAAACTGAGCGAAAACACTAGCGATGTTGTTGATGAAGATGAAGATGAAGATGAAGATGAGGATGAATCAATGGATATTTCCCTTACATAGGCCTTGTATATGGTAGGTACCTCCAATAAATCAGTACCTGAAATGGCCATTGAAATTCTCTGGAAACAGCGGTTGTTGTTGGACACTGGTGAAGCCAACTCGCCCAACTCTTGGGCCATGCCGCAGCTACTCGGCCCGCACGCCTGCCCCATGCGTAGCCCGATCTGCGCATAGATTTTGTGTTTCTGCCAGGGCTGGTCTTCACCCAAGGGGAATGGGAAAGCATGAAATATAATGGGTAAATGGGAATATCATGTGGGATTGTGGGATATATATATATAATAGGTAAATAGTGGGGATACAATGCTGGATACAACAATGTGGCTTACCCTTTGGTACTTTGACACTTTGCGAACTGGAAACATAATGTTTAGTGGGTAAGTCATGTACAAATGGATACAAATGGGTCATTTTCCGTGGCAAACTGTCAAATTTCCTATCCGGGTCTCCAACATGCCAAACTAAAGGAATGGCTTCCCCCAGAAACTCCTGGAGCAATCTGTGGCAGGCAGTGCCCAAACATACATGTTATGATTATGTACAATGATATGCAGTAATATATAATAATACAGCAGTATACAGCACGTCTATCATGATATATATATATATATGCATGCATGTGATCGTTTATGTGTACATATATACAGATACGCATTGATCTAGAGAGAGAGAGAGAGACAGAGATTTGACACCACGGAGGTCAATGCTATGAAGTCCAACAATTGGGGAAAACCTATGCCATGTCACTTGGAAAATGATGGAAAATGATGGAAAATGATGGAAAATGATGGAAAATGATGGAAAATGATGGAAAATGATGGAAAATGATGGAAAATGTATGATCTTCTAGATAAACCATGAGATCTTTCTGCCCTCTTAGACAAGCCCCAAAAATGGGTTTCTGCCCACTCAGATTGCCGTTTTCGGGTATCCCTTTCTGGACTAGCCCAGCCGTATTTGATGACCACTATATGAGTTATATTATATATATATTGTTAGTAGAAAACCTCCATTTGTGGATGATTTTCCCATTAAAAACCTCCAGTTCGGGGATCCATAAAAACCTGCCAAAAAGTCATGGCACTGCTCCTGAATGAAAGGTGTGGTGGCGTCAGTGCCAATCAGCAAACAGAGCTCCATCAGTACCTCAGGCATCAACGGCACCACCGATGGCTCTGAAAATGGAGCAAATCCCCAGTCATTTTCCATAGTCATTTTCCATGGGGAAGGTGATCAACAACCATGAAAATTGCGATGCTACGCCATTTTTGAACAAAGTCATATATATATACATACACATACATACATATACATATAATTCACACACATGAATCACGTATGCCTACAGATTTTGCCACTGCCAGACCCAGATCCACAGATCAGTTTTGTTGAGGTCCTGACAGACTCAAACCACCACTTGAAGGGCCAGTTTCTTTTTCCAAAGCTTCCCTTTCCTTTGCCTCGAACCCAGCTTGTGCTGACTGCGATTTCATTCAGGCGTGGAACTCACCAAATACTTGGTATACGGGAGAATCGGTCAAAACCGATGTTCCTGTATTTGGCTGGTTGAACGTAATGGCCAGCTGTTTAAGGATGTGCCGAAAGAATGGATAAAGATAGCCTTAGACAACTTTAAAATAGTACTGTGTTCATTGGTCTAATTTCAAACCAGAATCAACATTGGATTGGCTAAAAATGGTACCTGCACTACCTAATCATCATTTCCAATCCACCATTTTCAGACCCCAGAGCCGAACCTTTCGCCACATAGTCCTGCGCTGAGGGTAAAATCCCATCCCTAAAATCGTGGGACGTGACCTTTCTATCTGCTTGGGGGGTACTATAATTCTGCCCATGATTGTTTTTTTTCCGGTCCTAAACAACATAATTATAGATATTAATAGATATTATATATACATATGCATATATATATATACACATATAATATCTATGCATATATACATATGCATATATATATATACATGCATATATATATATATATGTATATATATATATATTACATGTATACATATGTATATATATATGTATATGTATATATATACACATATAGACATATATGTATACACGTAATATATATATATGCATGTATATATATATATGTGCATATGTATATATATGCATATTATATATATGTATATATATGTATGTATATTATATGTATATATATATATATCATGTATATGTATATGTATATGTATATGTATATGTATATGTATGTGTGTATATATATATGTGCGCTTTATGTGCGGTTGTTTTGGTGCTTACTACGGTAGCATTGATCTTTTCTTGGAGGTTTTGCAGCAAAACAAAGCCTAAAAGACGACCAAGTACCTGGCTGAATCAAATCTTGCTTTCATTAGCTATTTCTCTAGATACAACCCTCTGGTAATTTAACGTAGCTATTGAAAATGGTCCATCTATGAGTGATTGACCTATTAACCATGATGAATTTCCATAGCTACAATATCTGAAACTACCGGAGAGTAAACTTGATATTCGCGAGGGAGAAGCCCACAAAAGAGCCATAGCCAGCTGAAAACTGATCTTTCAAAGCCACTTCTGTGGAGACGACCCCTATTTCCATAGGGATTGGCAGGGTGCACACACCAATTTCTCCCAAGATCCTGTTGACATGTTGACACATGGCGACGGTAGGAATCGCTGGTTGGTCATGATTTGGTAACCCATTTGAGACCAACCTGGGACATTAAATTGATGATGAAACCCTATCATAATCTCTGGGCTTTGGTCAGCCATGAAACACACACATCAGTCACATCAGTTTTGTTGTTTGTTGCGGATGCACACCACGATCCACAGAAATGTGATGATGATGTTGGGGAGTGTTTCTACTGCAAAGTAATGGGGATGTCAATCATCCATCATAAATCATCGTAATTTTCAATGAACAGTAAGTACTTGAATGTCGCTGGATCATAACTCGTAATCTAAAAACAAATGGTATAAGTCAGTATCCTACAGCAATAATATATATACCCTCTGGCTATTTAACATAGCCATGGAAAATGGCCCATTTATAGATGGTTTACCTATTAAAAATGGGGATTTTCCATGGCTATGTTAAATAACCAGAGGGTATATATATATATATATATATTGGGATACACCGTATAGAACTGATGGGCGGTTTCAACATTTTCAACCCAAAAATATTTTTCGTCGTCATGCATCATACCAGACATGTTTGGGAATATGTATATTATATATCTATGAAACCACTCATCATATCATTGGTTATAGTACTGTTATATCGTCATTACATGTTTGATGTTTCAACCAACATCCCCACAGTTTGTTGGGCTTCAATCACCATGGGTTTGTCGGTTCAATCCCAAGTCCTGAAAAATCACCATTTTAATTGGTGAAATATCCATGGTGTGAACAAAACGCTGGAACCTGTTGTTTTTTATTCTATCCCCAAATAGCTATTGCTTTGTGTGTATATATATATATATATCCCCACTAGGGCTATTAAAGAAAAAGAAAAAACATGTTCAAAACCTACTTGTATATCCCCACTGGTCACTATGTGTAAATATATATATATAATACATATACATATACACCCGCTAGTTATATCCCCATCCCCATCGAACAAAGTCCCCAATTGGTTTTCTGCTCCTTCACCTCCTCTTCCTTGGGAGGATGCCCCAACCTGCTGCCAAACTAACCATGATAGGGGAATATAGTGGGATTTGGGGCAATTAATATATGTACATATAATCATATATATATAATATTATATATATATATTACATATGCAAGATTGCACAATACATATGATATTGATCCTTGCATTTTCCCCAACAATATGAAATATGTTTCTCTCGTAATGGACAATTCAGCACCATTTGGTGGCATTTATTTGTACATGGGGGAAACGATGATGAAGGAGCATTTGCCCCAACCAAGTTGGTGCTTGGACATCGCAGACTCGGGGGGCACGACTTATCAACTTTTGAGCTCCGGTTTTGCACTGCCAAGTAATACAGAAGCAGATCCAATATTGGTTTCTCACTATGGATCATCTAATACTTCTCAACCAACAGGTAGTCAAACCTCCTATACCAACAAATCGAAAAATGATGTTGGTCACTGCACCATTCCCTTCATCATGTGATACTCGAGGCTTTAGTAAACTACCCGCATTGTCTTTTTCTCCTAAAAATAATATGTGTGAGATGCAAGATGCTGTCGGTTGAACATTGGTCAAACCCCCTGCTCCTATGGTTTGATTCTATGCACACAGCCAGCTGTGTTTTTCGTCAAAGAAATAAGCCCCCCAACAGCGCTCATACAACCCTGCGCTAGTTTAGTTCATGTCCTCGAAACGTACGCGCGCGCATGTGTGTGTGTGTGCATATGACAATGGGGTTGATCGAAAGTATATCAAAGTCAAAGTTGGACGAATCAGAGAAATTTGGGTCGTATAGCTCATCCCTTCTGGGATTCATGATCCAATTTCGGTGTGGTAACCCCCACTTCGCTATCCGCCAAAACGGCTGGTACCTTGGCCTTCAGGCCAAGGTGCTGGGAAGATCTGGGATTTACCCTCTGGTGAACTAACATAGCAATGGAAAATCACCATTTTTCATGGGAAAATCCACTATAAATGGCCATTTTCCATTGCTATGTTAGTTCACCAGAGGGTACATGTCCAATCATTTCCACACGTCACATCCCATCGCCACCTCAAGTGTTCCGCGATGACCTCCGCCGAGGTGTAGGCCACATGAAAGCCTCAACCGCCATGGCTTCGCTAAGCCGAAAAAAACTCACCAGATGAAGTTGTAGTTGACCACAAATACCCTCTGGTAAACGTTTACATAACTATGGAAAGATCCACCATTTTTAATGGGAAAACTCACTATTTCGACTGGGCCATTTTCAATAGCTATGTTAAATTACCAGAGGGTACCCACCAACCAGATGCTGTTTTCAATGTTCAAACCCTCTGAAGTACCGCTATTTCACAACAAAAAGTGCCCATTTGGAGATGAGTCTCCAAATGACCGTGGAACAAGTTTACATAGAACTAGCATGAACTAGTCATTTGGCCCCATTATTTTGAGTGGCATTCAAATCTCATCACTTCACTGTGTCTAGGAAGTGCAAGGTGAGTGGCAGGAGGTACTGTGGGTGCGCAATCATGATGCTTCTGCAGCAGGATGCCTCTTGAAATTAAACAAATACAGTAACTTGGAGTCATGGCTCTTTCACCTTTAAAAAAAAACAAGCATCATCGCCGTTGCCGGGGTCGTAGCACCCCTTTGCAGCTCGGTAAATGATCCAAATCAACCCCACATTATATGATATATATATATATATAGAATATATAATATATATATATACATATATATAGAATCTAGCACCGCCCTCAAAGATATTCGTCAGTTGGCATGATCCCCCCAAAATAGGTTTGAAAATCCAAAAATATTTGAAACCATCAACCAGGTATAGTTCTCACCGAATTTTCACGAATCGATGAAATTCCAGGACTTTTTTATGGATGGATTCCAAAAAATATTCCTACGATGTTTCTGAGTTTTTGGGCGAAATCTGAAAAAAAAAAACCAAGGCCAGAAATAAACTCAGATTTCCTACATATTCCATCATATTCCTACGATGGATTCCTACATATTCCAAGGCCAATGGCATCCAATGGCATCCAATGGCACCGAGAGACTCTCAACTTCCGGCCATCCCATGGCGGCATCCTGTCGGATCTTTCGACGGAAGCCCAAAATGAAGGGTCCAATCCCCGTAATCCATAGATATCATTAGTATTTCTCTTGGTAAATCCAAGATATTCCAAGATCTAGGTATGCCATGATTTTTAAAGAATCTCTGGGTGCTCATTCGAAAAAACAGAAGGAACTGATGGCAAAATTCTGTCCCCATGATCCCCGAATCACCCCGTGTGTCCTAAACTTGCGGCTTGTTGAACTGTGGAAATCTAGCAGGATCTGTACCTCGACCTACTTATAGGATCACCATGGATCACCCCACTTGACCCCAGTTATAATGGAGTAACCGGAGTAACCCACATTTTTTAGGGGCTATCACCATAAATCGCTTTTAAAGCCCTATCAAGTCATATCTTCCTTGGGCATCGAGTAGATCGCCCAATGCGCCTGCTTGGGCTTCACGATGCCATCCAAATCAAAGAGGGATAAGGGGATCAGCTTCATCCCTGGAACCACAGCCCAATCGATGTTGTCCGAAACCTCAGTCGCACCATGGTACCAAGCCACTGAAGCCACTGAAGCCACTGCTTGGGGCGATAAATGAAAGTTCTAGGTCAGTTGTATATTCCCAGACAATCCCCCAGTGGATTTAGCAATGACAAAAAATATATCCTCCAGTGAAGTTATATACAGATGTCGAAACTGAACAATCTGTACATCATCTCCTTGAAAAATCGATCCCGCGCTTCTCCACAGTGGGGGGACTCCAAGTTTTTTTGATCTACAGTGATGTGGCAAACAGAACATTCCAAAACCGCAGAGCATTTACCCAAGGACCAGCTTTGGGTGAGATTGCATCATTATCCCCAATTTCAGGTTGATTGGATGGGTCATGATGGGTCTGTTTCTACGCTTGGATTGGAGCTGAACTCCTAATTGGAGCCAATGCCTTTTTTTGGGGCCAAAGAGTCTTGGTGCTGCCATCTTCTCCTGTGCTAGAGCCTCTCCCACGACTAAGTATCCAGAATCTATAGTCTCAAGAGGACCGCCAAAATTGATCTGGTTGTTACAACGCCCCACTTCCCGATTCTTGAGGTATTATGTCCAAACTCTACACCTTCATCGATGTTTGCTCGAAAAAAAACACCCCTGTTTCATTGGGGGATACCGGGGATATGTGAACTCCGGCGCCGAGTGGCAATGCCCCAGACGTGAGACCATTCGGAGTTCCGCCTAGGAGGTCATTGAGAAAAGCCCCAAAAAACACGTTCGAAAAATGAGTACAGGCAATGATTTTTGTTTTGTATCACCGCAGCGTTTAACAGTACTATTCTACCAACTTCTGTTGGCTGGTGGATGCTGGTGGATTTTTGATGCTGGGTGTCACACCGCGTGGACAGCAAGGGCGACTGTTCGTGAGCCTTCAACTGCCACACCTGGCGATGAATAGAAGATCCCGAAATGGTCCATTTCTGTGGCCTACAAAAAAACAAAAAAAGATATAGATATATGTACTTATATTCATACATACATTACATTACCTTACATGCCATTCCATTCCATTGCATTACATAGATACATAATACATACATACGCATATATATATATGTATACATGTATATATGTGTATGTGTATATATATATATATACGATCATGTATGTACATACATGTATGTATATACACGTATTTGCATACATGTATGTATACATGTATGTACATACATGATTGACATGTTTCTCCATATAATATCACCAAAACATGCAAAAGATATCCCAGAGAAACAATGTCTTATTGTAGTTCGTGTTTGAATTTATTTATGAGTCACTTATTCTAATATGACAATGGTTCTCATCTTCCGCATTAAGGTAGCTTACAATAGGCCTCAGTTGTATTCATATCCCTCACTTCAGGATAAACTCAAATACCATCCGAAAAAGAAGCTATCGGATTCCAGGAGAAAAAAACAAAACAACATATCCATTATTTTTTTGGTTTTTCACCCGGTAGATCTGATGAAATGTTCGTAACTTCCAAAGTAGATTTCTTTGGGTCGACTTCGATCCAAGGATCCAGGTCACCAAGAAGATGACGCAGTCGACTTTGGCGACTGCATTGGATCCCCATGATATCTCATATTGTATCTCACGTACAAGAAATACCCATGTATGTATATATATATATATGTATGTATATACATGTATATATATATATGCATATATATATATGTATTTACGTATATATATATGTATATATATATATATACGTATATATATACATATATATATACATATATATATGTATATATATATATATGTATATATATACGTATATATATATGTATATATATATGTATATATATATACGTATATATATATGTATATATATATATACATATGTATATATATATGTATATATATGTGCTCTGTTCCTGCTAATATGCCCGCGAAAAAAAGAAACCTCCGATTCCCAATTTTAAAGGGAAAAGACCGCCCATTTGAAACTCACCGTTGCTGGTGAAATTCCTAAAAGTTGTGGGGTTCACGCCCTTAACAACCCATATATGATCATATACATATACATGTGTATATACATATATATTTATAATTATGTATATATATATATACATATAGTTAATTTTTTTTCTATTTGTATAGAGAGTTATACATATATATATATATTGATTTAAATGTCTCCAAAAAAGAGATAAAACTATACCCCGTACATCCTATACCCTCTGGTACTCAAACATGGTTTGCTGGAAGATCCTCCCTTTAGTGTACTTGGATGTTCCCAGCTAAAAAATACCTTGATTTTGTTCGGGGATTTCCCAGCAGCCGCTGTTTTGATACTAGAGGATATATATACATATATATATATATTATATGTATATATATATATAGAGTATGACCCTTTATATCACCATTAAATCACTATTTATGGTCCTGATTCCGTCCCTTTTATATCGCCATGTCCCTTCTCTCACCGTTCAATCACCACCTGGCAGCCGCAGCGGGCCAGTGTGGCCACCACCTGGTGCTTACTATGGTCATGGTGCTTCACGTGGTTCATGCCATGAAGCCCCATAAATCAATAGCTTTGATATGGTTTAAGATGGTTGAAACATCCAACATGCTTTAAGATGCTTCTGTAGAACATGGTTTCATATGTTTTTTCAAGGTTTAACAGGCGTTAGCATGGTTTAAGATGGTTGAAACATCATCAAATATGGTATTTAGTGCAAGAACGGTATCGCCAGCAAGTATGGAGATGCTGTGGGGATTTAGCAAGTAAAAGTTAGTTTGACCCCGTCTCACTACTATTAGATGCCACCCATGCGGAATCCCAATTCATGAATCGATCCCATATCAAACATTATTAAACTAGGGTTTGATTTGGTGCATTAGGGGAAGTGACTAAGTATCATAGCAACCTCAAAAAGGATATGTGGGTTTGCCTTAAGGTGTGCTACCCCTAAATCCCATCGTTGAAATATCATTGTCTCTATTCAAACTGCCATTTTGAGGGTATACCGCAATTTAAGACACACTCATAGAATCATACAGAAACTTGAGTTATCGCTATATCATTGGGAGTTTACTTAGTTTACTTAGTATGGTCCAGTTATATTAGCAACTTTAAAACCTAACTGTGGTCATATACTTTGAACAGCTAATCCATGGTAATCCAATTGGGCCAATGACTAACTGGATCAAAATGTGGTTGTTCCCACTGGGTCCTAAAACTGATTGAAAAATTGGGATAGATGGCCCACATCTATTAACTCTGTGTAACTGGGATGCACAAAAAAATTGTCAGAATACATCACTGAGATGCGTGTCCAGATGCTTCAATATGTTTTAAGATGTCCAGATGTCTTATTCGTGCTTATATCGTAGGGAATCGGGGAATGATGCTAATAATAACTCTTGGTAATTATCCCCCCGTTCCCTACGTTTAGCACCTGTTTGAAGTGTGAACAGTAAACATGGTCTTTGGAAGCCATCCCCTCTTTGGGTGATCAAAGGTGCGACGTCATCAAGCCGAGCAGGGGAACTAGCTAGATCTACCGATTGGGTTTGTTCCACGCGATTAGACTTAGATCAGAATTGGAATATCTATCTATCTATCTATCTATCTATCTATCAATCTAATCTAATCTAATCTAATCTAATCTATCTATCTATCTGATAGGATAGAATCTATCTATCCATCCATCTATCTATCTAAATACATTTAGTAACCCAAAATATTCCAATAAATCAAAGTTCACAAAGTTGGAAACGGATGTTACTTTTCTATCTTTTGGAGATTACTCTACAGTATATGAAACCAGAATATGATATGGGCATGTCACCATATTGGGAAAGCAACACATGGGAAAGCAACACAGAACTGTGTTTGGGATCATCATATCATCGAAAATATGAATGATGTGAAACCACCACTCACTGACATATACTGGATCACATATCCCCATTTTCCTGGCTAGGCTCCCATATTTTTGTGTAGATGTTAATCCCATTTTTGCTGGAAAGATTACAACTTGTGATGAATACATCATGACAAATCACCATTGTTTTTTAGTTGAAATCTCCGTTTTGGAGTTTTAGTTTAACATAGTTTAACCATGTTCATGGTGAAATTGCCATTCTTGATGGTTTTTTCATCCATCATCTGATTTTTTGCGACCTGCTCGTAGAAGAGTGGAGGCAAGGAGCGTGCCTAGCCGCTGGCCGAGGCAAGGGTGGCTGTGGTATCTCAAGGGGGGAGCATTTACCAACCATAACATGGGTAAAACTATTACCAATCATGCTAATACTTGGGGATTTACCTATCCATAAAAAACGAATTTTCAGCTATCCAAAAAATGGTAAATGCTCATCCCCCATGGAGTTCGATGATGAATACCCAGCGACCAGTTGCCAGAGGATAATAGGGATATAATGAGGATATCCCCAACTATAATTGGAGAATGGCGATATAGTATGTCTATTTTTTCTATTTCCCAATTATAAATGTGGATATTAATTGGGAATATAGTATGACATAATCCAGCCTGCTAGCAATATGATATCTCGCGTCGCGTCTGCAAATGCAGTATCCCCAATTTATGGCAATTGTGGGAAAATGGTGTGATGTGTTGTTGACATATGATACTGACTACGTTTTTTAAAAAATTGACAACAAACACTGTCCTCAATGGCTGTGGTTTTAAACAAATTCGGTATGCCCCTACAAACGGATTATGAACGTGTTTCATAGCACATTTCTTATGGTCGAATAATTGGTGGAATACCTCTATTTATCCCCGTGTAATGACAATTATTATATGTTAGTAACATGATGTCCCAAATTACAATGATTTATCCCGCCCATGTAATGATAATTGATGCAGCTTTGCAACCCAACAGCAGTGAGGATACCAAAAGATCTCAATTTTCAACGCGGAGACAAAATGACGCACAAAGCAGGTGACAAAGCGGAAAGCAAGTTTTAAACAAAGTGGCAGACATAGCGGAAGACACAGTGGGAGGCAAAGTGCGAGACAGCGTCCGAGACAAAGTGAGAGACACTGGGAGACTGGGAGACAAGCTTCCAAGGTTCAACGCTGCGCATGCCAAGGAACGCGACACCAGCCCCTAGAGATTGAAACCCAACAGCTTTCTGTTGGGAATATGAAAATAAGCATCATCTATCATCATCATCTCCACTATGACATTATGATATCCCATTGTCGTTGGTCAAATGCTCCAAACCTCCGGCCGTTGTGCCGCCAGCGCCAGATTCCAAGATCAGATGCCACTCTCGGTGCCATGATTACTCGATTGAACTCAATTCATGGTAATCTTACTGGTGCTAAACGTAGGGAATTTTCGGGAATGATCCCAGTCATCACTAGTACTAATCATCCCAGCAACCCCCAGCAACCCATCCATTCCCTGCGTTTAGCACCAGTAAGTAATCATCCATTGGTAAATTTAACATAGCTATTGAAAATACCCTAATTATAGTGAGTTTTCCCATTAAAAATGGTGATTTTCCATAGTTATGTTAGTTTACCAGAGGGTAATCCATTGGTAAATTTACATTATAAGGTTTCACTGAAACCTTTGGCCACCTGGGGATGGTGTAAAGCCCAAGTGAAGACCATTTTTTTTCATCCAGAAAAAACTCATGGGTGAAAATGGTAATCTGGGGATGGGTCAAAACTCTATCCCCCTGGTGAACATCAAAATAGCTGGTAAATGGATGTTCATCCCCCTAAAAATGGTATGTATAGGTATTGATCCATAGCCATCTGATCAATCTGGCTGAAGTCTGTGATTCTCGATGCTTGTGATCTGGCTGAATCTGGGTAATGTCGTAAACCCAATGCCATCACCCATTGACATGTTGGGGATAGTTTATGGCATTGGCTAAAAACCACATGAATCTGAGTTTCGAATCTGCTGCGACACCAGTGACCCATCTTTTTCTAGAAGTGCAAACAGCTGGGTCGTCACTGGTGTCCAGAAACACCACGAGTCTGGATCCTAAAGAACTCTTCCAGACCCGGCCACCACAAGGAGATGAGACCCCAAAAATGGATATTTATATATATATATATGTCTCACCAAAGGCTCTCTAGCAGGCACGCCCTTCACTTTTTCAGGGGTGCCTCACAGTTGCTACGTCGAGGCTCTACCACTGTACAGCCTGGCTAACTACGCCACCTACGCAGCTAGCCCAAGAAGAGTCATGACCCTTTCACAGCACAGGTGGCTGGTGCTTGGGCCGCCCTTGCAGTCTCAAGAGACCAGGGCCTTTATGGCTCAAGAGCCTCAGTTGTCCCACAACTTTGCATCCTCCCTAGGTCGGCACACCCAAAAGGTGGTGAAGGGGCAGGATGGTGGGAAGCCAATGGCTAAGGAGCCAGGTTCAACATAGTTACGTTGCTACGTTACATAAACTCCACTCCGACATCACTTATTGCAATGTCTCACCAAAGGCTCTCTAGCAGGCACGCCCTTCACTTTTTCAGGGGTGCCTCACAGTTGCTACGTCGAGGCTCTACCACTGTACAGCCTGGCTAACTACGCCACCTACGCAGCTAGCCCAAGAAGAGTCATGACCCTTTCACAGCACAGGTGGCTGGTGCTTGGGCCGCCCTTGCAGTCTCAAGAGACCAGGGCCTTTATGGCTCAAGAGCCTCAGTTGTCCACCTTTCAGAAAAAGGAAGCCTCACGTACTTCCGATTCTGCCCTCCTGGCGTAGCCGTACTTTCAGCAGGAAGCGACTCCAGGCGCGCACTGTACGCCATTGTGAAGGCATCCAAGAGGCATGGGCCAGTTGGGCTGTCCCTTCGTCAATGTATTGACGGGCGGTTTTGCTGCAGGACCAGCGGCCACGGGTAACCGTTGCATCCAAAGAAAGTGACGACTGGAAGTACCAGGTGGCACCACCCCTACGCAAGCAGTAGGGGGTATAAGTTCCCGAGGAAAACTGCAGTCGCACCAGGAATCCATCGAACGTCCTCCGAAATTGGTGGGCTCCTGCGGTCCAAAGCAGTGCGTCTGAAGTAGGTTGGACGATGGTCTTAGCGAGCCGCACTAGTTGATGGTCCGTGACCAAGAGCACCTGCGGATTGCCCTGTGAGGTTTTGCTGCCAGGAATCACCACGCTAAGACCAGTTCGGCGTGGGTGGAACACCACATGTCTGTGGGTGAGGGACAGCATCTCGCTGGTACGAAGAAGGCAGTTAAAGCCTAAAGCCAACAACAGTGCAAAGGTCGGCTGGCCATCGTGAAACGCAAGGCCCATCAGGCCTTCCACCAGGTCCCAAGACGCTGGCAATGCCCTGGAGGGGACATAGCAGCGTTGCCAGTTGCGAAAGAGCTGGCTCGACCTGGGTAAAGACAACCGCAACTGCGGGTGAAACCGTTTGATGGCGGACATCAGGTGTCCTGCGTAGGAGATGGGCTCTCCTTCTTGATACGATAAATCTATGAATTCAGCTAATTGTTTGTCCAACGACCTGGCATTTCGTAGTGGCAGACGGTGCTTGTTCACATATTTCAGGAAACGATCCAGTGCTAAACGATAGGCTCTAAGGGTTCGAGGATGCAGCCCAGCATACATCAGGCTATTTCTTCGCCTCATGAAGGCGGCTGGGTTTGTCCGCGAAGTTCCACCTGCTGATAGTCCACAGGGGGAACATATAGCCATCTGATGCGATGAGAAGAGCTGTGCACCTCCTCAGAACCTGATTGAGCCTCCGGGAACTGCTGCGGCCTTTAGCCAAGCATCCCCGGGTGACCATGCTGTCCAGCACATGAAAGTATCGTTTCCCGTGGCGCAACTGCGACCGTGACCTGCATTTGAGGTACACTGCCACGGCGTTGAGCTCCAATTCATTGATGTGACCGTCTTCTTTCCATGGGAAGGCCAAAATGGTCTTCCAGCCCCATCGCATTGCCAGGTACGGGACTTCATGCATTGTGGGGTGCCCATCGGTGTCCAGTTCCACGAAGAACCTCACGTCGGTTCCTCGGTAAGTAGCTGATCTCAGCAGCATCTTCAGGTGGGCACGTTCCTCAGACTGGATCATGAGGGCTTCTTCTCTGACCAGGACGGCGGCCACGGCCTCCTTGACCGGTGTGGCAGCCAGACGCCCGGTGGACTGTGCAAGTTCTTCCAGGTAGTAGCGCTCCCCTCGGCGCTGACCATTGCGTCGAAGCGCCCATCAAGGTTGAGCTGCTCTGCCAAGGCCGCGGCGTACTCAGTGCAGAGCTCCCAAGGGTATTCTGCCTCTTCTTCTGTTGGGTACACCAGGGAGCCGTCGGCCCGCTGGGTGACTTGGTAGGAGAGCAAGCCCTGGTGGCCCGGGCAGTCAACCGCCAGGTGCTGCGGCAACGTAGGAAGATCTCCAAAGAAGGAGAACCATTTCTCTCTTTGCCCACCAAAGCAGCAGGAGGACCCAACGGAGTGGCTGAAGTCCGGCTCGCGCTCCATCTCCTTGACCAGAGTGAAGTCCCACATCCATGAGCGGTACGGGTGCTCCACCGTCCAGTACCTGTTGGGCCTGTTGACGTCACGGCCTCGCTTCAGCGCCTTGAGGACCATGTTGTTGGATTGCCTCACCCGTGCACGGGTGTCGTGGGAAAGCCACGGGAAGCCCATGAGGTGGCGACCGTCACGCACTGGCTGAGGACCTTGGATGGTCCTGCCGTCCTCCAACGTGATCGGCCGGCCCCGGGCCCGCGAAAACAGCTTACATTCAGGGGCCCAATGCTCTGCAGCCAGGTCCTCGTCCTCCATGAGGCGTTGGAGCTCTGACCGCCCATGTTCTGTGAACATGTCCAAGCCGAAGTGGAGATCAAACGGGGGTTGAACTTCAATTCTTCCCTCCAAGGCAACGGCATGGCTGAGAGGTGCCCTTGCTCCCGAAAACCGCTCACCAAAGCGGGGCGGGCGCCAGGCGCGGCGCGGGCATTCACCAGCCGCTGGCCTGTCGATGTCGCGATGGCCCATCACGCACGCCAGCGAGCAGAACATGGCTCCACATTCCGCTGGGCAAGGGTACCTGGCTCGGCTCGAGCAATCGCTGCCACACTCGTAGCAGGTCCTGGGATCGCTGTCAACAGTCAGGGGCGGTGGCCTGAATCGCGTCGCCACTGCAGCACCTCCTCCGGAGGGTGAAGCGTCCGTCACAGCCACTTCTTCGTCCAGCCCAGCCTTCAGGTTGGTGAACATCATGGGGACCAGGCTCAGGACCATCACGACCTCGTCAACCACCGTGGCTGCTGGGGATGCCATGTCACGGCAGGCAGCCCTGCACTGGATCTCACTGAACACGCTTTGCAGGACTGAGAAGAGCGGCCGCCGAAAGCACATGCCAAAGGTCGCCTTGCCCACCATGTGACGTAGCATGAATTCTGACCACTGATGGTGCCCAGTCAGTGAGCTGGCGAGCCCTATGAGGCTTGCCATCTTGTCAGGGGACAGCCCATACCGGCCGGCATCGCCGTCCAGCAAGCCTCCTTGCAGCGTCCCTCTGGTAGCAGCCACCAACCGCTTGCTCTCATTCAACGGCAGGCCTTTCTCACGGCACACCCTCAGAAACTGGGCATGCCGGTCGGACATGCTCTCATCCAGAGCCTCTTTGCATCCCTTTTCCAGCCGCCGGAGCTCATCGAATGAGTCCAGGTAAATGACTGTAAGGTCCCCCGAGTCGGGGATGGGCTGCACCTTGGTCACCTCCGTCTGCCGTGGGACCGCAGCATGGTCAAAGACTAGGCTCCGCACGATCGCCTGCACCACAGCCACCGAACTCAACCATCCCATAGGGACCACGGCCATCGCCGGGTATACCTTCCGACCGGCAGGACCCCCAAAAGCTGACGCATCCACCAGCTTGCCAAACCCCATCAGCTTGTGCCACGCCGCCGGCAGACGGAACAGGTTAAACGATGAGGTGAAGTCCTCGCTGTCGGTTCAAACTTGATCGGCCTCCTGCTCCAAGAGGGTCAATTGTCCCAGGTACGGGAGGTACTTGTCATCACCGTCAATGCGGTCATCACCGTCAATGCGGGTCTGAAATGCATTCGAGGGGATCAGATTGCTGATGAACCGCTGGCACTTCTGCTTTTGGCCCCCGATGGTCTTAAACTTGGGCACCGCGCCTGCCCCATTGAGCACGGGTTCACCAGAGGCATCCTTGAAGACATCCTCCGGGTCAAGGGGGACCATCAAGCCCCTCACGTGAGCTGCTGCAACTACCTTGTGCCACTCCTCATCCGAGGCCCTCACTTTGGAAATGGGGGTTGGTGAGGGCCACTCATGCAATGGTAGAAGGCAAGCCCGAGGGTCCTCCAACTTTTCACGGATATGATCCGGTAAGAATGTCGTGGCATCCTGAACCGCCGCTTGGCCAATGGCCGGCCAGGCCGCGATAACCTGCTCAGCCTCTAAGTCCTCCATCATCAGAATCGGTTCACCAGAGTAGTCAAACCTGGCCTCCTTCAGCTCTGCAGACATGCGCTCAAAGGGGGCAACCCGCTCGCCCGTAGCTTCCAGGTGCTCTACAGCTCGACGCACATGTTCGATCACCTCTTTCTGCGGGCTGGTCAGCGTCCTCTCAGGCATCACGGTCGGAACCGGTGCATGACCAGAACACAGAGCCAGGTAGTTCAGGGAGTTCAGAACGCAGGCGACGCTGTTGGCAACGGTGCTTCCCGCATCCAGCAGGTGCGTGGCTACTTCCCTCAGATCGATGGGCAGAAGGTCGTCACCCCTCACGCGAGTTGAGGCTCCAGCCCCGGGAGGCACCCCATCCCCAGCAGACGCCAGTGAGAAGTGACCCAGCTTGCTTGGGAGGGACCTCAAATGCAGCCATAATCCTTCCAGCACCTCGGCCGGGCTGTGCTCTTCCGAGCGCCACCGTTGCCACCGCTCCATCCACAGGCTCATTGGGTCGCCTGGTGCCGTCACGCTGCTCCCTCTTTCGGCTTGTCTTTGTCCTTTCCTTTCCCGCGACCCTTCTCCTTGCCTTTTCTTACTCCTTTTTCTTGGTCGCCCTTTTGATCGCTCTTGGGACCTTTCTTCCATCCCTCGTAGCTCTGCAGCTTCAGATCTAGCAGATGCTCTCGGGACGTGTAGATCTCCTCGTCCCTCTCCAGGAGACCTCCCATCTCGGGACTGAGTAGCTCGAGGTGTTGAGCTGAGGCCCAATGGCCGTCCGCCGTGGCCTTCTCCAAGGCCTTGATTCGTTGCCCCACCAAGTCCGCCGCTTGGGCGTGACGATGCTGGGCCATCATGTCCAGCACGGTGCACAAGGTGCGCAGCTCGCGCTGGCTCCGCATGTTCAGCTTTGTTCCTAGGCGGGGGCCCATCACTGTCACCAGGTAATGAACCGCCGACGGTGGAGTCAGTCCGTCTCTTCTCCGGCTCGCCCCCACAGACCCTTGGGCTCCTTCTCTCCGCATCTTCAAGAGGAGACGCGAGGCAAGTCTGCCCGGCTTCTTCTTTGCATACTGAATCAAGTGGACTTGATCCCTGCCTTTTGCCCTGCGGGGGCGTCCCGAAAAGACTCCGAGTCACTGTCAGAGCCTTCCCCATAGCGAACCACATCACCACCGCCGAAAGGTCCATGGTCTGGCCGCCCTCGGGCAGAATGACCTGGATCTGACTCATCACTTCCATCACCTCCGAAAAGTCGAGGCTGTCGTTCATCTTCACTCCCCTCGGGGGAGGTGGGGCTAGATCGCCTTTTCTTTTCCTTGTCAGCTCCTCGTTCCTTAGGTTTCTTGTCCTTTTCTGGACCTTCCACCCGCCTTGAACGGCGGGGTGACTGCTCGCCCTTCTTCTTGCGCCGTCGGCGAGATGAGCGACTTCTCTCCTCACGGCGGCTCCCACGCCTCTTCTTGTGCTTCTTCTTTTCCTTGCCGTCCTTGGCCTTTTTCTCCTTCTTGTCCCCCCGGGCATAGCGCTTCTCCAACGCCTTCACCTTGTCACGGGCTGCCTGGAGCTTGGCCTTCAAGTCGCCACGGTCAGAACCACTTGCATCCGATGAGCCAGAAGATTCTCCATCACCGGCCTCACGCCAAGGTAGTTCGTCACGAGGGCCTTGCCCGTCACCCCCAGGGGGAGGCAACTCCTCGGTGCGGTTGGCCAAGTACGCCTTCATGAGCTTGGCACATGACCGACCGAACGCCCACGCGGGGACTTTGGCATCCAACTCCTTCTGATTGATCACCCGGAACTTCTCGAAGTGGAAGCTTCGGCCGCGTTTCAGCTCAGGGCAATCCACTGAAGGCACCTCGCAGCAATGATAGCGACACTTCGCCGCCAAGGAACGGCCGTCGCCTTGATCCATCCACCACCGCAGGTGCGGGTCAGATGCCACTACATAGCGGCCTTCAAACCAGTGCCCGGTGGTACTCGTGGATATGCCTCCCAAGACCTCCACGAGCACCGTGCCCTGAGCTTTCCGACTGTCATCACGGGCAGCCCCCTCCACGAGCTGCCCGGTAACGAAACGGTGGGCAAACCACTTTGCCCGATCAACACCCCCAGCGAGCCACATCGGGCCCGCCAGGGGGTCACACAGTTGCTTAAGCCAATGGCTAAGGAGCCAGGTTCAACATAGTTACGTTGCTACGTTACATAAACTCCACTCCGACATCACTTATTGCAATATTAAAATGGCGGGTCAAGGATTGAAACAGTATTGAAACAGAGCTCAAGATGTTAGACAATGTTCGACATACAGTAAATCTCTATAATTCTGTACCATTTCCAATGGAAAGCCCATCGACTTATCGGCGAATTGAGCGGTTCCCTGCCAAAAAAAAACCAGCAGAGAGACCTGGTGAAACGTGACTGTAAACAACAAGCACGGCACGGAAAGAGGAGCCTGGGAGATGTTCAAACAATGTTCAAACATAATGAACACTGGGGCCACTGGGGACACTATGAAAAAAATGTCGCCAACAAAAGGTTGACTTCTTCCGTGGCTGCGACCCGTCGACTTGCCAAACTTTTTGGGGTCAAAATTGGATAGCCCAATAATATCCCATTGGAGGCTTCATAAAACATGGAAGAAATCTGCGTCTGGCTGCGATTTCTGTGTCCCATTCGTCCACTGAACCAACGGCTTTCCGGCTTTCCGTGCAGCTCCCTTTTTGAAAACTCCACCGCTCAGCCAGCTTTGTCCCTCTCTCCTGACGAGACCCAGAGGATGGAGCAGGATCAACCCCAAATCTATGATTTGAATCGTCGGTTCTTTATTCAATTTATATAGGTAGTTCCTTTAGATGGGGGTTGTCTGAGAACTTAGGGTTTGGACACCCGAATTCCAGTAAAGAAAATATCATGTTCATTCATCCTTCCAATTAGACCAGCCACTTCCGTGGCTGATCCGTTCTCAGACACATCCAAATCATCATAAGATTGTCTTAAGATATCTTAAGTTGTCACATATCCCATAAACCCAACAAAGTATACCATGTTTGTTGCTTTCACCATTTTCCCACGGCCGTCCTTGAGCTTGAGCACGTCTGGGTCGTTTCTTGGGATGTGGTGGGCTTATGACCTGGCCATCAAAGCTAGGGATTTAAGAGGGAAGAATAGTGATATGATAGGGACATCCTGGGGAAATACCCTCTGGTAATGACTAACATAGCTATTGAAAATGGCCATTTATAGTGGATTTTCCCATTAAACATGGTGATTTTCCATAGCTATGTTAGTTTACCAGAGGGTAACTGTATAACAGTAACCAATTAGCAGTAACAATATGAAGTTCGGAGATGATTGGTTCTTTTCTTGTCGCAATTGAGGAAAATGGGCCGGGGGGAACAAAATCCGGGGAGAGATATTGGTGCTTTCAGCGATGGCAAACGGCAAAATGTCGTTCATTCGAATCATCATCCGAGGGATGGTTGAAAAAAGAATGAAATGGCGACCTCAATTGCTAAATTTCAGGAATATCCCCACACAATATTGCCAAAAATATGGTACAGTAACTCCATTTGGGGTCCTGAAATTCCCGAAACGCAACCAGGTTGTTCGAAAATGGGGATTTTCGTCGGATCTGTTGGGATGAGTGTAAAGTATGTGAACTCCAGGAAATTACCACCAAAATTCCAATGTTCATCATAATATTCCCCATTTAAAATTCCAGTCGTTTGGTATCCCCCAGTTGAAGACACGCTCAAATCATCTTGAGTTGTTATATATCCATATAATATATACAGTATATATATATATCCCATTATATATCATTAACCATTAACATATCTCATGTTGGTTGGGTCCCCCATTTTCAGCATGCCCCGTGTTGTGGTTCCCATGTTTCACAACCGCATCCCATGGCATCGTTCGTCCCAACCGGCCTGAAAGAGCTGCGGGGCCACTTCCGAGACAACCTGAAAATGTTGGAGTCCCAGATTCTCAGATGGCGGGTTGGTTGATGCACCCATGTGTTGTAGATTGATATCCCCATTGTTGCTTGGGTGATAGTTACTGTCCATAGCCATGTGTTGTCCATAGCCATGTGTTGTCTTTGAAATTTCCGCGGGGTGGTGTTACCGGAGCAACCATCAGCATCCCAGAAAGAACAAGTCACAGCCAGTGCGCTCCAAATATGCAACGGCACATTTGGCCCGGAATCAGCGCCTTCAGAAGCGCAAAGACCTAGATCAAGCCATGCAAAGTTTCTGGTGTTCAGAACTTTGCTTTCGCTCAGCAGCTCTTGCTCTGCTAAAGCAGCTTTCCGGGAACATCACTGTACCAATCCAACTGATGAGGCTGTACAAACGGTGAATCCACTTCATCTTCCTCTTCCTGCACTTCCTCGTTCTGCACTTCCTCTTCGTCGATCCTCAATAGGCCAGCCTCAAAGGCTTTTTCTCGTCGTTCACGCTCCAAACTCTTCAAATCCATGAGCCGGAGTTCTTCCCTGAACCGCTCTTCTGTGTCAAGCAGTTCATATTGGTACTCTGCCTCAATGAGACGCCGGCGGAACTCGTCTTCCCATTCTAATTGCGACATCTTGCCTCAGGGCATGTCTGCAGTGGCGGAAATGAGGATCCTGAAGGCCTCTGAACAACGAATTTCATTTCCCAGTCCTGCTGCTTTACTACTTCAAACAGATTAGCTTTGCTACAAGCATCAAACAGGAACCTGAAAACCTTAAGAAACCTGAAATTACCTGGCACTTGCGAAAGCTGGCCTCTGTCCGCATTCAGGCTTGGCTCATGCTGAGGACCCAGGTAGCCCCTATCATCCTCCATGTCTTGTGAGCTGCCCGTTGTGAGCCAACCCAAAGCTGTTCATGGATTAGTTTTGTCTTGCAACACAAGAACTGCATAGAATTGCTACATGAGAATTGCTAGTCGATGTCTGACTCTTTGGCTTAGAATCTGGACGAGAGTGCTAAAGGCTGCAAAAAACTGCAGGAGAATGCCCTTTCCACTGGAGCCAATGGCCCAAGGAGATGAAACCAGATGGAAATGATATGTGGCTTTAATGGCTTTGTCTGAAAATTGGCTACCCTATGATGCCAAACACCACCATTTTCGCTAAAAAATGCCATTGAAATAGGTATCACCCGCTTTCAGATACATAATTCCACCGCGCAAAGTGATGGATTTCAACCTTTGGTGCTTTCTGAAACGATGATAAGGGCGGTAGGCTGCAGCCAGGCAGCCTGGCACCAAAACATGGATCGCCTTTGGGCGTCCAGCCACAACAGCTCATCTCTTACTTCAGCAATAGCTGGGCATATCTGTATTCTGTAATATGTAGTGTACGGTAAATATAGAATAATGTAATACTATATATATATCATATATTATAATAATATATATTATAATATTGTGTATATATATAATTATAGATATATATAATCATTATATATATAGCATGTAGTATGTAGATTTCTATAGATTACCTCCATATGTAGCGTCCAACTCCCCAAGCACGGCTGCCGAAAAGCCCTGGGATTCTTCATGAAGCGTTGCCAGCCATCCGTCGCCTGGCGGATCACGAGATGGAAAGCCGAGGAAAATGATCTAGAAATGCTGGGGAACCGCATTTTTTTCTTCGTTTTTTGGAGGGTCAGGAGGGTAATTCATGTTAAATAAGCAAATGAATCATCCTTTGGTATTCCTTTGGATTGATAAACAAAACCCCTGTCAGAAATAAAGTCTCCTTCTGCGTCTATATATGAAGACCTGCTTGGTTTGCCGTAGCTGTGGGCTGTGGGGTGATATTTCATCTGGAGATTCTCATGTTTTTCTCACGCAGCTCAACTAGACTCTCTTGATCAAGAACGGGGTCCCCCAAACGAAGATCATTCCGATTTGCAAATGGCAGTGCCCCAAGATCTATCATCTCGGATCATCTCGGGGCGACTAACCTGCACTTCAGAAAGGTTGGCGGCCGCCAGTTGCAGGCATTTGCTCTTCAGAGTTTCAGCCTGCGGCATGCTGCTCATGTGAATGGAACAAACCCATCGATCCATCAATCCATCGATCAACCCATCTATCTAACATTATCTAACTATCGATCCATCCATCATCCATCCATTCTATAACTGAATAATCATAACATAATTATAGAACATTATCATCATCCATCCATCCATTGGGAACATTATCATCATCCATCACCCATTATCTAACAGTTCCTGTTTTTTTTAATGGGTGAGTTGATGGTGAAGCCCACCACGAAGCGGGGGCTTCATGGTTGGTAAATGGCTCGGCTTGGGCGCTGGGAAATTGGGAAATGTTGCCCCGGCGGTGACCCCGCCCAATCGCCAATCGGACAGCAGCCCTGTCAGTGACTCGAGGTACGGAAAGTGATGGAAAGAATAGCCTTGGGTAAATCCCCGAACTCAACAGAGGTCTATAGCTGGGAAAATCATCTATAATTGATTGATTTTCCAATGTCACTCGTTTGATTATGGGAGGGTAAAAGAAATTCTGGGACTGAGCAAATCTGCAACCGCCAACCACTCCTTGATTTGACTTCAAGCCTCGTAGAGGCAAGACCTTTCAAACTCACACCATCCCCTACAATTTGTCTCCCGTAGTCACACAATTCTCCAATGATCAGGGAAGAGATTGGATGGCGATTATTCCCAGTCCTATTGTGATCATAATCCTATTATTTTTCACTGACTAATCATAAGATCCACTATTTATCCAATCACTGTTGTTATGTTATTATATTCCCAATTATTATGATCATATAAGAAACTATTATTGCTACTGTATTGGTTCTATTAAATCTATTGAATCATATCCCTGGCCTTGCGCTGACAGCAACTGCGTGGCAAAACATGGCTTGGTTGGAGAATCCACTCATGGGAACGCAGTCATACCAGAACCCAAGCTATTGATGCAGGATTCTTTTTTGGTGAAACCTTCGCTTTTGATACTTGATACCCCCAAACAGTAAGTTGTTGGCTTCGGGGTTTGGTTTCTGATCTTGGGATATCTTGGGTAATTTGCACAGAGGGAAGCGTCAGCCACCGCGCCTGCTGACCAATCTGGGAGGCCAACACCAACCACTCCGCAACCGTCTCCACCACCAAGGACGTGGAAATCTGCCGATTTCACCCCCAGGATCCCCATTGGCCCCGGGCCGGACATGACTCATCTGTACCCCTATTGTTTCGTAGCTCAAGCAACCATATCCATCCATATCCCAGGTTTTGTCGATATCTCCCCCTGTTTTGTTACGACATGTTCGATGTCATCGATGTCTCCCCAAACTTCGTATTCGCCCGATGTACCGTCTAGTAAGTAGACATGGCAATGGAAAATCCCCCACTTGTAGATTTGGACTTAATGTTACCACTAAAAAACAACAACTTCATTTACCCGGGGTTGCCCCTTGCCATGTTTGATTCCCCCAGGCAAAAAAAGTCATATTCCCATGGTCAGATTGCCCTTTCCCCACCTTGTCGGAACACCAGCGCACCAAGCCGTTGACCTGCCCGGCCGGTGTGGTTTTCAATTTCGTATGCACCCAGGGTACCCCAGACTCAAAGGTCCATGCAAAATATTGGGGTGGTTCCTACACTTTTTCCCTTTAAGATCAAGTCTGAGAAATAGCACCATTGGGTAGGGTTTATCCCTAAAGTGTGTTTGGGTACGCTGACCATGCTTTGCCACGAACTACCCATGTATGTTTCGAGGTCTTGCTTGGGACTTCACTGAGATTGCAACTTATTACCAACTGAAATCAGAGGCCCATCAATGTGACCCCAGTTCTGCGGGCTATGATGACTTCAAGGGGTGTCAAAGTTTGCCAACGTACCTAGCAGAATCCCAGTTGGGTAGTCCCAACGTGTTCCAATCCCAGCAACCTTTGCTGAGCCCGTTGTGCCACATCATCCCATCATCCCACCAGTTTTTCGCCATCAATGCCTGGTACTTGGCGGCTGCCTGTGGATCTGGTTTTCAAGTTCACGAAACGGGGGGTGATAAAAAAGGAACCTGGCAAACAAAAGAAACCACAATTTCATGGGGATATGTTTTGGGTAATAGATTTGGATATCATTTAAGCTGTTAAAAGCAACTGGATTGGATTGAAGTCGGACTCTGAATTTCAGGAAACCATGTTTTTTTTTATGACCGAAAATGATGAGGGGGTCCTACAAATGTTACCATCAACCAGTTTTGGGAGATTCGAAAAATGTAACATGTTTGGAAGATGGTTTTCTGATAGGAGAATGTCCATTGGTTCCATGATATGCGTTGTGTTCGATTTTGGGGTGTAGATTTAGAACCCTCTCGAGACTGTTTTTTCTTACTGGGTAAGTGCACTGAAATCATATGAACCCTACTTTGAAGTCATCATTGACCTAGAGTGGCAAGTTTGGATCGGTGAGATGATTCCTGATTATAATTATACACTTTGCTTCGGAAAAATCTAGAGATTGTCCTGGTTCCCGCTGTTGTTCGCTCATTCCTGTAGTCGTTGGTTCCAATAGTATAAATATGCATAAATTATCCCCTTTTCTCTGAAGTTGTTTGTCAGTGAACAGGTCACTGTCAGCATAGTTTGTTCCTTTGACCCTGTTGTTCGCCAAGGAAAATGCCACATTTGTTGAACCCAACTTTGCTGCTCATGTTCTAGCTTGCTTTCTGCTTACATACCCGTAAGTTATCTTAGATCTGTGTAATATCCTTATGTGCATATAGAACGTTATATTAATTGTTGCAACATAATATAATATATAATATCTATATATATATATACTATCTATAATCTATATACATAAAAACTATCTATATATATATACTATATATATATATATACTATCTATATATATATGTACATACGACATATGTGTATACATACTATAAATATATCACCTATAAAGTTATACAAAATATTATATTATATTATATTATATTGTATTGCATTGTATTATATTGTATTATATTATACTATATTATGTATTATATATATTCTATATTATATTATATTATATTATATTATATATATATTATATATTATATATTATATATTATATATTATATTAAATATATATTATATATTATATATTATATATTATATATTATATTAAATATATATTATATTATATATTATATATATATTATATATTATATATTATATATATTATATATTATATATATATTATAATATATTATAATATATTATAATATATTAGATTATATTATATTGTACTATATTATATTATATTATATTATATTAAATTATATTATACTATACTCTATTATATTATATTGTATTATATTATATTATACTATATTATATTATATTATACTATATTATATTATATTATATTGTACTATATTATATTATACTATACTATATTATATTGTATTATATTATATTATACTATATTATATTATATTATACTATATTATATTATATTGTATTATATTGTATTATATTATATTATATTAAATTGTATTATATTATATTATACTATATTATATTATATTGTATTATATTATATTATATTATACTATATTATATTATATTTTACTATATTATATTATATTGTATTATACTATATTATATTATATTATATTACTTTATATTATGTATATATATATATTATATTATACTATATAATATTATATTATATATTATACTATACTATACTATACTATACTATATTATATTATATTATATTTTATTTTGTATTCTATTATACTATATTATACTATATTATATTATATTATATATATCATAGTTATATAAATACATAAAGCGAGAGGGAGAAAGATTGCTTCCAGCAATTCTCCGTTCAACTCCCCGAAGTCGCCTGCAACAACGCTCCAGCAGTTTCCAAATTCTCCCAGGGCTGCTCGTGGAGTGTGCCTCGGAGACCATGGTGACCATGCACCGCCACGTTGGGATCATGAGATTTTACCAAACATGGGACGTTGTTTAAGGGCTATATAGTTTATAGATGTTTATATATATAAATATATTTATATATATATATATATTTATATACGTTTATATAAGTTTATATTCATGTTTATATAAGAACTTAAGATGAAAAAAAGGTGTGTCTGAAAATTGAAAAAATACCACCAAAGTGGCCCTTCTAATGGAGAGAAAAATTGAATGATCAAAGATCATAAAAGCAACAACCAAATCCCAGTTCCCCCAAGTTGATCTGAACCTATGTGAAATTAAAAGATTGCGTTCACCAAAAAGAAATGAACAAACAGTTCAACATAGGGATATGTAACCATTCTTACATATATACCATGAAATATATACTTAACATTGTCTTACGATTCACTAGACTGCGTTCCAAGTAAATGTTGCAGGGCACTCATATTTTCGTTTTACATCTTTTTACATCCACAATTTTGAGGTTTTCCATTGGACACGGTGGCCACGCTGCCCATCCCAAGCTCTCACCGTTGATTGGTGGGGCCTGTGTAGATGTACTCGCACAGCAAGCGGATGATGTCCAGATTCACCTCATGTGCAGAGTGAGGCTTCTTCCAATTTTTCACGGCCGCGAATCCCGGGAAAAGGAAATGTCCCAAATGGAAGAAAGATGTGGAAACAAACCAATATCTGAAAATCTCTGAAGATGACAAATCACCGACTCAATCACTGGTTGTTCGAAGTCGGCATTTTGAAAATAGGTAGATCGTCTCTATTTATGCCTGGGGCAGGGAGGTTGAGCCAGTGATGTTTGATATCAAGGCTTTTGCTGCAGGTGAAGGAATGATTGATTTTAACCAAAAAGTTGCGTTACGTATCTGGAGTCATGTGGTAAACCCAAGAATAGATCATCCCCAATAGAGGTCTATCATTGGGTGTACACCTATTTGGGATGATGTAAAATGACCCCAAATGTTTGGTTAATGGATGGTTTAGTATTGCGGGTAACCACATTATCTGGACAGGTGTCTTCAGGGGTTCTCGGAGAAAAAAACAAGGGTGTGACTGCGAAGGGCGGTGAGCATACTTGTTAGTGGGTCTCATTCCAATTGATATCATTCGTGTTCATTGACTATGAAACGTACCCACCTACGTTGGTGAGGATCCCGCAATGATCTGCGAAAAGGTTATTCACTACAAATCACACCCTTTCGGGACCATGTTCCATAGAAAACGCCTTTATTGATGATGTCAACCAGGTTACTGTAATGTTGCAAGAACTGTTTTCATGTATAAATGTAATTGATTTAAGCAAACATTTAGTTATCACCAAGTGGATTATCACCACCATTGGTGATGATCACCCAAAAGTTACCACCATTTGAATTGTTACCCTCCACTAAACCAACATTCTATGGAAAATCATCATTTTTAATGGGAAAAATGTCCTTGTCCGCAAATTGGTAGTTATTACCAGAGGGTCACCATCCCATGTCATCATCTGTCATCCCCATAGCTGGGTATGTATCCCCATGAAATTTCAAGATTTCCACATTGTATCCCATTAAATCCCGTGAAATCTGAATATCCCTATATCCCAGTGTACTTCTGTTGTATCCTTGTGAAATCCCATGGCGATCCGCGCAAAAATACCTTCAGAACACTTCCCCACTTCCCGGGAGACCCCCACATCCACGATTTTGATCACACGCGTCTTGGCCTGCCAAGGCGCAGGTGGTCTTCAAAAAAAACAGATCACACCGGCAAGAGACCCCAAACAGTGTGGAAGTAGGAAGTCAAGGTACCAGATACTAGGTTAGACATTGTCGTAGTTGCAGCAGCAAAAAAATGTTTTGGCACAAGAAGCAACGCTATGTCTACTCATCAGGCCCTCATACCAGAACATCTTAAAGAATTTCAAAAGATTGTCAAAAAGTGATTTTCCACACAGAGGATCTTAGAAGATCTTCATACAAGAACTTGTCCTGAGCATCCCGGAAGCACTTTCATGCAAGCACCAATGCAGAGCATCTTCCAGAGCTTAATGCGAGGAGGATTTCAACAGGATCTCCACAAGATTTTTTCACAAGGACCTGTAGGAGATCAAGCAAGGACACCTAGAGGATTTCACCAGAACCTTTTCAAGATCTTCTCACAAGGACCTGTACAAGATCATGCACTGCAAGGACCTCTTAGAGGGTTTCACCAGGATCTCTACAAAATCTACTCACACGGAGTTGAAAAAGACCTTGACCCAGGTCTTCATGCCAGAACCCCCAAGAGAATCCCACAAGATCATGCTAAAAGGACCTGCTGCTGCTGGCGAGGATCTTACAAGACCTTGATACAAGAAAATCCCAAGAGCCTCCTGCAAGAGCTTTCATACAAGCACCTCTAAGACATAGCATCTGCAAGGTCTTCATGCAAGGACCTCAAAGAGAGGATCTCACCAGGATCTCCACAAGACCTTCTGCAAAGGACCTGTAAAAGATCGTCTAAGATCATGCAACGACCTCCTAGAGGATTTCACCAGGATCTTCACAACATCTTCTCACAAGGACCTCTACAAGACCTTGGTGAAGAGCTTCATGTATACTACGGGCCTCTAAGACTGCACCATCTTGCAAGATCGTCATAGCAGGACCTTCCAGAGAATTCATAAGATCTCTTTACCAATTTCCAGAGAATCAGCTAAATCAGCCCGCGCCACAACGAGAGCGATCCAGCACGCACAAAGTGCCAAGAGGGTTGGGCGAGCGATATCACAATTCGCACCGCGCCACAAGGAGAGCGATGCGACGCGCACAGAGTGCCGAGAGGGTTGCGCGAGCGATATCACAGTTCGCACCGCACCACAACGAGAGCGATGCGACGCGCACAAAGTGCCGAGAGGGTTGCGCGAGCGATATCACAGTTCGCACCGCACCACAACGAGAGCGATCTGACACGCACACAGTCACGAGAGGGCTTGCTCAAGCACATGTTAGATTTTCACAAAACAATGCGCACAGCACGAAAAATGAACATTGAAAATGTCAAAAACAATGTTTTACCTAGGTCTCAGCCACTTTTTTGTCGAGGTCTACAAAATACATCAAAATCCGCCCACACCGCTTTGGCGGTGAAGGCGTGCTTATTGGGGGGCAAAACAGCAACACTAAATGCTCAATGACATTTGTTAATATAGCAGTCGCTATATCAGCTTTAGCTGGGGGGGGGGCCCAAAAACGGTTTCGCACCGAGACCAGAATACGGTGGTGTTTTCGACATTTTTCGAGGATTTTTGGGTGTCTGAGCGCAAGAGGGTATTGAAATGGAATTTTGGGTCATTTTGGTAGCTTTCCGGCAATGGAAAAACGGCCAAAAATGAAAAAAAACATTGTACATAGCAAGATTTTGCAGGGTTTTTGGATGCCAGAGCATTGAAAACACTGCAAAAACAAGTGTTTTGGACTGACGTTATAGCAAAAAACGTGTAAATTACCGTATGCTTGACTGGAAACATTACAAAAACACTGTCAAAAGCAATGTTTTGGAAGGATTTACTGCCTTTATGGCAAAAAACGTGTAAATTACCGTCTGTTTGACTGGAAACATTGGAAAAACACTGTCAAAAACAATGTTTTGGAAGGATTTCTATATATATATGTTGGAGTTGGCTACCGGCATTGGAACATGGAAAAATTGAAGAAAACACTGTAAATAGCGGTATTTTCAACGGTTGGGGAGATAAGGGAATTGGAAGCATTGTCGAACATGATGTTTTCGACCGGTTTTATGGCGACAAAAGTGTAAAGTACCGTGCTTTGAAGGAAACCATTGCAAAAACATGGAAGCACATTCAAAGAACACGGGATTTGGGGGACTATCTAGGCGTCGTTGTCTAGCTATTTGAAATTCCGCAGCTTGGAGAGCCTCCAAGGGAGGGAAAAGTGAAAATTCCATAGCTTGGGAAGCTGTCACGGCGGGGAAAAGTGAAAATTCCCTAGCTTGGGAAGCCCCCACGGGGGGGAAAAGTGAAAATTCCCTAGCTTGGGGAGCCCCCACGGGGGGGAAAAGTGAAAATTCCCTAGCTTGGGGAGCCCCACGGGGGGGAAAAGTGAAAATTCCCTAGCTTGGGGAGCCCCCACGGGGGGGAAAAGTGAAAATTCCCTAGCTTGGGGAGCCCCCACGGGGGGGAAAAGTGAAAATTCCCTAGCTTGGGGAGCCCCCACGGGGGGGGGAAGTTAAAATTCTTAGCTTGGGGAGCCCCCACGGGGGGAAACCACCCTTAGCCCCTCTCACGGACCTAAATAAACCTGCGGTGTGGGCGGCCACCCCACGCGAAGCGGGGTGAATACTGTGCCTGCCACGAAAAATGAGCCCGAAGCATCCGAAGTGCTGGTCGGAAATCAAAAATGACGACAGCTTCACAAAACAAGATTTTCGACCCTTTCAAAACGTGGTCCAAGCTTACCAAATACTACGCCTTCCATCAAAAATTACTTCCAAAACAATCTCGTTAGCAACGTGAAGAAAGTGCCATGCCTGCCACGCGGATGAGAAAAGTGTCCGATGTCCTGCACATGTCACACGAAACGACGTTTTAGACCTCAAAATGTTGCGAAAGTACCACGCCTGCCACGAAAAATGAACATAGGCCAAAGACGAGCACGGCGTGCTAGTAAAACAAGCCAGCCAAGCACTTTGTGCGGGCCTGCGCAGTCGAAATGCACATGGACATCTCGCAAGGGAATTTTTATGCGAGAATTTAGTCGGAGGCCAGACGGAGCACCCTGATCTAACCCCGGCCTTTCACACCTACCGTAAGAACCCCTCAGTGTGGACACGCTGTTTGGAGAATTAAACAGTCAACCAAGTTTGAGCAAAGTCCTAAATGTAATTCAGAGGCATACTGAGGTGCAGATTGCTGAAATCTCGGTACAATGAATATATGGTGAATCTGATGTATGTCATGAGTCAAAATCCAGGTGTGCTGCTGCACGTCCCCAAGATGCAACAAGTATGCGTATGCATATATGTATAATATATATATATGCATCTATTTGATATCGTATAATATCGTATACAGAATAAACAATGAATAAACACTTTCAAAATCATTTTACATTGTACATCATTGTACTATATTCTACAATTGCTACAATTGTACATTGTGATGATGGGCGGAAAAGTATTCGCTTTTCCATGTCCTCCAACTTAGTGATATCCCGTGGCACCTCCGTCATGTCTGAAGCCAACATTCGAGCAAAGACCTGCGACCTCGCTGGAAGCGCCCATTGAGTTCAATGATCTACCAAACTTATATGGCAGTGTGTCAAAACCTTGTACCCCTGGTGAACATCAAAATAGCTGGTAAATGGATGTTCATCCCCCTAAAAATGGTATTAATAGGTATTGATCCATAGCCATATAAAAATGGTGATGATTCATAGCTATGTTAAATAATGTTACAGTAAATAGCCAATTTAGTAATACTTGTAAATACTTATGACGGATGACCTGAATGATTATCGATGATTGGTTCAGCAACAAATGTGGTGATGCTGCAGAAATCTGCCATCAAGCACAACATGGGAACTCCTGTGATGAGGGGCATCTGCTCAACACCCCAAGTACAAGGGGAGTTAATTAAGCAAATACAGAGGTCACATCAAAAGTTTACCCCCTTTGCGGGCTTTCATGTGCTGGTTGGAGCACCCCTTTTAGGCCTGGAAGAGAGGATGCTGCTGTGCACGTTGAGCCTGCCATATCTCAAAATCCAGTCCGCACAGCTCTCCAAGTCTGGAAAGTGGAACAAACTGTTCAGTTTCCAACCATTGAAGATTCCAAGTTAAAAAAAAAAACTTGTCCAAAGAAAAACATTTTTTTCAATAAGAAGCCACATCCCTGCAGTTCTCCTTCCCCATATCTTTCTTGCGTGCCATGCTCCAAATGTGTCCTCCCATGGCCATCGCGATGCCAGCCTTGTGCCGTCCACTTCTAAGCTCAGATCCTCGGTGAAACAGCATGAAAAACCACAGATTTTGGCCTTGGAAACGGTCATCCATGGTACTTGATCCCATCCCCCTGAAATATATATATAATATATATATATATATTAAACACACCCCATAAAATAAACCATGGTTTTGTGGGTGATTTACACTTATTTGGAACGGGATGGGGGTGTTTGATACGAAGGAGCCCAAAGGACCGGCTCAGGCCTCGGAAATAAAAAGGGCACCCTAAAATTGATGTAAAAAAAATGAAGAAAAATATTCTCCACAACCCACCAAATCCTATCATAGGGAACTCCGGATCAAGTTTTCGGGTGTTGCTGATGGTTCGGAGTTCGTCGCCGTGTCCTCTTTCCCACTGGTCTGTTGAGGAATAAAAACAGGAAGCTCACCACTGAACCAAAAAAAATCGGTAAAGCATGATACAAGGTTCAGCCTCCGGGGCGAACCCCATATGTCCACATTGGGACATCATTGCTTGAGCTTTGGAGTCCCCCCCAGTCATTTTCCCAGCTTTTGGACCCGCACCGAATGCTGGCCCGAGTCCCAAAGTACCTACAACGCCATCGATATCTGGCTGCACCACGGGCCCAAAAAATTGGAAGGTCGAGAATCATAATCCCTGGTGAGGTTGAAAAGAAAAACCTTGAACAAACCTTTCAAAACACCAGGTAGAGTATCTGTCCTGCCTATGGGGCGTGGTTCTCTTCGTACGAATATGCATCATGTTTCCCTCTTGGCGCTTGATCAACGGGTCTTCATGACCCAGCAATGTCACCTGAAACTCTTACCAAGACCATTCTCACCAGAAAACAAGCAGCGGCGACGATTGTTTACTCCAACTGATGATGAAGTTTTTCCTACATGCCGTTCCCAGTTTAAAATTTGCACTGCGTGGGTCTAAGTCAACGTTGGATGACGGATGACGTCTATCATCTTGAAATGCAGCAACCATCCATAACAATCCTATTTATGTGGGATGTCCTATAACTTCCATAGGGGTCCCAAAAAGATGCAAAAAAGTGGTTTCCCAACGCGTTACCTGTTACATCAGAAGGGACATCAGGAAAGTAAGAACTTTCTTGAGTTCCAGGGTTTCCACTTGGAAGTGCAGTTCCAGTCCAGTTATGAGTGGATGTATAATAATTAATTATAGGGGTTCTGTTCCAACTTATGGGAGTGTCAATGACCATGGTTGCCATTGGAACCCCAACCTCTTTCGAGCCCTCTGTCACGACCCCTGGTCACGCGCAGATCCGAACTCAAGTCATCGCTGGGTGCAGAGGCACAGCGCGGTTCAGGAGACATGGACTGCAGCTTGAAGTCCTCAAAGTCGCTGCGAAATTCCGGGAAACTCCATGAAATTTTCGCCAGGCGACAGCTGGCCCATGCCAATTCCGGCATATTGTCACTGTTTTCCCCCAAAAAACCAGCCATTTAGGAGCTATACCATCAATTTCAGATATTGGATAAAGCCCAACTTAAAAAAAGTGGCTGATCAGTCGATCATCCCATTGGTCGACTGGCTAGCAACGGTGGCTTCCCAGCACTGCCAGCCTCTTTTAGTCATTTTAGTCCTTCCCAAATCCCAAAGTCAGATAACTCACCAGCGAAAATTGGAAGTCCCACTTTATGGCTATGCGGCTATGTTTTGATGGGAAATATGATGTATTATAGATGTATTATATAACCAGTTGATTCTGATGCACACCCCCGGTGGATACACCATTAATAAAAATATCCCAGTTGATTCGTGTCATAGAGTTTTTCAACCAAAAAAAAACATCAAATATCTAAGTTATCTAAGGACCATTTCACCTATATTACACCTATATTTCACCTATAAAAAATCTCCAATTTTATCCCAACGATGTTCGTTGAATTTGGTGAAAAATCTCCCACATGTTGGATCGAGTGTAACTGAAACGGATATTCCACATAAAAAAAAAAAACAGCAAAAATATCCAACCGTTCAACGGTTGGTTATATTAAAATTTTCCACTATCAGATTTATCAGATTTATATTTCCCAAAGATATCTCATGCTTGGCCAAGATAGCCCATAATCAGACGACACATGCACAGCCCAAAACAAAATCCCTCCCGTAATTTAACAGTTTGCGACATTTTTTCAATGGCCCATCCATCGAAATAGTTAAGATTTGCGCTAGAAAGATGGCTGGGATTTTCCGTTCACGTTTTACCAGGCCGGGTATAATCACCATTAATCACCATTAATCACTATTAATTATCAGTATTAACCACTATTAACCACTATTAACCACTATTAACCACCATTAACCACTATTAACCACTATTAACCACTATTAACCACTATTAACCACTATTAACCACTATTAACCACTATTAACCACTATTAAATGTCACCCAAAAAGCGGCTCAAAGGCTCGTCCTCCTGCCCGAGCACCGTCACGGAGGCTTCAAAGATGACCACGTCATCGGAGAAGCCCTTGCTGCGATCCATCCTCACCATCTGACGAATGTCCCATTCCGAAAAAGCCATGGGAAAATCCACCCATCTGATTTTTTTTTGGTAAAGGGGAAAATCCACCCATTTTTTTTAGGTAATTTTTTGGATGGGGAAAATCCACCCATCTTTTTTTGAGGTAAATCTCCACTATTTCGAATTCTATGGGCCATTTTCTATGTCGCAAAGTGGGTAAATTACCAGAGGGTACAGATGCGTCGCTGTGTGGCGGCGTTTATGATTGTTTTTTTTTTTTCAGTTGATTTCAGCATGTTCGAAATTTCGGGAGTTTTTTGCAATGAAGAATGATGAATAATGGATATTGGTGTATCTGAATATGGGATATACCCCCCAAAAAAAAACAATTCGTGGTCATTTCAATGTTGGCCAACCTTGCATGATTTTGTTTCCCCTACAAAAATGCAAAATCAAATTACTGGCCCATTCATGCCATGCACCTATCAAAACCCAGGGTTGACCAAGCAGCTGGTTGGCTTCTTGGAAAAAGCTACCAGTACAAGAACATCATGATGAAATCAGCATTTAAATACCAAGGGTTCTGGTTCATTGTGTTCGTTGAAAGCAATTCTGAGACAATTCCACATCAGATCATTAAAATCTGGCAGCTGTGGCGTCTTTGAGACCACCAAGATGGAGCGCCTGCACCCAACATGGTGCGAAACACCCTGCTCATTGGGCGATTTCGCTATGTTAGGGGTATGGTCATCCCACCATTAATGGGATTCCTTACAGTGGCTATGTAAATCCCTATTGGAGGATTGATGACAATCCCAAAATATTGGCGTCCTCCAAAATTTGACCATGGCACATATAGAAAACCCATGGATGGATGGAATCGTCACTGTCTCTGTGACATTGAAACATCCAATGAGATCTGCGCAATTTCCGGGATTTCGAATGGTTATTCATACATAATAAACCTATGGTTATCATGGTTATTCTAAATCCACTAACGATAAATGGCTTTCTATCCCAGCCCTGCCAAACGGGATCCCGTACAAGCGCTCTTGTCGTATGAAGTTGTCAAAGCCCCAGCCTGGCTGCAATACTCACCTTTGACAACTGGAGTTGATGGCAAACCTCACCCCATCAAACCAGACTAATCAAAGACCCTGGAGTAAACTGACATAGATATGGAAAATCCACAATTTGTACAGAAAAAAAAAACTGGGCAAACTATGGATGTTCCATATCTATTTTGGTAGTCCTAGGCTAGTTTTGAGCAGGATTGCAAGTATGGCGTGTGACCTGTTGCTCCAATTGTGATGACTTGTTGGCTGAACCATCCATAAAATGGTGAAATAGGCACACATTTCCGTGTTTGGGAATGAGAAAGAACCGGGAATAATTGAGCAACTGACCAGTGTTCAGTGGATCCTTTGTCATGGAACCGCAGTTAGCGGTTGGTGAAGAACCAAAATTCATATAGATGATGATCCATGATGATAACAAAATCAAGGCTAGGTTTAATAACTGGATGCTGATATTCAATCATCAATCAATGATCAATCAATCATCCCCAATAATCAATCAATAAGCATCAAAAGTCATCAATAATCATCAATAATAACCAATGAATAATCCCCAATATACAAAGGGTTCATAATCCCCAAACGAATCCTCAACCGTGTCGTCGTGTCGTCGTGTTGTCGCACCATCGCCGCTGGTGAAGGTGGTTTCCTCTTCGAGTCGGTGCCTGGAGTTTCCAAGCGTGAGGTGTGACATCTTGTATTGACGCATTACAAAATAATAGCTATACATATGATACATACAGATGTATAGATATAGATATAGATATAGATATAGATATAGTGCGAATCGGGGATTGCCTGTCCGATTATGTCCTGGTACTTGGGGTTGAAGTAAGTGCTTCGGTGACGACTTCACTCGGATGGCGGCTTCCGCATGGCAGTTCTTTGCTCTGGTGCTGCAGTGGGTCTTGAGCCAGAGAGGCCAGTTTGATATACCCCTTTGGCGTTGGATCCTAGAGTGTCGAATTATATGTGAATATACAATCGTACGTAGCCTACACTCTATTCGCACCCCCCACGCATAGCCAACTTTGTTGGCTACGCGCAAAGGAGTGTCCTTTGAATTGATCCACTACATTTGCAGCTGTTCATTTATTGAATTATGGAGAGCTAAAGTCCGTTCAGAACTTTACATCTACATGGCGGCTTGCTACGATCTCTACCAAAAGATAAAAGGTTCTGTTCACGTGCACGTAGACACGACGTAGTCGGTGTCTAGCATTGAGGTTCATCCGATGTGGCGTAGCCAGCATGGAATCCCACTCAAGCATGTGAATTAAAGAAATCAAAACACAAAGTTGACTATGGAACTAGAAGTTTACCTTCCCGTTCCTTCGTCGGTTGAGATGTAGACCGCTGTAGAAACTCAGCGTCTCGTGCAATGATGTTCAAAAAAAATGTGTGGTTCTAAATTAGCCGGCTCAGAGTCCTCTCAGAAATCATTCGAAATGAAATAGAGGTAAATCTCGAGCAATGATTGCGTCCTCGCATCGCCAGGTTCAATCAGGACCTATGCAGAGGTCATATCGATTCATCATCTATATCCCCATCCATAGTATCCCTGTTGGTTCCAGTCGCCACCACGGTGCGAATAAGATCTTCCACCTTTTCCTTTGTCTTTTCCACCTTTCTGTGGCGGGGTTACTGGAGCTTGTTTTGGCGGAGGAGCGGTTTCAACTGTTCTCCAAGTTGCTGACGATGATGCTTTCGCTTTTGACACCCTGCCCAGTGCTGTTGCCGCTTTCGGGGCTGTTTTCGATTTGCCAGCGGCTTGGTTAGCACGTTCACGATCAGCAGGAGTTGGGGTATCAGCAATCGCAAGTATGTGGGCGTCAGACATGTGGATGCCCCATCTTGGTCGTTGATCGTCCCGCTGCTTGATGTGGTTGTAGTCATTGATCGCATCATACAGCTTCTGGAGTAGAGGTCGTGGCAATTGTCGGCCATTTTGAAGGATCAGGTGTAAAAGTGATATTCTTCGAAGTGCGGGACGAAGAGCACACACAATATCAACTGGGTTCAGTGTGATTGTGTCTTGAAAGTCTACGTTCCTGAAGAAATAAACAGCATTCACCCTGTATGCACCTGCAATGATTCTTCTGACCATGACGTCTTGTCGGTCAAGGGCGTCGCGGGCCGCTGTGGTCTTTCTCATCTCATCCATCGTTGTGTCACGTTTCGACAGCTTCTCCATCTCCTCTTCAAAGAAGATATTTTGTAAGTCATCATACGTGTAGCCACATTCAAGGGTATATATGAGAAGTCTTTTGAGTACCACTGCCCCATAGTATGCATTGACGAATCCCTCTTCTCCGATGTCGTCCTTTTGATTTGGTCGGCCGATCTCTTCGTAGAGCTCTTTCATCTGTTGTGCAGTTGGTTCAATGAGTTCACCATTCTCATCCTCGCCTAGGTAAGGCACTCTTGAGTCCAGGTCCATCCTGAATTTCCGGTTCTGTTGAAAGTGTTTCCATGCCGTCTCGATGTCTCCACAGAAGTTCCGTTGGAATAGTCTGTAGATCCTGACGATATGTAGTCCAATCTGCAACAGGAGGATTTTGATGAGCTCCGGCTGAGCATCTCCAATTGTGCAAGGCTCGATTGGTAGGACCTTTGATCCAAACTCAATCCGCTTTATCCACTTGGGGTACTCAATCACTGCATCACGAGCTTCTCCAGCCTCATATTCTTCAATGTTGATTTCATCGACCGCTATCTCTTGTCGACCTCATCTTGTTCTCTGAAGTCTCTTTTCTCATCATTGATGTCGCCCTTCTTCGAGGCTTGGTCATCATCTCCCTCTTCTGGTTGAGGTTCTTGTTCTGGACTCTTCATGTTGATGTCATCATCATCTGGCATCACCTCGTCGTCATCACCATCACCTGTCAAATCGATCTTCACCTCCTCCCTTGCTTTCTTGACATGGTCTTTGAGATCTTCTTCTCGATGGTGTGATTCGGCACTTGGTACTGTAGCCACGGTGATCTTGATTCGTTTCCTCCATCCATGACTCACCAAAAATCCTTTGCACATCACACAAATCGATAGTGGTGCAGGGGTCTCCATCAGACATGCGGGGCATAGTCGATGGTCCTCCTTGCTGGGATGATGAGTGACTGCTAACAATGATATTGCATCATTCCAATCCGGATGTCCAGGGAACAATCTGTGAGCATGACTGAAGTGACCGGTCTTGATATCGACAAGCTTTCGAAGTTCGTTCAGATCGGGTGATGATTCATCAGGCACAATGTTCCCAATGAGTTTGTCAAACCGTTCAATGGTGGCCACCCTCCTTGCTCCTTGTACAGAAAGCACGAGTTGATCTTTCCCCTTCGTGATCATAAGACGGTAGTAGTCCTTTTCCTTGCAATCGTAGTACCAAACTGCATCGAATGATTCGAATGGAATTGTTTCTTGGACCAAAATGTGTCCGTCTGCTGACAATCTAGGGGAGAACTTGGCGATGGAATCGTACGTGATGTAGATGTAGACAAGATCAGTTTGTTCGATCTTCCTGAATCTCAGCACCGACTGACTTCGTACGTCCCACGGTGCGAATGGCACGAAGAACGTGTTGATGCGGTCGCCTCCTCCTCCGGGACGTAGTCCTTCTCTGAAGATTTGAGCGATGTTGTCAAAAGTGGTGCAATGAAATCCTCCTCCAAGAGTGTATCCGACTCCAGGGTTCATCTGATAGGAAGTCTTCTTGTCTTCAATGTGCACACCGCCTTGAACTCTTGAATGCGCCATAGGAGCACGGATTGCCACCGGCCATAGCCAAATCTCTCGATCTGCTGTTCCGATCTCCAATCTCAGTGTTTGTCGTTCAAGTCTCGAGGTCAATTCGTCATTGAAGTTGTTCATGATGTGTTCCAACTCACCTTTCGTGACTTTGAGTCCTAGCACTTGAGCTCGGATCCTTTTCGTCTGCTTGTACTCAGTGAAGATCACTCTCTGGAAATTGTTCCACCTCTCAACAAG